GTAGTTATAATAATACTAGCTTTTTATAAACTTAGTAAAATGCGAGTTTAATATAGAAAAAGTAAAGTTCCTAGAATTTATAATTAGCCCAAATAGTATAGAAATAAAAGCTAGCAGGATTATAATTATTAGGAAATAGCCGGCCCTAAAGAATAATATCCGAGAAATCTAAGTATTTCTGGGTTTTACTAACTTCTATTAGAGATTTATTTATAAATATTCTAGAATAATAAGAGAATTAACTAATTTATTAAAAATTAGTAGAAACTTATAATATTATTTTAGCTAGATAAATAAGGTAAATAGGGCTTTTAAGAAACTATAAATTATATTTATAATAGTACTAATTCTTTATTATTTTAACCTAGCCTTAAAGATTTATATAGAAATAAATACTTTAGGATTTATAATTACAGGTATAATTTCCTAGCTTTTTAATAAGGAAATAGAAGCCAGGTAATATTCTATTATTTTCTATTTAAAGAAAATAACTATAATTAGAAATAAGTATAAGATATTTAATTCTAAGCTTTTAGCTATTATTCTAGTATTCTATACTTAGTAGTATTATCTAATATATACCTAGTATACTATTATTATTAAGATAAATTATAATAACTTAAAATACTTTATAACTAAAAGAAAACTAAATAATTAATAAATAAGATAAGTAAAGAAGCTAGCTATCTTTAATTTTGTTTTAGAATACTAGCCGGAATATAGTAATTCCGCTAATAAGCTATTAAGAAGGCCAGACTTTATAATAAGTATAAATAAAGATATTTTATTACTTATATTTTATAATAAGCTATAGAATATAGAATAAAGAGCCTTATAAATAGTAGTAATAGGATGCTATATTATTCCTATAATACTATAATTCAAGGCCTAGAAAAGAGGAAATAAGTATTTCTTAATTAGTAAAATATTAAGAAATTCCGAAAAAGAAGTTTATTTTAGTAATAAAGTAATACTAGAAATATTACTACTTGAGCCTATTACTAATATAGCTAGTTATAAATAGTATATATTACGGATTCTAGCTATATAAGTAGCTAGATCCAAAATAGTATATAAGAAAAATAAAGAGATATTACTTAAACTATTATTATAGTACTAAAGGCTCGATCTATTAGTATAATACTAGTAATATAAATAGTTCTTAAAGGAAATCTTTACTAGAGCTATTAAGACTTAGGAACTTAATATATCTAGGTTACTAAGATATTAGAATACTATTTATATACTAAATAAGCTAGCTTTTAAAGAAAAATTACTATAAGCTAACTATAATAATTCTATAGGTAGGTATTTTAGTACTAGTAAGATACTAGAAATTCTCTAGAAAAAGTACTTCTAGTAAAGTATAAAAAAAAACATAAAAGACTATATTAAAACTCATTCTATATATTAATAAACTAAGATAAAGAAATATCTATTATATAATATACTTAGTTCATTTCCTTTCCTCTCTAAGTTATAGCAAGAAATTATTATAAACTTTATTATAGAACTACTTTTTTCTAAGTTTTATAATAAGGTATATAATTCTATACTTATTATTATTAATAAATATACGAAAATAGTATAATATATTCTAATTACTAAGAAAATCTCGGCTCCTAAATTAGTAAAGCTATTTATATATTATATTATTAAAGACTTTAGTATATCTATAAATATAATTTCTAATAAAGAATCTATTTTTATAAGTAAGTTCTAGTTAAGTCTATACTTTTATTTAAAGATTTAATAATAGCTAAATATAGTATTTTACCTATAAACTAATAAATAAATAAAGAATTTAAACTAAACTCTGGAATAGTACTTGAGATATTATACTAGCTACTTATAGGATAACTAGGTAATAAAGCTTACTCTTATAGAATTTATATATAATAACTTTATATATTTAATAATAGAAATTTCTCTATTTTATATATTATATAGATTTTATCCTAGTATTAAACTATATATTAAGAATAATATTTCAAAAAGAAAAGTACTAGTAATATAGGAAAAAATATAAAGAATTCAAGTAAAACGGAAAGTACTAGAGAAGTAATAATAAGAAGTAATAAATATATAAAAAAAGTACTATAATAAGAAATATATTAATAAGGAATTTAATATATATAATGAAGTCATACTTTATATAAAGAATATTTAATAGCTATAACCTAGTATAAAGCTAATAAATAGATATCTTGGCCTCTTTAAAATTCTAGAAATTCTAGAAATATATAAATAGGTATATTACTTGAAATTACTACTATTATATTAGATTTATAATATTTTCTATATTTCTTTTTTAGAACTATAATACCCGCAAACTAGTACTATAGTAGAACTAGAACTAGTCGAGATTAAGAGTAAAAAAGAATTCGAGATAGAATCTATTATAGCCTATAGGAAAAATAAAAAATAAAAGAAATATCTCATTTATTAGAAAAGCTACTTATTAGTAAATAATATATAAGAACTACTAAGTAATCTAGAGAATATAGCTCAAGAATTATAAAAATACTTAGAAAAGAATAATATTATAATATTATTAGCTAAATAAAAATATAAAAAATAAATACTTTTATTAGGAAACTATTAAAAATTATATATTTATTCTTGGAAAAATTATATGAAAATTATTAAGAACTCTAAAAACTTTAATTTCTATATTCTATAAATACCTTATTCTTATAATTACTTTCTATTATTCTTATTATTATCCTTATTAGGATTCTCTCGAGAAACAGGTAATAAATTAGCCTATAAAGCTATTAGCTATTAGTAAGAAACGAGAAAAAAGTAAGCTTATTTAATACTAAAAAATATTAATTATATTATTAAGAGTACTTTATACTTATACTAAGCTAGTAAGAATTACTTAACCTATTTCTTAGATTATTAGGAGAATTTATTAGCCTTAAATAATGGCTTTAATATAAGAAATATATATTATTTAGTATAAAAAAAGAATAGTAATAGCTTTTTCCTTTTTAGGCAAAGAATAGAAAAGATACTTATATATATTAATAGCTTAAAAAAGGCGGTTTAATTATACTATATATACTTAAGAAATCTTGAATAGTATTAGAATAAGGAATAAATAAAGGAAATTATAACTTATAGAATTATATTTCTTATTCTTAAAATAATAGTAATTATATATTAAGTAATTATTACTTTTAATATAAGTAAAATCGGGAAATTTAGTAATATTCTTAGAATATTAAAAATAGTAAAGGCAAATTAAGGATATAGAAGTATTAGCCAAACGGGTAGTAATAGGCTAATAAATACTAAAAGAAGTATTTATCTTAATAGATAAAGAAGTAAAAGAGGGAATTAGAAGAGAACTTAAATAAAGCTTAAATAAAGCTTAAATAAAGCTTAAATAAAGCTTAAAGAAGCTTAAAGAAAGCTTAAAAAAGAAAGGTAAGAAACGAGGAAGAGCTAGATATAGTATTATAGTTAAGGAAAGGGAAGGTTAATTAGTAGAAAAAGAGAGGCCTTTTTATAATACCCTTTTTCTAAATAGTAATTATAAATTCGGAACTGGCTCTATATTAGAAATACCTAGAAAATTCTAAAAAAGGAATTTATAAATAAACTAGAAGATCGGATTAATTTTTCCAAGCTTTTGGGCTTATAGAATAATAATTTATTTATAAATAGAGACTAAGTTGAAATTTATAAACTAATTAGAAAACCGGAAAAGCTTCCTACCTAATAGTATATATTATATCCGTATTATTTTTATAAGAGGGAATTATTAGAGGTAATTTGCAGATTAGCTAGGTAAGGTTAGTAAACTATATTCTCAAGTCTATTACCTAATATAATAATAGGGTAATTATAAGAAGTTTTTAAAGAGAACTAATAGCCGGAAAAGTTTTAGGGAACTATTTATAAAGCTATTTATAGTTCTCTCAGGCCTCTTAGGAATAAGGGCCTAGAAAGGAAATTAATATAATAGGTATATATAATAGTATATAGACAGGTATTAGATATTATAAATCTAGTTTCCTATTTTAGGTAAAGCTTATAATTAGAATTATATAGGTAATTGGAATTATATGAATTATATAGAATTATATTTCCTAGTTAAATAAAGTGCTTTATAGGCTTGGCTAAGTACTAGGAAATATATAGAGAGATATTTCTAGCTTTAGAAAGGGGTATTAATTAGTCTTTTATTAGAATTAATTCTTGGAATTAGTTATACTTATAAGTATTATTCTATAGCTTACTTACCTTAATTACTTATATATTACTTTATTATTATATACCTTATATTTTATTAGAATACTTTAACTTTAGTATATAAGTTCTATTTTATAGCTTGGGTAATAGTAACTTAGGTATTAATCTCGGTATCTTAATTATTACCGGAATTATTTCTATTATTATTACTAGCTCTTAGAGGCTTCTAAAGAGCCCCGTTAAAAGTATTAGACAAGTCTTTACTATTACTTATATTGGGATTAATCTGGTTAACTTCCTTTATAGGAATAGCTCTAGTAAGAGATTATATATTTTGCAGATTTCGAGATATAATTACTTATTAAACTATCTTTTTTAAAGGTTAAGAAATTAGCTTATAAGGTATTTATTAGTAAGTAATAAGATAATAGAATAAATTAGTGAGTTATGAAACTATAATATTAAATTTAGTATAGAACTAATCTCTATTTCTTCTATAAGGTCTAAGGAAGCCCTCTCTAAATAAGAGGCCCTAATAATATATATATAATTAGTAATTTATAAGCCTAATACTTATAATATAAATAGTAGTTAGTTATAAAATCAAAGGGCCTCTAATCTCTCTAATTAATACCCGTAATATCCGAGGTTTATTATATACCCTTAAGTTATATATAATCCTATATATATTATAACTTTATAATACTTTATAAAAATAAATTTAGTAATTTTTTACTAATTTTATTATAAAGGTAATAAGAAGCTTATATTAATAAAAATTTATTATATTAGTCTTATGTTATGATAAGGTAATATTATAGTAGTAGTAAAGAGCTTGAATTGAGCTGAAGGCTGCCTGCCAGGCTAAAAGCACTGGCTATACGCTAAGTCACGTGCAGTGGCACCACGTGACTAGTGCCACGTAACAAGTCCCCCCCTTCAGACTTCAAAAGACGACGTCCTCGTTGCAATACAGCCATTCTAGGCTACCCAAATAAGAAGTCCACTAGTGTGGAGTGTCCTTCCCACCCCCAGAAGCTTACATCTCACTCCCAAGGGCCCTGCAAGCAGGCCATGGTAATATATATCCCAGAATATACCCCCTACTTGTATATTGCCTCCTTCCCTACCACACTCTTGTTTCGCACCGTATCCCACTTAATAACCTTCCAGATTACGACCACCGCGTACGCCTTGTGCTCTAGTATGGAGAGACACTAGCTCGAGGGAAGGTGAGGATAGAAGGTGGCTCTGCCGGCGGGGGTGTGAAGCGTGGCAGGAAGCTCTCTTTGCAGGGGCGAGGGGAACATCGCTTTGTCGCTGTAGTAATTCGTACCGTATCGTGAGACTCAGTAAAGAGGTCGATTTCGATCGTAATTATTGCATTGCTACCATATGTCACGATATGGTGGTTATTGCTGTAGTAGTAAAGAGCTTGAATTGAGCTAAAGGCTGCCTGCCAGGCTAAAAGCACTGGCTACACGCTAAGTCACGTGCAGTGGCACCACGTGACTGGTGCCACGTAACATCTTATAACCTTTATTATTAAAAGAATTAGTATAATTATTTATTAATTAAGTTTAATACTTTAATAAAAGAAAATATTAGATTATAACTTCTTTAGATTTAAGAATAATTAAATAATATATATAGAAATTATAGAATAGGAAGTTGTATTAATAATAAAAGAGTTAATTAAAGCTAGCTAGAAAAGAACTCAAGTAAAATATAAAGCTTTAAAATATAAGTATATAGATTCTAACTATATAAGGCAATTATACTAGCCCTAAATTAGTAATTTCATTATAATATTAAATTATATTACAAGTATAGTATTTGAGGCTTAAAAAGTAAAGTTAAAGATTTCTTATAAAAATAGTTTAAAGCTAAAGAAGAGAAAACTAAATATAATATAATAAGAAATTAGAGAATTATATATTCTTAATTATTTATTACCTTATATATATATTTCTTTTTTTCTTTTTTTTTCTTATATAATATTCTAAGTATTCGAGTTTATTTATATATTATTATATTACTATATAAACTTCTTTAATATATAAGTTATTTCATTTTATATTAATAATTTTAGTTTAGTTATTAGTTTTAAAGTATTAATTTATAAAAATACTAAATTTAATAAAAGCTTATAATATATATATACTAATAATAAACTAAGCTTATTACTTAAATTTACTAGTATTATATAACTAATACAAGTACTAAACTTATAATCTAATAGAGAATTTATTAGCACGTCTTAAACCTTACCTGGCTTGAAAGTAACTTGAACCCAAGCTTAGTAAAAATACTTTTAATATTAATAAGATATTAATACTGGATAATATTACCTAGGTTATTATAAGGATTAATATATATTAATACTAAATTAATACTTAGCCTTAAATTATCCCTTCTATTTATTATTTAATTTATATAATAATATATTTATATATAATTTCTTTATTTTCTAATCTTTCTATTAAAGGAATTATTTAATATTATTAATAAAAGTTAATATTATCTTAATTTTAAAATGGCTCTCGTATTCGGAGAATTTAGTATTATATTTATATCTCTTATTAGAATGCTTATTATAAGCAAGCCTTACGAAAATCTCAAAAGCTATTTTTTGCTTAAATAGCCGCATTAAGACGAGTTTTAGTCTAAACTATAAGATAAATAGCTAAATAGAAAGTCTAAATTAAGTAGAATATTTGCGCTACCAAAAGTTTTCTTATAAGGGAAGTGGTTCTAAAGTTAATTGCAATTAAAGGGGGGAATTGGGTTCCGGGAATCAATACTTTATTAATAGTATTGATACCTTACGATTCTGGCATCGATACCTATCGATACCTATCGATACCAGAAATTAGGTATTTCTGCCAAGCCTGCTTGAACCACCGCACAAGTGATCGAAACAGCATTCCTACCTCCCGCCCCGTTGTCTTGGTAAACTTTGGAATGGAAACCAAGCGGCATCAGTGTACAGAAATCCGGGACAAGGCAGTGAGGATTTCAAGGACCAGAGCCCCGAAAGTGCCCCAGCACGACGATATTGGCAATAATTAAATCAAGTTCGTGGGCGGAGAAGAAAACACACTGCTAAGCACAGGTCCGAGGAACATCTGGAGCTTGTCCGTTGGATTGCAGAATCGCATTTTAATTTGAAGTTCTTTGTACGAGGCAGAAGTGTTCGTGATTTCGCGTTCAAGGAATTACACAAGAAAACGACTCGCAAATGTAGGGATCGATGCACTTCTGACTTATTACGAATCTAAGCCTTGCGTTTACCAAAGGAGCGCCCTCGCTCAAATTGAATCTCAGCCTCAAATCTTAGGGCTTGAGTATATTTGAGGGACAACCGTTTGAACGGTGGTCACACCGCATTCCACTGTCGCAGCTGCCTCGTAGGCAGACATCTTCTTGCGAGCGACGGCTTGCAGGCATGATTCAAGAAAAATGTCCATCTGCCAACACATCCTCCAAGAGTTGGCAACTTGAAACTCCCGGATGTGCGTTCGGTATCCTGCAGCCTGCTCGAACCAACGACACGAGAGCCGAAAGCAAGTGATCAGTTTCCACCGCCATTATTGAAGCTGGTTGGAGGGATAGATTGTACGTTAGCAACCACTGCGAACCGATTAATAACCTGAATCCTACATGAAGAAATGTTTGGTGGCGCAAACTATAGGCAACATTGGGCCAGCCGCCAGCGACGTGGCTACTTCTCTGCCAATACATTCACCGAGGAACTGATAAGATCAGGCATGTGAAGAGATGAAGACTGGTCCAAAATAAAATTAAAATAATGGAAATTAGAGGCTGAGAAGTTTCCTTGATAAGGAGCATTAATTGACAATGAGATCAGGACTTCTCTTGTGCCGCCACAGGTCCAAAAACAAAACCTGTCCGCCTGAAAGACAACGGCACAGAAACACATCCACAGATATATGCAAGTACAGGAACCCACTTTAGTTGCGAGGTAAAGTCAGAGTATTACTTATTACTTTTCCATTTTATTTTTATATTATTAAAATAAATAATAATATAAGAATAGAATGTATAAAAGTATAAAAATTAATTATTTAATTAACTTAAAATAGAATTTTTTAATAATTTATTAAAAAAATATAACTCTTATTAAAATATTTATTTATTTAAATAAAACTTAACAAATTAGATTTTTAACTGAGATAATAAATAAATAAAATAATGCTTATTATAATAATATAATAATTAAAAACATTTAATAGCCCTATTCTTATAATTTCTTATAGAATTTGTGCTTTTAACTTTATTTTTAATAAATATAATTAAATATATTTATAAGTTATTATTATTTCAATTTTATTAGAATTAAAAATATAAGAAATATTTTAGATCTTATTAGTTTAATATATTAATTTTACATTTAACTAAGAGTAAAGTAATACTAAGAACCAAATATATAGCCCGTTATGTATTAAGGTTACTCGATTCTATTACAAGTAATAGTATTCTTATGCTATTCCTCGCGCTATCCCCCACCAAACTGTGGAGAGGCTCTGCGTTGTCAATTTGTTGTGCAACCGTGCTGCGTCGCACTTCATCAAATCATCTTGTAATAGGCGTGACTCACTGTACTCGGTGACAGCGTCTTCCTACAATTGGACTCTACGTTAAAACAGTCTATGCACCTAGCAAAGACAAGCCAATGCTGTGACGGGGAATTACAGTACATAACGGCACGGCGGCACAACCACCAAATAGATGTTTATTAATTGCATCCTTTTACTTCTTAGTGCTATTTTTCCTTTTTTTCTCTGGAAAACAAAAGAAACCAGGTGTTTTTGTGTGAGCATGTGCATGGGGCAGTGGATGTTTCTGGACTCAGTTCTCAAACACTCACCTTTCCTCATTGACAACTTCTGTTTCTTGAATTTCTTGTGAACTTATTTGTTCACCAAGCCCTTACCAACTTCATTTGGAAACCCGACGTAATTCATAGTAATGGCAACGCCAAGGGAGAGATGGCGAGGCTCGAATTTGGGAGGTGCGTTTGGCGGAAGAGGGGGAAATAGGCAAGGTGCCGGCAGAGGCTGGAGAGGAGGAGATAGTAGAGGGAATAGAGCCAACAGAGGGGATCGATGGAATACACGCGATAGAGGGGGCAGAGGGGGCAATATCCAGCATGGCGGATCCCGACTCTGTCGATTCATCGAGCAAGGAGAGCATTGCCGATATGGTGATAACTGTACCTATTCTCACGATATATCAAACCGCAACAAACAGCCCAATGGAAAATTAGCAGATACACCGGAGCAACGAAGGGAGAGGGAGGACTACAATTCGTGGAAGAGGCTACTGAAGAGACCTCCAACGCCAAACGACACCAGAACAATTGAACTCTTATGGAACGGTGCTCTCACTATTTTGAACGAAGGGGATCGAGACTGGAAACAGATGCTGCCGCGAGACCTCGATGCAGAGGAAAACTATGGCCGCGAACATATTAAGACACTTCTGAGCATGGTGTCGCATACCAATGGACGCGCTACCTTTGTTGCACTTGCGCAGCCCTTTCTTTCAGTTATCACACATCCAGCCATGTTAGACTGTTTGTCTGTGGATACTTTCGTTAGAGGCTTGTACAACTTCATTAGTGGCAACAATGGGACCAGAGCGGTTCCATTTTTTCAGAATCTTTGCAGAAACTTGGCCGATGCATACTGCGAGTCTAATATCCCGAGAACCTCGCTGGAAACGACACTTATCACGATGCTAACTTCGCTACGAGAGATTCTAAAGAGGGAACAACGAGCCGCCTTCCACGACGAACTTCCAGATCTCATTAACTCATTACAGAACCTCATGGAAGCCACGGGCATTGACGATGCATCTCCGGCGTTCCAAGTCATCGTCAATCAGTGTAGTGAGATTAGGGCCATTATAGCACGTGCGAGTGGCCTTCTTGCAGACGTGGAGGCGTCGAATATCGACGGGGTCTCAACTACTGTGGTCAAGTCGACATATCCTCGACAAATCATCCTGCCCGGAGGACATCACGATAACGACAACGGAGATATCACAAAGATCAAGATTCTTCCCACAGAAGATGAGATTCGAAGCGATCATCCAGAATTTCTGCCCAGCACCGATCTTGATCAACCATATTTCCTCAACGACCCTGTGGCACGTCACCTTGATACACAATTCCGCCTGCTTCGTCATGACATCTTCGGGGAGCTAAAGGAGGCTCTTGGGGGTTTAATAAACACCATAACTGATAACCCGACGTTTCTTGACAACTCGAAGCTGAGCCTGGGAGATATGCGCGCGTACCCTTATACCAAGGCACACATTGGCTACGTCTCCTTTAACCGAAGCCATGTCGAAGCTCACGTGTCGTTCAACCAACACCATGCTCTTCGGAAGAAGTCTGCGCCTGATAGGCGCAAGTGGTGGGAAGACTCGAAACGCCTCGAAGAAGGTTCTTTGTTATGCTTTGTTTCATACATCAATAACAAAAGTTCCCTCTTATTTCTCACAGTCAGCGAGAAATGCACCGATCCCAAGGCATCTTACAGCCTCAGTTCTCACGACCATATTGCAACCATTGTCACCAAACTTGCTACCCGCAATCAGGGAGACCTGGAACTACTGATTCAATTGAGTTGCCAGAATACACGAGGGGCTTTGATTGAGTTCCCAGGGATTCTACTTGCCACATTCCTTCCTATCTTAGAGAACCTTCAAAACATGCATCGCTTCGGCCGCTTACCATTCCGTCAGTGGATTCTGCCAGATCGACATATTATATCCGCAAAGCCTCTAGATATTCTTCCGCCACTCTATGCTCGGGGTCAGAGTTTTCTCTTCCAATTAGATTCTATACTGAAAGCGGATGGTGATCGGCTCTTTTTCAGCCCCAGCGTCTCAATCGATGATGTTGCTAGTATTGATGAGCTCGAGGCACGAACATCACTTGACCGTGGACAGTGTCTAGCACTTGTGGCGGCCCTAACCCGCGAGTTTGCTTTCATCCAGGGACCGCCAGGGACAGGGAAGTCGTACCTTGGTGTCCAACTAATGAGAGTTCTCTTGGCTTGCAAGGAGACGGCAGATTTGGGACCCGTGGTTGTTGTGTAAGCTCACAGTTTTGTTTTATAAATTTAGTGATTAACCCTGTGCAGATGTTACACGAATCACGCATTGGACCAGTTCTTGGAGCATCTCATTGAAATTGGCATTGAGAAGATTATTCGAATTGGCGGCCAAAGCAAGTCGAAGATTGTAGAGGGGAAGAATCTTCGCGTTGTGTCCCAAGGGGAGGCGAAAACAAAATCTGAACGCTATTTAGTTGCCAAATCGTACGAGGAGCTCGGGAATAAAGAGAGGCTTATTACCAAAGCCCTGGGCTCGTTACATGCTACGCAAAAAAGACCTGACTGGGCCAATCTCAGGACTTATCTGCAGCGGAGATATCCACGCATCTTCTCCCAATTCTCTCGATTCGACGAGGACGGGTACAAGACAGTGGGTAAAGAACCTTTTGAGGTCTGGAACCAAGGGACGAAAAGCAAGGTCCTTGACGAAAACAATTCTTTGGATGAGTCTATCACCACTTATCAGGAGCTTGTCCATACTGCGAACCGAAATATCCATGGCCTCTCGACACTTGAAAGACGACGACTAGTGGAACACTGGGTACAAGAGATCCACGAAGATAAGACCGACGAGTTATTCGAGTTGGTGAAAGACAGCCATAACATTCATGAACAACTTGAAGATATACACGACGAAGTGGACAGGAGAGTTCTCCAAACTGCAGATGTTATCGGGGTCACTACGACAGGGCTAGCCAAGAGAATTTCCGTCCTTCAACACGTGCATTGTAAAGTAATCATCTGTGAAGAGGCGGGGGAAGTTATGGAGCCCCATATGATATCGGCCTTGCTTCCCAGTATTGAGCATTTTATTCAGATAGGAGATCACCAACAACTACGACCGCAGATCAACAATCACGGGCTGTCACTTGAAAGCAGACAGGGTACCCCTTATCAACTCGACCGCAGCCAGTTTGAACGGCTTTCGGTGGGGGAGCCAGGCAGGCCCTCATTTCCTGTGGCCCAATTGAATGTTCAACGGCGAATGCGCCCCGAGATCTCAACCTTGATTCGGACAACCATCTACCCGCGATTAATCGACCACGGGACGATAAAAAACTTGCCAGATGTCGTAGGAATGAGAAAAAATGTCTTTTGGCTTGATCACAAGAATACGGAGGAAGGGCCCGACGCTGATCTGCATCAAAAGTCGCGAAGTAACGATTGGGAGGTGGATATGACACATGCTCTCGTTCGCCATATTGTTCGGCAAGGGGTATACAGCAGCAGTGGCATTGCAGTGTTAACACCATACACGGGACAATTGCAGAAGCTACGAACAAAGATGCGGAGCGATTTTGAGATTGTCCTAAGTGATCGGGATGAAGAAACGCTTGCAAGAGATGGATTCAACGAAGAAACAGCCACCACCGAAGAGGACCAGACAAGCCCAGGAAATAGACGACAGCCTTTAGAAAAGAAGAAACTAAGCGAGTTTCTTCGCATAGCGACAGTGGACAACTTTCAAGGCGAGGAAAGCAAGATCATAATCATCTCGCTTGTACGAAGTAATAAGGAGAAGAAAGTTGGATTTCTTAAGACCACGAATCGCATTAATGTCCTACTTAGCCGGGCCCAACATGGCATGTACCTGATAGGAAATACCGATACTTACTCGAATATATCAATGTGGGCGCAGGTAATACGTATGCTGGAGGCAACCGATTCGGTTGGGAATGCCTTTGGTCTCTGTTGCCCTCGACACACGGATACAGTGATGCAGGCCTCAGAGCCACTCGACTTCGAGAAGCTCAGCCCTGAAGGAGGATGCCAACTCTCTTGCGATCGACGCTTGATTGACTGCGGCCACAAATGTCAAGCACGATGTCATTCTGATAGCATGCATGCCGTTTTCAAATGTCCTCAACCTTGTCAACGTCTTCACACCCCTTGCAACCACGGTTGTCAGAAGCAGACCTGTGGAGAGGATTGTGGTCTGTGTATGGTAATATTGGGCAATGTGTACCTTCCATGCAACCATTTGAAGGATGGTGTTCCATGCTACCAAGTGCAAGATCTTGGCAGCATCAAATGCAAGGTTCGTGTTGAAAAGCAAGTTCCAGGGTGCAACCACACTGTTGAAGTTCCATGTTTTCAAGATGTAGCCACTCCATCTTTCAAGTGTCCTACAGCTTGTGGAATAAACCTAGCTTGTGGTCATCGCTGTCCAGGTCGTTGCGGAAGATGTAATGGCAAGGATGCCGACTTGAGTCCCACTGTCAAACACCAGAAATGTACCAAGATCTGCGGTAGATGCTCCGGGACTTGTAATCACACCTGCCGAAGCTTGTGCCATGATGGCACGGATTGTGGGCTTTGCTTTGCTCCCTGCGAGGTACGAAACAATTTTTTTTCTCACTCTTCTAACGACACAATGGCGGCTTTTGATTGTCTAAGAGTTATAAGACATCTTGATCTATTTTCTTTAGTGTAATCAAGTTATATATTAATAGGTATAGGTCCGGTGTTCTCATTCTCGATGCACTTTACTTTGTCGCCAATCTTGTGCACCGTGTGTGGAGAGCTGCACCTGGTCCTGTGAGCACAAGGGGGCATGCGAAATGCCCTGCGCAGCGCCTTGCAATCGTCTGCCATGCAACCAACGTTGTTCTAAGACCCTCTCTTGTGGCCATCGATGTCCAGGAATTTGTGGTGAAGTGTGTGCAGAAGGGTATTGTCACCAATGTTCTAATAGACTTGAGGCTCGAGTCGACTTTCTCGAGATGAAATCCTACGGAGAAATCGACGTTGATGAGACTCCAGTAGTTGTCCTTGGCTGTGGTCACTTCTTCACGGCAGAATCTCTTGACGGTCATTTGGGTATGTCGGAAGTTTATGAAGTTGACGGGTATGGGGAGTTCACCGGACTCAAAGACGTGTCTGGCGCTTTGGCTCAATCAATACCTTGCTGTCCTGACTGCAAATGTCCGGTGAGACAGTTCGCTACACAGAGATACAACAGGGTCATCAACAGGGCTGTCATTGATGAGATGTCCAAACGGTTCCTCGCCACTGGAAGAGATGAGCTTCGGGAGTTAGAGCAGCGAATTACGGAACTGGAGCGAAGTCTCGGGACAACTCGAGAGGAGGTTGTGAAGCCAATTCGCCAAGCCAAAACTCATGTGACCTCAAGTCTCACTGAAGCAAAGATTATGGAAATTGCCAGAATTCTAAAAGAACGAGATGCGGAATCCAGGAAGCTTGAGGGTGCGTTAAAAATGTTCTGCAATAGTGTGGCTGATAAACATCAACCAGCACAAAAGCTCCATGACGCTACAGTCCATGCAGCAAGAAAGGTCGCTGCCGCTGCTGCAACCGTCGATGCACTTATAGCGAACTTGACTGTCGTTGACGCCCTACCAGCTCTCACTCGTGATCGTCGAGTTATTATGGGTGGCCGAATGGTTCAGATTAAGACCAAGTTTTTCATCCTCGAGGACAAATTTATCATTGCTCAAGCATTGAAGTCAATATCCACTAAGACTTCAATCAAGTTCCCCGGCGGAGCTCCTGGCCTACTTGCGGTGCCATTCTTTAAGTGCTGCAAAAACTTTATTAACGAATGCAAGGTCGAGAATCTACCGAAGCTGGCCGTTGAAGTGTCGCTTTTTTATGCAAGCATTGCGCGGTCATTCGAGTCCTTCTGTCAATCTGGTAAAATAAACCTTGAAAAGGCCGCGATCCATCTAGAGATGGCTAAGCAGCTGTTGGAGGTCGCTCGAGAAGTCTGCAAGCAGCCATTTCAGAAGGCTGAAAGCTTGCGTAATGCAGTTGAGGAGTCGATACGCCAAATGAAGAAACAATGGTATGAAGAAGTCACAGTAGAGGAGATTAACGCGATCAAGGCTGCCATGGTTAGTGGTTCTCAGGGCATTGCGACTCATTCAGGTCATTGGTAGTAGGTATTCTCCGAGTCATTTCTACTCCGTCCAGATTGTTCGGGAGCTGTGAGACCTGGTTCACCTCCCAAACGATATGGGCTGCTCTTAAATCAATTTTATCCCCTCAAATCTATTTCAAAGAAGCAATGCTAACTCAGAAATCTTCCGCCAGTAACTGCGAGAATGGACATCCCGTAAGTTCGTATTAGGTTGATACTTTTGATAACTGCTGAATTCTGTCCAGTTTGCAATTGGGGAGTGTGGGATGCCAATGGAGCTGGCTCGTTGCCCTGAATGTGGTGCAAGTGTTGGTGGACAGAACCACACCGCAGTTGGAGGGGTTAGCCGTGCAATGAACATGGAAAACTAGGATGTTGAATTGAGATGTGCGGGAAACCAGGAAAGGAGGGCGTGACCCTGGTGCACCTTTTGTTTTCAAAGACATAAAATGGATTTGGACAGAGAAATGTCATGTGCAATTTTTGAAGATGCGTTCCAAGGGCCAGGAGTCTGAGTTCCTTGTTCACCTTTTTGCGTCCACGCGCCAATGCTACAGGCAACCACAACTATCTGTTCTGTTCAAGTTCCATGACGTTATTGTGATTGCTCCCCAGTTTTTGAGGTCCCTTTCACTTTGGACCTTCCACAATGCATGTATAATGTCACATTCTTCAGGTATTATTCCATTTTTAAGAACACACGTAATAGACCGGGATTCAATTTTGGCTCCTAATAAGAGCCCGTTCGGCCAGACGTCTGCCCTTTTTTATGGCGTATGACCACCGACTCTTTTACTTGCCCGTATATAGGGCAAGTACAAGGCATATAAAAGGGGTATTACGCGCCTATTTATTAGAGGCACCTGATATATAAAAAAGGGACCAATATATACAATTAATCTCTTGCTTACTTCTTATAATATTAAAGCTTTTTATATTTCTATTATTAAAAGAACTTAAATATATATTAATTTCATCTCACGTAAGTAACTAGTAATTTTAATACTTTATTAATTAACTTTATTACCTTATTACTTTAGTAAAAATTATATAAAAAGCTATTATATAAAACTTAAGTAAAATATAATAAAAGCACGTTTTTAAATAAGTTTATAATTTTCTTTATTTAATTAATTATATAAGCTTTTGATTCTTTTATTTATATAATTATATTTCTTCTTTATTACTTATTAATAAATATCTTATAAATAAAAAGATCTCGTTTTCAAATATTTCAAATATATAAAACTACTTTCATTTAGTTAAGAAATTAATATATAAAATATAATTTATTATTATTTTAAATTTATTTAATGTTTTCTATATTATTATTATAAATAAAACAAAATTACATAAAATTATAATATATATATTTAACTATTACTTAAAAAGTAATAAATATAATAATTAAAATATTAAACTTATAATAAGTTTATATGCAATTAATATATTTAACTAAAAGATTTTACTAAGTTATTTAGCTATAAACAGGCAACTTTTGCGAGCACAGAATCGGGCACATTCCCTTACTGAACTTGAAAATACCTGAACTGGCGTTTGGAATTTATCCATCGACATAGAATATTGGCTTCGCGCTGATTGATAGAAAAATCACAGAAGAGAGAATATGCAGCACACCGGAGAGCTTGGGAATGCCGAGAAGGGCGTTTTGTTGCTCCATCTCGAATTACTTGATTCCTCGCGTGTAGAGAAGAGAAGAAGAAGAGGTGGAAATTTTGTGTTGGGAGGGCTTTTTTATAGTTGCTGACCCAGATTCGAGTGACTTAGACTCTTCTGTGATTTTCTATCAATCAACACGAAGCCAATATTCTATGTCGATGGATTTGGTATCGGGGGAGACGCACGGAAGCCAGGACCATGGATGGTTGGGCACTCACGTCTCGAAAGGAACGCTGGGGTTAAGCGATTGCCATCTCCTAAGTGCCCCGGGGCTATCGCTAGGTCTCGCATTGGCAAGCAAAGATTGCGGAGCTACTCCATTTGGAACTTCCTGGGGCACTTGTTGATCTTGGGAAGCCATGTTTAGGTGGGGGGGCTTGGAAGGAGAACACGAGAAATGACTACGTGATTAACTGGCGGCCCCAAAGGCTTCGAGAACACAACCAGCATGTATCAGTATCTCTGTAAAACCAAATAACTTTCTTTGCTATCGCTGGCTCCAATCAACCACAGATCTGGTCCCATTGGATCACGATTGCTAGCTCTTAATTTCGAAAGATGACATGGGATCTCAGTCCGTAGTTAGACTCGATTATTCGAGCTTGCAGCGTCTGCACCATCGACACCGTGCTTGTGCTTGTTCAATTTCTAAAGCTCGCAGAACGAGCAGAGAGTGCTAGGAGTCGGGGATATGAAGATGCTCTAAGAAGGCGGTGGAAGGTAAGGCAAACACGCGTGCTTCATTGGTACACCCAAAATCCCCCCATAAATACAACCAAAACCATGTCGCGCATCTCACAGCAATTCAGTCCATTAAGTCCCCAACCACCGTTCATCTTCCATGTTTCTCCTTCACAACGTCGCCTTCGCCTCTGCCTCATTCTTCTTCTCCCCGCCAAAATCCTCCCCCTCCCACGCAGCTTCAACGATACTCATCCTACACCCCGCCGGCTTCCTGCTCCCAATGAACTTAAACCCCTTATCAACTTTGCCAAATAGGTTGGCGAAGTCCGCTTCGCTCCGTTCCTGCGCGTTCAGCAGAGTGAGCATCACCAAATCCATCGTCCGCAGCACCCTCTCTTCGCCGATACTCTCCAACTCTTTGCCAGGGTCTGGAAGGCAGTAGTCGTTGATTAAAATTCGAGAGCCGTGCTTGAGCGCCGGGATGAGAGAAGTGAGGATCTTGGCGGCGTATTTGTCTGAATGGTTGTGAAGGATCCAGCGAAAGATGTACACATCCGCACCCTTGACCGGCTGCGGCGTGAAGAAATCGTGGGCTTGGAGCTGGATCCTCTCTTCCATCTCTCCCTCTATCGCCGGAGCGGAATCAATCGTCTTTGGCAGATCCTGGACCACGAATTTGAGGTTCTTGAAGCGTTCGGCCAGGGCGAGGGCAACGTGACCATGAGATCCCCCGATATCGACTACGGTAGCGGATTTGGCGTCCAGAGAAGCCCAATCGTACCCCTCCACCAAATACCCAACCTCGTAGCCCTCTCCACCCATCAAGCTCTTCATCGCACCACCCATCCTCTTCGCTCTCAGCGGATCGTTGCCAAACGTGGCAAACATAGGCTCCACATCTGTCGTGTAATTCGCCTTGCAAAAGCCCGTCTGCTTCATGTCGTCCGCTTCCGGATTCTGCTTCAGCGCGGAGATGGTCTGCGAGGCGGCAGGCCACATGTCCTCGACGCAGAAACCGAGCCAATCATTCATTGCGGCATCGGTGGCGAGCACGCGCGAGGCGGCTGTGTGAGCGACGAGGCCGGGGGAGGGTTCACAGAAGATGCGGTTGGTCATTGCGTGCCGGAGGAAACGGCGGAGATTCAGCTCGGAAAGACCGGTGAGGGGGGCGAGGGTGGCAAAGGAGGTGGATGTGTCCAAGGGAATGAGTTGGGCGAGTTTGTAGTGGTAGATTGCGTGGAGGGAAAGGGAGTTGTTGTGCTGTGGGATTTTAGTTCTAGCTCAAAAAGGCGAGGAGAGAAAGGGAAACGGACATCCCATGCCATCCATCGTACGCTATCAGTAGGTCCAGCAACTAGATCCCCCAGCTCCTTCGTAGCTCTCACGACCTCCTCTCTCGATTTCTTGACGTCTTCTGGAAGTTTCGGGAAGTTCAACGGAGCATCGACCTCAAAAGATGGCTGGGGGAGGCCGCAATCTTTGATATACTGATCGAGCTTCTCAGTCTCTTTTGCAATCGTCTGCGCTAACTCGATGAGTTTTGATGTTGAGGTCGCTGATTTTGGGATAAGTGGAGATGGTGTTTCGATATCTGCCCCCTTCACAACAGGTGCTGCCATAGAACTGTATCTCCTGCTCTGCCTCTTTTCTTCCAAACTATCATTCCTGTTCCGCGCGAAAGGAATGCTCCATGATCCGAGACTGAGGCGGTTGCCGACAACTCGTGGTTTCACCATGGCTTTCATTTCTCCCGTTTCTTGATCCCAAATTTGCAGGTGATTATGTTATCATTGCATCGCTTGGTCCGGATCCAAATCCCTGGTCCTTTCAAATATCCGAAGTGGTTGGAATCAGCAAACAGCAAGCTGCTTAGTGAATGGTCTTTGATCTGCAGATGTCGTGAATGGAAGCAGTGACCTCACCTCATCCCGAACCCAAGTCCCTGGACCCAGTGAATGTCCCAGCAATGCAGAGCCCTGTATGAGTCGCAAGGATACCCCACAGTATATTCCCAATGCAGCACTCCCCTCTTCCAAACAAGGATAAGAATACCAAAAAGGAAACCGATTATGTCATACAAAACCACAGCAAACGAACACACTGGACAAACAAAACGACCAAACAAAACGATCAAATAAAATAAAAGAGGGGAAAGGTGCATGGAACGCGGTAAAGAAGACATGTAGTCCCGGGATCTTACCTCATGCAATAGGTTCTACCACTGCCGGGAAACATCTTGCCCGCCCATTGTAGAACGCTCCACCTCCACCAACCACTCTCAAATATCGCCGAAGTGCTCCACCATCCAGTAGCAAGCAAGATGTTAATATCCTGAACATGTTTCAGGACATCTCGGGTGGTGTGGCAGCATATCGTCGTGGGGTTAGCCTGAACTCATGGTGGGGGAGTGTCTGAGATAACGGCAGCTTGGAATATTGGCTCCTGATCATCTTCATGTCCCCTTAGCTATTAAACGTGATCAACACGTTTTCCCGTTGAAGCCGTTCTGGGTCTCGTTCGCATGTCGGGTTCCACAGCATCATTTGAAGTGTGCCCGAATTTCTGAAATGGACCGAATGAATATCAGGTTGGAAAAGGCGGCCCGACAACTCATTTGCTGAAACTGCAGACTTACTTCTGACAGACACCGGACCGCCTGGAGCCTAGCTTCTTTGAGCTTGGTTGCGGGAGAAGTACAAGGGTTGGAGCCTGTAATCTCCACCAGGATTGTGAATTTGTGATGAGATGCCCAACATTGCAGCTAGAGGCTGGAGCAGTTAGCATTCATTCGGCCTCCCTATCGCTCCCCCAACTTTTCAACCTTTTCGATTTGATTTCGGTGACTTGCATCCAGCAATTGCGCCATTTCCCGTGGAAACGCCTGTCTGCATGTGAATAGATGTCAAGACCCGTAATCGGTGGAGGTCGTGAGAGGAGTTAATGGGAAGAGGATGAGGAAGCCACGTTAAACGTCAAAACCTGTCGAGGTCGGGTGGGCTTGCTGCTGTGCAACCAGACTTTGGCAATGGCTATGAGACCCCGCCTATAAAAGTCGTTCTTCAACACCAACGATAGTACGGAGTGGTAGCCTGAACTTTGAAGTCATAGAGGAAATTCGAAACGGTTTCGCGGAATGTCAAATCTCCTTGCGGATCTCACTTGGCGAGCTGTCGAGTCTGGAGATGTATCTGAGCTCAGACATCACAGCCAAGATCAGAAATGAAGTGGAGGATAGATGGAAACCGGCGTCCCGATCCAGCGCTCAGCAGGAGGCCACTCGGCTTCCCTACCCCGGGAACGATGCCCCCACTGCGGTGCAACATCCCGAGAATTGAGAATCGGGCGGTGTATGTTGTGAACTTGTGAGATGTGACAGGAGCACTTCGGACAGGTACAGTGACACTCTGTGTTACGTCGTTTGGGTAACTACGGGGGGGTGTTGGTTGATTGGAGAGACGGGTGTGGTGGATGGGAAAGGTTGGTGGGGAAAAGCAATTTGTAGTTTGTGGAGGAGGGGTGGGAGACAAGCGTTGATGACGGGGAGACGGTTTGTAGAATCGAACGCGGGAAAGGCCCTTCGTGATGTGAGGCCTAGATTGTCGGGGGAGGGTGATATCAATGAAGGTTAAGATCTGAAGGAGAAGAAAAGTTCAAATATCTTTAGAATAGGGGATGGGATATGAAGTTCAAGACTTTCTTTACAGATCATGGTCTACCCTACACATCTCAACTTGAATATCATCAATCATAAGCACCACCTCGCTCAAGATGCCCAAGTGATCCCACCAGAACGCTTGCTTGAAATGCAGGAGGTAGATCATCCAGCATGCTCTCATATCGTCGTCTCGGATATCCCATTCCCTGTTCCGTACTCTCCTCTGCCTCTCGGGAAAGCAGGTCCAGTTCAAGGGGGACAAGTCGCAACACCCACCCCAGGCTTCTGCCCACAAATCACAAAAAGAGGCATATGCGCATGCACCCATCCCTCCATATACGCCTGCCTCACGTGAACAAGCCACACATCAACCTGCTCCTTCGTCCAGCGCAAACCCCTCGTATACGGCCCCAACGCAATTGGACTCAACCCGTCAACCAGTATCGTCCTCCAATACAACCCCACCATCTTCAGCACCTTATTCTTTGGCCAGATCCCAATTGGGACGTGGAATATCCGTGTTTCGACGTTTATAAAGCCGGCGTTGCGCATCATGTCTGCAAGTGATAATGCGGCATTGAAATCCACGCCTAGTGCCGCGAGGCCGGAGGTTACGAGGTCCCAGTATTGGGCTACAGGGTGGTCGGGGGGCATGCTGCCGTCGTGGCATTGGGGCCGGTGGTGGATTTCTTGGAGCTCGAACCAGCCGCCAGGTTTGAGGTGACTATTTGTAATTTCGTCATTAGTAGAGGACTTGGTGGAGAGGGGGGAAAGACATACTCATAGACCCTCCTCATCAGCTGGGGCCAGTTCCTGATTGCCATAACCGTATGTCGTGCGTGTATATAGTCGAAGTGATTCAGTGGCCGCAGCCACGGGGATTCCACATCATCGACCATAAACTTAACGCTTGGGGGGACCCATTGTGGTTGTATCGGACTTAGATCCATCCCCAAGATACTCGCTCCTGGATATAAATCTCCCACTATTCTTGCATCAGCCACTTTCCCTCACTCCCAAACCAATATATCCAATATGCAAAAAATTAAAAAATTAAAATTTGGCTCACTCTCAATAGCCCAAATTCCTGTCCCAGTCCCCATATCCAAAATATTCTGTGGATTCTCCCCAATAGGCGCAAAATGCAATCGTCCACCACAAAGATTAACAACCATTGCATGCTTCATATCCTCCCGATCCTGCTCCGTCTCATCGTTGGGGAAATTATATGCTCCTTCCCTGAATCTGTGGTATCGTCGTCCATTCTCGAACATGTAGTTGCGAACACTGGAGGCGAGGGAGGAGCTAGCGGAGCCAATCGTGTCGGTTTCGTAGCCCGGGTCTGTTACGGAGTCGGAGAAGTCGATTTCGATTTCGTCTTGCGCTTGTTGGGCCGCGGCGGTGACCTCGAGGTCTGCGGCTGCTTGTTCGGCGGGGGTGAGGTCTGCGTAGGTGGGAGGAGGGTTGCGGGGAGAAGTCGATTTTTGCTTTGTAGGCGGGTCATTTTGGGTAGACGACGCTTGCTTTGAGCCAGACGAGGATTGCTTCGAAGAAGATGATGCTTGTTTCGAAGAGCCAGTTGTGGCTACGGAGATGGCGGAATCGTGCGGTGAGGGCGGCGGATACATCCTGGCTATGAGAAGGAGGTCAACGAGCCCTGCTCAGCAAGACGATACAATTGAGGTGAGAAGGGACAGCAGTCGAGGGCATGTCGGTTCGGACTCGAGATTTTGTAGCTCCTGCGGCTTATGGCTGCGGCTTCGTGCGTCCTCTGATGTCTCGTGTTTTCTCTCTTCGCGAATTGGATCCGTCAGTCGTCGTCCTTGGCGAGGGAGGAATGCAGGAAGCCGTCGTGATTCATCACTGCGTCGGCAGGGCGCGAGATGCAGCGCTTTTAATATAGAGCATGGCCCAGCTGTTTGGAATGGTTGTTGCGGAGGCAGAGATGCACAGAGGCAGCTCACAGACAGATGTGGAAGAAGGTCAAGCATGGTGGCATGGGTGGTGGTGGGTGAAGCTTAAATGCGAGGTGTCAAATCATCCGAGTGAGAGATGCTTTTTCGGCATCTGTGGTCAATGGGTCTCGCTGTTGGGGGCAGCCACCCATGTCGCCAGCTGCCGACGCTCATTCCCAGCGATCTCCTTTTGCCCGCCATTGGGGGAAGATGCCCTGAACAAGGGTGCGGGGCAGAGCTGGGGCAGATCGCAGCCGTTCCGAGGAGACCTGTGCCCGCTGAGTGTGCTGCTCTCAGCTAAGATCGTGAGATCGCCAGCCTCCTCTTTCTGGACGACATCGGTACAAAAAGCAACCTTTATTTCTATTTCCACTTCTATTCCTATGTCTATTCCTATCTCTATATCTATCTCAAAACCTGTTATAGTTGTCCCGGAAAGGAGTTGAAAGCATCAGAGGTGGACAATTGCTGCGAAGCTCCTTGGGTCCTGCAGCCAAGACGACGTTTGGAAAGAGGAAGGCGGCGAATCGGTGATGATACCAAGGCCAGTGATCGGGGGACCATCCGGTTTCCACAATCCCTGGCAAGAAAAGGAATTCACCGCCCTTCGCCTTCCAGGCGGAACATTCCACACACATCCCCCACGCTTTCCTCCCCAGCACGCTTCTCAGTGGGGTATTTGAAGGAGGGGCAGATAACGCAAGATGGTGCCCGATCACAATATAGGGCTGGGACGTGTTGGTGATATGGAAGTACGTGACAAGGAGAACTAAGGGGTACAAGTGTACATATCCACAGCTGGCTGACCAAGGAGCCTGCTCAGATCCATGCCAATATCGACAGGTCTCATCATGTGGGGTTAATTGGCCCCCCCTGGCCCCTTGGGTGTTGTTTTGAAGACTTTCTCTTCGCGCCTTGAAGCAAAGGTCCTCGCAGGTCATAAAGAACGCGCCTCGTATGTTTTGTGCTTGAAGCTCCGTCCCAGCGGACGCAACATCGCTTGGCCGAGAAAGAGAGTTCCCCCATGAGGAGGAATTCATCGTTGGCATACTCAAGTGGAAAAGAGTTTTATTAATTATCATTCTCCACGAGCTGCGATGGTCGTTGGATCTGAAGACTCACTACAATTATGGAAACTTCCGTTGATTGAGTTTGCGGCGAAAGTCAGCCTCATTGAACGAGATCAGTATCCTTGATTTGAGAATCCGTGAGTCCGTTTCGCTGCCGTACGCCGTGTCCAGAGTACTTTGTTTAATAAATTTTAAAGCGTCCAAGTCTCTTCCCTCGCAATGGGATTCTCCAACCACTCAAGCTCGACAACTTTATTTCAGAATGTTGCCTGGTGCCTGCATCTTACTACGATTGCATCATGCAGGGGCAGCCTTCTTCCAACACCGTTGCGTTGCGTATTCCCCTCACCTCGGCTCGGCGATGCCTGGTTCTGAGGGGGCTAAGGTTATGTAACCACGTGAGAAAGTATTGCTGAGGGACAGCGCTTGAAAGCCCACAAGCGCTCCTATATAAAGACGATGGATATTATCCAGTGCAAGAATTCGACAATGATTTGTCGCGAGGTGCGATCGGCCTTTTCCCATTTCTAGAGTAGGGTTTATGTCCGAATTCTTCATGTGCCTCACTCGCGCAGTCAGACGGAACGCAAATACTTCATTCCAGACGTAGCCTTCCAGTAGCCGACTGCAGACATTAGCGCATGCAGCAGCTAATATTGGATATGCGCCTGTAAGCGAACAAGCGTGCAGGGTCCAATAATAGAGATAAGCTTCAAGGAAGAGACATGCAGAATCTAGGGAGCAGTTTTGTAGTCTTCAATTAGCCGTTAGGCTTACGAGTGGCCCAGCTGCCGCCAAGCACCCAATTGAAGGAGCAGTAGGAGGTGCGGCAGCTAATAGTGGAGACATGTTACCAAAAACGGCCTATTGAGGTACCTGGTACGAGTACCCAGAAAATACAACATCGATCAAGAGGCACGGAACTCTAAATAAAAGACGGCTGTATAAAATGGACTGCTCTGCCCAGGTAATCCGGGGAGTCCGGGGGCAATGTCCAGGGACCAGCCGCAAACATGACTTCCCTGCTTCTATTCTTCATTTCCGTCGCAAGTTTCTGCAATTTCTTCCAAAGTGTGGAAGGCGTACTACCCAGAGGGAACACGTCGAGCGGCCCTTACTTGACCGACTATGACTACATCGTAGTAGGCAGTGGCCCGGGGGGTGCACCTCTAGCTGCTCGTCTCGGCCTTGCAGGAAACAAAGTCCTGGTCATTGAAGCTGGATCAGATGTCACGACATCAGACTGGAACATAACTGTCCCATTCTTCAACGCAAAAGCCAGCGAGGACCCCCGGATAAACTGGGCCTTCTATGTATGTTCGGCCGACCTTAGCAGAATCTGCGGCTGACGGCAAGACAGGTGAACCACTACCCCACGGAAGAACAGAACGCAAAGGATCCCAAGTACCTCTACCAACTTGCGAACGGTACCTTGATCGAAGGTCCCAATCCACCAGCTGACGCCACACCAAAAGGCTTTCTCTATCCTCGATCTGCAGCAATTGGCGGGTGTGTCAACCACAATGCTTTGATCATGATGAAACCGCTCGATGACGACTGGTCACAAATCCAAAGCATCACCGGAGATGCCGCATGGAGTCCTGCCAACATGAGTCCATATTTTGAGAAATTCGAAAACTGTCAGTATTGTTCATCAGGCGCAGCCGGACATGGTTTCAACGGCTGGCTGTCAACGAACCGTGCCGAGGAGTCGATATTTCTTGGCGATCCTCAGGTTTTGAGCATGTTGAATGTATGAAGGGCGAGTCTTCAAGATGTAGAGGCTATGTTAATGGCTTCCAGGCAGCTTCCACAGTCTCCGCCAACGCGGTAGGATCTACAGGGGGCTTGAATGACTCTCTGGCCCGTGACTTGAATGCGCCGGCAGGTTACCCAACTCACCAGGGGCTCTTCAACACTCCTCTCAACATGAATCAATACCAGCGGAGCTCTCCACGTGACTTTCTCGTGAACACAGTCCAATATCTCAATACGCACCCACGGGTTGGAGGGAAGATTGACATTCGAACAGATTGTCTGGCGACTCGCGTGCTGTTCAAACCAAACAGCAAGCAGGTGATAGGGGTAGAGTTTATGGACGGCCAGAGTCTCTACCGCGCAGACCCAAGGGCTACTTCCTCTTCTGCAGGTGTACTTGGTAGGTGAAACTCTCCCCAGAGATTAAATAGCCAACTGCTAAAGATAAAACAGGCACCGCACTCACCAGGAAAGAAGTCATAATCTCCGCCGGCACATTCAACACCCCGCAACTCATCAAACTAAGCGGTATCGGTCCTGCCGACGAACTCCACAAACTTGGGATCCCTCTTGTCGTCGACCTTCCAGGCGTAGGGCAGAACCTGCAAGATCGCTACGAAAATGGCGTTATCGTTAATCTTACGAACCCGTTCTCCGTGTTCAAGGCGAGTACCCCCCCCTTTTTTTCTCTCTCATGCACCCAGCATATAATGCCATACTAAAGGATCTCAGGGCTGCACTCAGGGCGCAGACGCCTCCGATCCCTGCCTCGTCGAATGGAACACCCTGCAGAGCAACAAAACCAAATACGCAACCAACGGCCGGCCGGTCGCGATCCCCAGGCGCTCCTCTGTCGCCTTGAGCACCCCAAACGACATGATCATCACGGGCCGCCCAGGCTACTTCGCCGGCTACTTCCCAGGTTACTCGAAAATCGGCGCGAAATTCCCAAATAGCTGGACCTGGCCCGTCCTCAAAGCGCGAACCCAGAACAGAGCAGGGAATGTGACGTTGGCTAGCAAAGATCCGAGGGATGTGCCGAGTATCAATTTCAACTACTTCTCCTCCGGCTCAGGAAATTGGCAGTACGATTTAGCTGCCACGGTCGAAGGGATGCAATTCGCGCGCTCCATCATCGCTCAATACGTCCAGGACACCAATTCAATCATCAACGAACTCGTTCCCGGTCCAGGGTATGAGACCCAAGAGCAGCTGACGCAATGGGTTAGGGATACGAGTTGGGGACACCATGCGTGCTGTACGGCGAAGATTGGTGCTGATAGCGACAAGATGGCGGTGCTGGATAGCAAGTTTAGGGTCAGAGGCACGACGGGGTTGCGGGTCGTGGACGCGAGTGTCTTCCCGCAGATTCCGGGGTATTATATCCAAACGCCGATTTATATGGTCAGTGAGAAGGCGGCGGATGTTATTTTGGGGCATTGAGAGGGGCTGGGAGGAGTGGCCTCTGGAGGGGGGTGCTTCGCTTAATTACAGTAGTAATTTGAAACACGATGAAAATTCAACTTATCCTTGAAAGTAATCTTCATTTTATGGGAATCTCAAAGACATTCCCTACTGTTCAATCTCAGCCCTTTCTATTTCTGATATTATAAATATGTTCGTTGCCTAGAAGTGTTGACGTGTTTTGGACAATAAGCGAACCAGCTGGATGGGACAAGGCCTTCTCGGGGCTCCCACGATATGGAAACCCCAAACCGTTTCCCACCAGCTTATCTTGATTTGGAGGATCCAGAGTTGTGTATAGAGGAATATTTATTCGTAGCTCCCGCACTCGTCGTGATACGTACGGAGGAGCCATTGTTATCACCCAAACTAGTGTCTCCGAAAAGTTGGCCTCCTCGTGGTATAGTCTAGGAAAGGCAGCAAAAACCGTCCTCCTTGTTCATGAATCAGGCATCGAATTGTTGGTATTAACGCTTCAAAGGAGTTAGAATGTATGCTCGAGATCTGTAGGAGGTGTTGGACCTGTTCGATGAGGGACGAAACAATGGGTCGTGGCTCGAAAGATGCCCTGTTTTGGTTATTCATGATTTCCGACAAGGAAGAATAAGATAAAACCTAACATTTTAGCTGAGAAGGGTGTTCATTTGGGCTGAATACCAACAATCTGCGATCCCTGATTGCCATCCTGGGAATGGATTTCTGTTCCTGCTAGCCTTTCCTCTGATGTCGTGTTTAGAACGGCTGTCATCTGGAGCGAGTGACGGTAGGAGCTCGAACGGTCTTCAAGGAGCCATGCTGGAGACAGGGGATAGGGGCCGTCATTTGGAGATCTCGAGAATCTCCACACGTAGCATGTGCTGCTGTTGACCGTGACCGGAGTAGAATTGAGGGTTGTGTTTGAGGCGTTCCACGCCATCTGCGCTGGGTTTAGCGTTCATGTAGGGCGGCTTCCAGTGTTCACCGGCGCCAGCCGGAGCTTTTCAACGACATCTGGTGGCAGCGAAACTGTACCTCTGGTATCAGACTCTTTTCCGACAAGAATTTGAATGCAATGAATCTAATAATAGACAGGAAACGCCCCTTCAGTACCCACTCGAGTTGAGATCCCTCCAACTCGTGCCATTGGTTCTGCATTGCTTGCAACCGAAGAACACTCGCCACAATTCTGTAACAAGGATGCGATGCCCGATATTGAAGAGTGATGCCATACGGCGAATGATAGTGATCTTTCAGATGAAACCTGGACGGTAAGTAGTTATCCCAGTCTTTCGGGTCATGGTGTTCTCCTTGACGAGGGGTGCTACAGGTATGCTCGCTCAAATGACCTGATCTGGTGACCCCATCAAAATACGACCCCAAAAGGAGAGTGCTCTTGGCTTGATCTTACTTCTGCTTGATGGATAATTCCAAGCCATTATCCCTGCTTTCTGGGAAGAACGGGCCTCGGGCTGCTGATCTCCCTGCTCTCTTGTATTTTTGCAAGTGTTCCCAGCAGTATTGGAAGACTGGAGCTTCAAGTAGAAGCGAGAATCTAGACGCATAGTCTTCTTCTGGCTACTATAAACTGTAGGACAAGGCCGTGTCCGGGATATTCCGTCCTTGAGAGGCCGGATTGGGTGGCAGATGCTGCAGTGAATTCCCTTTCCCATTAGGAAAGCAAGAATTCGCCTCTCAAATAACGAAAGACGCTACTATAGTGTCTCTTGTCCACAACCCGTGACTTCTACCCCGCACTAATACCACTTTTCCAAAAATAATTCCCGAAAACTCTCGGGTTCGCCTTTCAATTCATCAACATCACAAACCCATCAACCCAACCCTACAACATGTCTTGTACATCAAAACACCGCTTGGTAAGCATTTTGCGAGGTTCCTTCTGTTCGTTTCCGTGCAGCACATTGCCTCTGACGATGTTGTTCGGCTGCGCGCCGAAAGGCGATGTAAAGAGCCGAGGGCGTCGTTCTCTGCTCTTGAAGACGAAAAGACTAACTGCTTGACAGAAACCTCAAAACCGAGCCCCAATACAAGTAAGGCGAAGGGCAACGACGAATATGCAGAACGATTAATATCAAGGCACCAGGTACGTTGTGTTGACCCCCTGGATCGCTTTTCGCCTTTCACACCCCTCGCCTTTCGCACCCCTCGCCTTTCACACCCCTCGCCTTTCACACCCCTCGCCTTTCACACCCCTCGCCTTTCATGTACCTAGCCTTTCACGCATCTCGCCTTTAGTACCATGACCATTAATAACAGCTGACCGTCATTAGGCTCGCTGTGCCTTCACTAATAAAGAACTCATAGTATTCAGGGCGCTTTCTAGACTCTGCAACTGACCCGGCTGCTAGTTAGTATCAGGCATAACCGCCTCCTCAACACCACAAATTCTCTTGGTATGCCATTTCCATGCCCCCGAACCCTGCCACGCTATTGCAGTGACCCAACAGTTAACTGTTTCCAGGTACATTATGCCACTTGCAGAACTCCCAAAACCAAGGAGCGTTCCCGCCAACCCTTCCCACATTACCACATGACGCATGTTGCATCTTCAGCTGATCTTGGAGCTGGTCACAATAGAGAATAGCGGCCTTCTCACAAAGGATGAAAGAGGTCATGTCTGCTGCTGGCGGCGCCATGACACAAACGTTCATGGCTCCAAATTTTCGTGCTTCCTCTGTGTTAATCGGGGCTGGTCCCTTTTCTTTGGTCAATTATCCGCATTTCCCTCTCTCCTTCTCCGGAACCCCGGCGTTACTCTGGCCACGTCCCACAGTAGGCTTTTCTCTGCAAACTCTTGTCGTTGTCAACCTCGTAAACAGTTCTATTAGCACATTGCTTTCGGACGGCAATTGTTGTTATCGGACGATCGGGATCTGTTTTCGGCACATCTTTGAGACAAACACTTTTCTTCTTGCCTTATCCTTGAGAGGAATACTCTTCTTTTCGTCTCATTCTTCAGAGTAAACAATGTCTGCTGGAGGAGTTTTGTTGATTTGCAATTTTGAAGCAGTCCCTTACCATTACTTTCTGTAACACTTTTTAATGGAAGAGCCTGTTACCGTCTGGTGTTTGCTGTGTTTTCTGCGAATCCTTTTGACGGAAAGACTAATTTTACCAGATGGTTCTTCTATTCGTTATGGAGATATTCTTGCGCAAGACATTGGATTCGCGAAACCGCAGTGGTGCTCGCTTTGACTACCGAGCAGCAAGCAGCTAAGGCCAAGAACCGAAAGACTGTTAGAACCCTTCCCAACATTCCTTGCGTGCCCTGCAAAGAGAACCAAGCTTGTAAGAAGACTAGCAATCTGATGAGCTAGTGGCTCGTTTGCCTTGGATACGAACGTGCTAATTGCTAACTAGAGGCTGACTTGTTCCCAATTTGTTAATAGGCGCCTTCCCTTGCTTGTCTCGAATACGAAAACTAGGGGAAGGCTCCTAGCTCAAACATAGACACGAGTTCGCCCAGCTTTTCCTAGACACATCCTGCTGGAGGGTATTACCAGCTTCTTTCCTCCCTAAGTAATAGATACTGACAGATTGTAGGACATTGCTGGTGTTGATAAAACAACTACATCGAATGCATATACCTTGTCGACTTTTCAGCTTCTGAGTGAGCAATCTACCTCGAACTTTCGCAGGTTCTTGCTGCGATTGATTTTGAGTACAGTCGAGGAAAGTCGGCAAGGGGCGGAGAGGCGATCGGACCTAGCAAGTTGTTTCAAATTCTGAAGGCACCCTCTTTTTATATGTCTCACTTGTGGACAGCCTTCAACCCTGCCTAATGCCCAGATGATGAGTCAAGTTTGGTGACAGAAAGCCGGTTCTCTACGTCACATCCATTCCCGACCCCAACGTGAGCCTGGAAGCCTACTCCCAGGTTAAGAAGGAAGAGAACTGGGAAAGAAGCCGGTTGTACTGTTCGTTGATCACGAGCTTCAGACTGGAAACTCGACAAAGCACAACTTCAAATTCGCTGCCTGATTCCCCATTTTACCTTGGGGCCCGAAACAGAGCGGTCCGCCATGCGTCAGTTCAGCGCATCGCATGTCCCACGGTGTAACATATACAGGCGATCTTTGTGACAAGATCATTGTGCGCTGTCTAAACGAGTTTCATGCCTCTGTCGACAAGTTTGAGCTCCACGTCAAGCAAAAGTATTGGCCGCCTTGGTCAAACTTCCTGGAGTTTATTTTGGAGTTAATGATTCTACCGCGTTGAGCAGCCATCTCTTTACTGAGAGAACCACCGATCTAACGGGTGAGTGACTTCCTCGCTTTGCAATGGAACTCTTCTCTGACTAGCTGCACAAGCCAGTCGCTCTCGTGTGTCATCGCAATTCCATAGTCGTGCCCGAGGGCAGAGTCAATTGCCCGCTCCGTATCCCATATAGTTGCTCACGAGCAAGACTATATGACGCCAGAGCGGCGACTATCGGGCAGAGGTTGACTTGCCAAGAGCAGCTCCACACAAATGCCCGGTAATTCAGTCCTGTCCCTCCTTGTTTTCTGAACGTCATAGCTAATTTCTCATCTGAAGACCAAACACTGCGCGCAACAAGGCTCAAGAGACCTACGACCTGATCACCCAAAGTCCCGGCCGAGCTCATCGTTGAGGCAAGAGAAGAAAGTTCACGTCTACGGCTTCCACACTGTCAACACTGTTGACGTGGACTACTCTGAGGCCAGAAACAAGGTTGTTCTCGGACGACCTCTGTCGACAATTTTCAGTCTTGTCCGTCCGCTTGCCCTAGGTATATTTGTCAAGTTCGATGGATATTGAGCTGGGGAGATTGGGACAAGTCGCAAGCGCTTCTCTCAGGACAACCTCCTCTCGTTAGGTCGTTTGCACGAGAGCCTCAACCATACAAATTCTCCTGCAAAAACTCAATCGACATTGACAGCAAACCTCTGAAGACGATATTAGAGTTCTGTGAAGATTTGACCCATGGAGTACTGCGTGCAAAGAAGGAAAAGGAAGCACTCGAACGTGGATATGTGTTGCCTCCCCGCAAAACATTAGCGAAGGAGAGAGGAGTAGCAAGAAAGACAGCAAAGCCAACTATGCAAACTATGCCTAACCCATCCGCCACACCTCAATTAAGGAAGAAATTTGGCCGAGACCCAGCTGTGGACAAACCTTTAATAACTAACCGAGATCTCTTCAAAGTCACAACCACTGCGTAACTGCTCAGGATGAAAGGCGCCGACATGGACACAATTGAGCTCCTCCACCGATACCGTGGTCTTCCTTCCACCTCTTCCCTCAAGAGAATCATGAAGCCCATGCAACTGCGTCTGAGGTTGATGGGGAGAAACAACTTGAAGCTGAAGAGAGACTTCGCACACAGAAGGATCGAGAAGAGGCACATCGAGTCGGTTGGGAGAGGGGAGCAAGTTGAGCAACGAGGCACTCGGCCTTGGTCTTTCCACCAGTTTCAGTCCTGGCGTCGTCAGGAGCGACCGCCGGTCGAAGGAAGCAGTTTCCCCCTCCGCCCATAGAGCATTGCGAAGGAATGCGGTGAAGTAAGTTTTCCTCGTGTTGAAATGATTGAAACGAAGCCCTGTGGGCTGACTAGCACATAAAGAGTTGCTTATGCTCAGGCAAAGAAGGACAAGGAGGTAAAAGCCAAGGCCGAGGCGGAGGAAAAGATTGCAAAGGCCAAGGTTGAAAAGGAAGAGGCAAAACTTGAAAAGAGGGGATAACTTTGGCAGGAGAAATGCCAAGGAATCCAATGAAAACTGTACATCGATAAAAGAAATGAAGATACCTTTCCCTGAGGCCGCTGCGGCGTGCATCCCAACAATGTGAACGTGAAGTTGACATCGCACCAGGAAATGAGGAAATTGATAGTAAGCTTCCCCAGGTTCAGAAACTTCTGTTGCTAACTCCTGTCAGAATCTGGCTGTCATCTCAGAAACCGACTTGTGACTTCTCCCACACTGTGGCTTTGACGATGCTGGTGAAGCAGATGATCTGTTCGTCCGCTCCTCAGTATTTTCAGTGTGGCACTATTCCAAGACAGACCCATTTCGAAAAACGGGAGGATACGAGGCTGCACACCAAGTAACCTCTCGATGAAGCCAACAAACCCAAGATTGTTTGGAAGAGAAAGTTATGTACCGTTCGGCCACGAAGCCAATGAGTTGGCACAGCCTCAACCCGTACAAATTCTCATACGAGGCCTTGCTTGATGTCAACAGTAAACTCGTCAGGGTACGTTCGCTGCCCCCGCCCCCCCCTCGATGCGCATGTTGCTGATATTTTCTAAAGGTTGCGTCTTTTCGTGTTTTCGGAGAATTCGGTGGCTCAATCGATCATTCTTGAGCATTTCAGGAGTGGGTCCAGGTCTTGGTAAGTTCAAACATTTGAACTCTCTTCGCTTCTTCAAGTCTTTTTGCATGTATACTGGCGCTAAGAACAGTTTTCACCTGCATTTCTCTGCTGCTTTTGCCAATGGTGTTATTGTTCAGCCGAGACTGCTGGCGAAGGCTTTCTTTCGCCCGCGCTTGAGAAAATCCATGGCTGTTTGCTAATCCACCCAGGAAAAGCAACTTACTCGAAGTCCAATTTTCTCAAAGACCTGGACCTCGTCACTCAATCGACAAGCTGAGGAGGTCCCTTTCCCCCTCCCCTTTCCCCTCCTCTTTCTCCATTCTGAGGAAGGAGCCAACATCTTCCAAAATTCTCCAGCATTTCTATAACTGCACTCCTCCGAAGATCGTCCAAAGCGTCCATCTCAACACAAGAAGTCATCCTGGTCATAGCATGACTCAGCTTGAGGGTACCTAGCACGCATTCATTCGGCGCGGTGGGGTAAAGAGAACTGGTACAGCGGTACGGGGAATCGGTTCTCGTTCGCTGGACCTACCCTCTCTCCCGCGGTACCAACACTCCCTTTTGGTGTGCCATTCACCGTACCAACTCTCAGTACTCTTCCGCCGGAGTTGCACTTGATGATTTTCAGCCAGCGTGGTGACTGCTCAGCAACCTGCCTCAGCTTGACATCCGATTACTTCCATGCCACTCAACGCCGTCATCAGCGTCGTCAGGGCCGTCCCAAATTCACAATCGACTCATTGATGTATCAAACCACTCTCAACGTAGTTGCTCCTGGATGCCTGTTTGAGCTCCTCGAATGGCCGACTGGGTCCCGGAGGGGACTCGACACCGCTACTACCGGCTTGCCGGCATGTTACTTGCTGTTGTTGAGAACCCTCAGTAGGCTGAGCAACGAGAGCGTGCCCTGCGCCGCCGAGAAATCCGAGTCGGTGGATTTGGCTCCCTCCCCTGAAGACAATGTGCTTACTTGACTTTAGAGTTGGATGTTCTTTGTACGCCGGACGGCCGAAGCCTGCCAAGGCCGTCAGTACCCCGATGCTGGAAGGCGCCAGTCGCGATCTTGAGATCGATTGCGAGAGTGAAGAAGCTGAGACTCAGCTCGATACTCCTGCACAGGGCACAAAGCCAAAGCCGAGAGCGAGAAAGACCAGGGCCTCTCTTGACGAGGAGGACGACACAACCTTCAAAAGAGGAGAAAGAGGGGAAGGGGAAGGAGATGTAGATGAACGACTTGATTGAGTTTCTGTAACCGTAGAAAATGGAATCATTTCTCAAATTCTGTGAGCGGGGCTGGAGATGGGACTTTCCAGGTTTGAGTTTTGATGTTTTCCTTGATCAAGTTGATCCTTGTAAGCTCTTTCAGCTGCCCTCAAACTCCGTCTCTCTCGTTCCCCCCTGCGAGTCCCTGTTATATTAGAAATAGCCAGGTGTTGAATGGCCCGCAATGACTGAAAACTACCCACAGCACTCGCTGATCTACCCCCGCGCGCGTCTGAAACTCCTTCCTAGTCGCTCCGTCTCGTCTCATCATTTCCATCAAGCACACCGTCCCCGCTCGGGGCTTCACCAAACTCTCTCTCACACACATCAAGGGGCGCTTCATCAACTCTCCCGGACTTTTGAAAGCAATGCACTTGCACCGTTTTTGTTCAACGCAGCTGCACCTGGAGTACGCTCCGCAGCTTCCAGTCAACTTCAAAGGGCCAAATCCACATCACAATCGCAGTGAGTATCCCCACCTTATATTAAAGTTCTTCATTGACAAACTAATTACACAGAAGCTTGAGAACAGTTGAGTGCATGGCGAATTCCTCCTGCAAGGCGACCGCAAGCCCGAAATAGAACCAGACCAACCCAGCTAGCGCGAGACCAAAGTCACAATACAAAATGAACGCCATGCATCACAAAATGAGCGAATGACCGCAATTATTCCTCCTAGAGCAACCTCGAACCATCAGCAAGCCTGCACCGTACTCCATTCCCAACCGGAACAGAAGTCACAGATGAAAGTGACCACGCAATAGGAGTCGCTACGATACGCTGCCGCTGGCAGGAACATGACAATTGTTGAAAGGAAAATAAATAAGAACGACGAAGAGTGTTGTTTTGTTTATTCAAAATTGAACATAAGAAGTGTGAAGTGAGTACTCTTGACAATAAAGTAAAGTGCGAAGCTGACGGATATCTTGAGGAGATGAGACGTGTCATGGTGACTAATGACCTTGGCGATATCTCTCAGATTCACAAATGATGAAATTCGGTGAAATCTAATCGAAGTCGATCAACTTTTCGTTTGCTCTGCCTGAGTTGGTAGATTCTTGAGGAGTTGGAGGCGGGGAATGCGTGTTTTGTTCTGGCGTCTGTTCAATGCCCCACACTGACGGGTAGCTCTGGACTCGAGACTGAGGACCAGTTGCGCCGTACTGACCAATTAGATTCCCCTCAGCTGCAGAGCTTGTTGCAGGCGCAGCGCCTGGCAAATCATCCTCCAAGCCGAGAAGGTCACCGGTGGTCTGTGGCTGTGCTTCCTCTGATTGTCGTCCGCCGCCTCTGGGATGACGTCTACCTCTAGCAGAGACTTTGGCAGAAGCACGTTCTTGAAAGGAATCACAGCCTCTGACAGAGCCACGTCCTCGAAAAGCGCCAACATCTCTTGAGGAATCACCTCCTGCAACAAATACGCCTCCTCTGTATGAGCCGGTTTCTCTCGGGATGCTGTAGCCTCGCTGATAATTGCCACCTCTGAATCTATCTCCAAGGTCATGAATACTAAGATGCACCTGCTTGCTCTTCGGAGAATGAACATCTTTTTTGTTGCCCACAGGGCGCTCAATGTCTTCACTAAAGGCCGTGAGCATAGTCTCATTCATCGACAGATTTTCCATGTCGCTTGTGACTTCCATCAGAACCTTAGAAGCAACGAAAACGTTCTTCTTGGCGGCTTGGGAAACGTCAGTTAGAGACGGGATTGGATCAAAGTTTCCATGGGGCTTCTCTTCATTGTCCGATTGACTGCCATCTCCACCACTCTGCGCAATTGGGCCGGCTGCAAGGACAGCATGCAAGGAGCTGATTCCGATATCACTCCGCGGGACAAGCCTACGACGAAGGCCAGATGAAACAATGACTCGCTCTCCACTTTGATTCAGTGTTGTTGGGATAAATGTCTCCTTGAAAACCAACTGTGAGCGATCAATCTTTGGGGCAGACGCTTCTTCAAGGCGGCGCTTCTCCACGAGATCTTCGTCCGACTTCTTCGCGTCCCAGTTTTGCCAAGCTTGAGGAGTAAACGGGGAGAGGTTGGAACCACCGAAAGTCGATCTCCTAACAACTGATATCTGGGGACTGGGATCGCTACCACGAGTTCGAACTGAACCCGAATGTGGTTTGTTTAATGTTGATAGAAATGGATCACCACGCTTTGTCGGTAACATTCGGTTTTCTGAGTGTGCCATTAATAGTCCCGAAGCCGATCGTGCCGGTGTCGCTTGTCTCAATGACTGACCGCCATGGGCAAGATCAGTTCTGGCATCAGAAGTCTCGACCATGCCCTTGGTCGCCGCAACAAAGGTCACACGCTTTCCTACCAAGTACTCCGCTGCTGATTTCTTCGTGGAACTTTTTGTCGGGCTTTCTCCCCATACAGTATCCAGGCGCCCAGTATTGTCAACAGGGTTGATGCTCTCAGTGGCATAATTTGGCACATGAAATTGACCGTCCCACAACCCGCATGCATCGCAATAGCACTTTGCTGTGCAATTCTTCGAGCACTTGTGGCCGCAAGTCAATACACGCACACATGCTGCTTTGCATGATATTTGTGTATGGTCGGCAGGGTGGCAATGAACCTCGCATGGATGACCACACGGAAGTACGCCTCCACACGGTTGATCGCAACCGCCAGCCAGGACCTGGTCGAAATGACGAGCCTCGTAAAGTCGAGTGATTTTTCCGTGCTTACTACAAGTCACTGGCAAGCCGCCATCAACATTAAATCGACGTTGGCGAGTCATGTGCAATACAAGAGGACCCCAGAGCGGATCTCTGCCTACAATGTCTTCATCCGACTCAGCGGCGGCCAGAGTGGTAGAATTGCCAAAGAGATACAGCCCCCGCCGGGCTCTTGATAGTGCAACGACCAAACGATTCTTGCTATCGAGAAAGCCGATCAAATTCTGCTTGTTGCTGCGGACCAGTGACAGGAGGATGATGTCGTTCTCTTCGCCTTGGTAACTATCGACCGTGAAAACATTGAAAGGGCGCATGGGCTTGAGAGCCTCGATCCAGTTAAGTTCCTGAATCACAGTGGTCTTCTGGCCGGTGTAAAACTATCCTGGCGTCAGTATGAAGTTCTCAGTTCAACGGAGCAACTCACTGTTAGAACCGAAATCTTGCGAGCATCAACGCCGTTCTGGCAGAGATACAAAAAGAAGCGTGCAATCACCTGAGCCTCTTGGAGATTGAACCGACTGCATTCCGCATTGGTCGCCTCGCCGAAGCCGTGGTGGAAGAAATACGTATCCAGACCACCCATTCCTGGAACCGGCGGCCGATTGTGGAGTCGATCCAGCACAGATGGGTGGTCCTGCAGATCCTTGTAAAAGGGTTCAGGATCCATACAAAGCAGTCGCCGAACATCTTGAATCATTCGACGCTGGACGTTCAGCATGACATATCCGATACCGCTGTTTACCAAACGCTCGAACATTGAGATGCTCATATTGAATGGGTGAAGCTCAAGAGCACGAACGGTGCAGTTTGCCTGTAACTGTTGGTGATCGCCGACCAAGATCAAGTGCTGGATGGTGTCCATCAGACCGCCAATCACGTTCCCCTCCAAGGTTTCGGCAGCCTCTTCGATTAAGAGAACGCGAGGCTGAAGTGCAGAGAGGAGGCCGCGGTACTTGGACAAGCCCGTTGTTGTGCATCCAATGACTTTGATTCCGAGGTGGCGAATCAAGCGAATATCGGACATACGCTACGAATTTCAGCGTGACCCTCAGAAAATCTAGCGCAGATACACCCATAAACTTACCTTTGTGACGGTCCAGCCGTTGACGAAGTCTTGATATTCCTTGAACCGAACCTTCAGTTCCTTGAGAACTATTTTGTTCATCTCCTTCTCCAAAAAGCGGTACACCTCTCCACGATGTGCCACAGGAACGTCATACAAGTTCTTCCAGCTTGCGAGTTTCTGCTTAATCTTCTTATCGCTGAGGGTTTGCGGGTGAGAGTGCCTGCCAGTGAACTTGCGCATGAACGGCAACCACTCTCCCTTCAAACCTTCATCATCGTCAAGCTTGTTTTCTTCATCAGCAGCATCCGCTTTAAATTCATTATCCACGTCTTCAATCTGTTCTTCGTACTCGATGTCACCTTGTTCGACGGCGAGGCCGAGATTTACCGGAGCGGTCTCTGGAACCGGCATGATTTGGTCCTCCGTGAGCCCTACCACATACGTTAGCTAATGCACCGGCCAAGAAACCTTTACCGCCATTCTTACATTCAGCGATATCGCCACTCATGTCTTCTCCCTCCCAGTCAGAATTTCCATATAGGGACTTGTACTGGGACTCGGTGATAAGACCATGGGTTTTCAAAGTTTCGGCGGTCAACAGCTTGTCTGTCATCAAGGTTTCCAACGTCGCCTTCAAATCGCTCGCACATTTTGCTCCCTGAATGTGGGCTTGTCTAAAGCCAGCTCTGCCACCGGGGACTGTGTTGTTTATCCTCAAATTGAACAATGTACGCTCGAGGATGGCCTTGTTGGCTTTGTTGCTTCGACCACCAAGTCTTAGGATATTCGACTCGAAGGTGAGGACATGATTAAGCAGCTGGTCCAGAGCGTGGTTTGTTTGTGCAGCAACAATTATTGCAGGATCATCACCAGCCAAGTTTGCGTTCATCACTTTCAAAGCCGAGACGGAGGTGAACGTCTTTCCTGTTCCTGGTGGACCTTGGACAATAGCAATGCGACTCGTAATCATCTTCTGACAAGCCGACATCTGAGATTTGTCCATTCCCGAATTCATATCCTTTGGAAAGTCTTGGAGAACATCGACGTTGATATACCGGTCGGGGTCTTGTCCGTTCGCAGCTGAAGGATCATCGCTTCGCTCAAGAGAAGAGAGATCCATGAGTGGTTGGTCCTCAATATATCGGGGCGCCTCGATGTCTTGGTCCAGGCCAACGATGTGATTCTCTAGCTCAAATCTTAAGCAAAGTCAGCGATGCACACGGATAGATCTCTTTGGGCGCCGCTGATGAGCTTACTTTTCTGTCATCAGCTTCTGCATTGCAACCAGTATGTGGCGGGAGGCTTCAAAATATCCTTCACGGGCTTCGATCATGACATATTCTGGAAGAGTGTTAGATCAAACAATATTGGGAGCTCTCGTTACCCACTGGTCACGGGATCAATTGTTGCCTCCTCGTTGTCTGCCCAAAACAATTCGATCGCCGGCGGGTTCTGCTGAAGCAGTGTCATGCCGCGACCAACGACAATGGCGATCTTGCAATCTGTCTTGAACATATCCTTGCTCAAGGCAACCATGGTTCCCTGAAGTAATCGCTTCGATTGTTTCCACTTGATCTGCTTTTGGGGGGAGAATGTTACTCGGAAGCCGACACCAGTTTTGCTCAAGGCAAGTCCTTTGAGTGTCACCTGTGGTCGTCAGAAACAAAAATTCGGTTACTCTTGGGAACCTTACATCTTTGTAGACGCAGATCTCGTTATCGTCCACCAGAGAAGGGCATTTCTTGAACTCAGCAACTGCCACACGTAGTGGCGCAATCGCATCCTCTCGCAGAATCTGGTAGTGAGTACCAAGGTATGCCTCTCTTGAAGGCCAAGGTCCGTCAACAATGTTATGAGGGAGGTTTGGGTCGTACAACGGCTCTTGCTGATAATCAAGGAAGTTTTTGTCTTGTTGGGCATTCCCATCGGCTTTGTCCACCATACTCTTCGGAGGTGGGCATATCTCGGCTTTCGATGGAACCTCTGGAAGGTTTCGCCATTCCTGGGGGTAGGATTGGTTCTCGTATGTCTTGTAGACATGCTGATGGAGAATTTCCCTCGCCCTGTTCTCCCCATACTGCCGCTGTTGAAAAGGCGTTCCACCCGCCATCATTCGACCTGATAAAATGCCAAGTCAGCGACGAAACTCGAGGGACGTGAGGATTAGTTGCGGAAAGAATGAAGGAAATGAAATCCGATGTCATGCTGGAGAACTCTTTCCTCGATGCGCTTCTGCGCACGTGGCAAAAAGCGCGACCGGGGACCGGGCGTTGCAATTGAGAAGACTTACCGCGAATGCTCCGACGTCAACTCTGACGGAGGGCGATTGAGATTGCTATGTACAGAGACCAAGGAGAAAAGGTACGAAAAAAGGGGAGAACTTGATCAAACGTTAGCTAAGAACGGATGCGAAAGATATCTTGGAGCAAAGCTGAAACGACTTGACTTCTAGACGAGATAAGGTAGACATCGTCCGAAGTCGGGGAGGTAGCCAAAACGGCTGAGACAAGATCTGTAGTGACTTACTTGGCCAATGAGAGATGCTCAAATGGCGACGCGTCGAAGGCTTTGTTGACTTGGAAAGCGTGCAGCAAAATCATGGATGAAAGTTCGCGCCAAACACAATCTTTGCACGGAAGACAGCAGCCTACCTAGACTTTCAAGAAGACACGTCAGTGGGTACGTTTTAGAGGTCTTGGGGGTGAAGATGATGGCTGCGTGGTAGAGGACCGAAACCTCAACTTTGTGGCCCACCAAGGTGGCACGGCCTCAACTCCTCCAACAAGACACCAACTAGAGCATACGCGGGAATCTCGTACCTGGAAGAGAAAGTTTCCCAATAAGGGTAGCAATCTTTGCGGTCTTGGTGTTGCTGTCAGTTGTGGTTGAAAGTAGTTATCGCGATATGGAAGAAGCTTGTGGTGTTGTGGAAGGAAGAAAGGAAGGAAGGAAGTGGAGCTCGATTCAAGGCTTCCCCAAAAAGCGTCGTGGCCCGCTTAGCTTCTTAGCTTCAACAACTCGCTCTGCTCATTTGCCGTAGCCTCGCAGCGTAGGGCTTCCGGTACAAACAAAGTCAATTGATTGGGCTGACGAGGCAATCGGAGTCAAAGGTGATGGTAGTCTGGCAAAGAGGTCGAGGAATTCAAGTTTGCTTTCCGGATGGGCAAGCAAACGCCACCACTGCCTTGTGCCAAGGTAATTGTAGCAATGTTGTTTGAACGCGAAAGCTTTGAATGCCTCTTCGGCAATCTTTCTTCAAATTTGGTTTGGGTTAACATTCAGCTCGCGGTGCTTTCGGTTTCTCTGCAACCCGACTTTGCCTTGACTTGCGGAATGGTCAAACAGAAAGACCGAGAAAGAAAAGACTTGGTGTCTCTGGTTGCATTTCTAGAGCCAAACCGCAAGTTGCACGAGAAAGGGATGCTAAGGACACCGAAATAGCAACCATGATCCTGATGTTGTTGACAGACCACCTTGCATCTGGGATCGTCATCACCTTCGCCTTAATCACTCGCCGAAAACAACATGACCTGTGGAATACCTCTGAAGCCACTCCCACAGCAGCTTCTCTGATCTTGCTGATGGCACACTCCCTGGCACTGCTTATTGATGTAATTGAAAGTGGGGAAGTCAGCTTTTGCAGTCTCACCTTTCCATCCCTCGCACATTTGGAAATACATGATTCCCATGACTATCTTGTTCGGAAATTATTAGGAAGGTTGGGAGCCTCGGAGATCTACTCATTAGATGACGATGAAAGGGTAGTTGTCCCGTACCATTTGCCTCTTTCGGATAATTCCTTCGAGGCCGAGCTGAGTTAGATGACTCGTAAGCTGTTTCCCTACTGTTCATGTCCACAACCCTGGGCTTCCTTCAGCTGACCGACCATTGGCTCTCGCAAATGTCAAAACCCTCTCGGGAACAGCCAAGGATTAAGAAGCCCAACATTCCGTGAGCTGTAAAGCTCCTCGCCGCCATTATCACCTCCCAGGTAGTAAATCAAACAAGGAAAGGCAAGAAGACCGGAAGAGTGCTCGTTGCCGTTGGGCAAGGTTAGATAGGAGACCATCTATGTGAAGGCGGACCGTGAACCACAGTTCCTTTGCTTCGGCAGTTCCAAATACACTGTGTGCAGACAAACGGGCTTAGTAAATAACCGCAGCTTCTGATCCTCTCTGCTGCACCCAGTTTCAGTACAGGGCGGTGGGCAGTCGACCTCCGGAGCGAGTTTGATTTTGGCTTGGTGGGTGGTCGAGAATGATTTGATACTGTGATAGATTTCTCGATTTCCTGTCCCTTGAGAGAACCCACATATATGAGTTCAAGCCATTTACCACAGTTGAAGTTGGTAGGGGGTCATGTCCACGCAGAGCCGCAGCAGATCGCTGGCAGGAGAATGTTCAGAACCAAGGATCGCGAAAGCTAGAAACAGAAATTGGCTTGATCTCATGTTGTTATCGAGGTCAGCTTGGAAGCTCTGTTCAGCTCTTAATAAGCAGTATCAGCTGAAAAGAACGACATCAGTGGAAAAGAATGACATCGGCTGAAAAGACTGACTTCAGCTGGACACAAACAACATACCCGAAGAGGAACGACATTAGCAGAAAGTCCCACTTCAACGGGACGCAAATATCATCAGCGGAAAGGAACAATATCAACGGGAAAGACCCAATTCAGCGTGAAACAAACAACATTGGCGGAACGGAAATGATACCATAGAAAGCAACCGCATAGCCAGGACATTCGCTACCTAAGGATTCGGATCTCATAATCCTGGCTCTCATGCTACTTCCCTTTCGCAGTTGTCGTCTTCCACACTCGCACGCCAGAATGAAGCGAAAGACACCTGGTTCCATCACAATGCCAGCCTGGGGGGGGGCCAAAGTAAATGGAAACCCTTCTTCCCTCTGCGGCCTTACAAGGGAGCTGGTTTAGATCATGTTTCTTTGCCTATCGAAAAGACATATGAGTAGATGGTACTTATTCTTTCTCTCTGCATGTCTCCTTCTAACCGCAGTCTCGATACTCCAATTGATGCTCAAGGGCGATCGGGTAGTAAACAGGACGGGAGTGAACCTAAAGTCAGCCCCTTTTCGCTTTCGCTTCGCGGCTTATCTTCGGTGGCTCTCGCCTTCTAAAAATCTGGATCTCCTTGAGCCTCTCGGTTGGCAACAGATCATATAAAATCTTCTTTAGATTCAGATTCATAGATAAGGCAATCAAGACGTATTGTGGGCTTCCGTTTTGGTGTGGACTGCGCAAGATCTGACCAGTCATACAAATCAGATAACGAAGTATCGAGTTGCTGGTCCACCCGGTCTGATGATAAGGTTTAGCCAATTGGACTCCATCCAATCATTCGACTCGCAACCCCAATGGAACTTGCTTGGGTAAACCTCAAGGAGGAATTGTAGCAGTCTCTGAATTATTAAGGTATCTGTCTTGGGAAATGATCCACAATCCAAAAGCATCTTCTATAAATTACAACTTGAGGCTTTGAGAGCTTCTAACTTCTAGAGAGGAGTTCAACCAGCGAGCCGATAAGGAGGCCAAGATGGAAAATACCACAACCGCTTCTGATTAAAGAGCTACGTTGGATCTTCGTTGTTTACGTAGAACCATCTCTACTTGGCACAAGGCCCCAAAGGTTTGCCCCGGTAGTAACTTATGAAGGCCCTTGCTGACCACTATCCGCAGCCCGAGCCTGGTTTCGTCAGTGTTGGTCACTCTGCCGGCGCTGGCAAGTTTGTGAATGCATTTCAGCACCGTTTTGTCCGTCAGCTGGTTCGCAATGAGTTCCCGACACTTCAGGGGTCGGGCTCTAAGGGGTGCCACGTTCGTGTGAATGGGGGAGGGAAGGGTAGGTGTTAGGAGTCCAAGGTCTCCATCTCGGCACTTCTCTGCACTCACCGCTGTCCCTGGCATGATCCCAGTTTGCAAGTGTGCGAGAGATATTGGGAAGGGGCGGCTTTTGACTACTCATCGTTTGTTGTCTCTGAGAAATGAAGCAAAGGGGAGCTGATGGCATACGGAAGTGCTTTTGTCCATTCAAGCTAAGTCACTGAATATGACTGGAGTGTTATATCTACGCGTTACAAATGCGCGGAGAATTTAAACACATGAGCTGGGGGGGGGGAATCAGACTTCGATGAAAAGCGAAGTCTTTATCGACAAGAAAGAGAATGGGTAAGGATTGGATAGAGGAGAGGATTGGGTCTTTGTGAAGAACTGCCCATCTGAGGATGGAAGAGAAGTAGTTAGAAGAGTGCGTGTACTGTTACAATGTGGATCAACAAATAAACAAAATTTAACCTTAGCGGCATGCGTTGTAATGTCCAAGCCAGAAGTAGGTACAAAGCCAGTTTCAGGAAATGACTGGCCTCGGGCTGGCATTCCCCCAAATGGCACTGCCTCACTCGAGATTTCAAGGTATTGATCTTGGCCAAGTCGATGCCTCTACCATGTGGGATCGAAATCCTCACTGAGAAGTAACAACAAGAAGTCGAGTCAGGCCGAGGGAACAGACTCCAACAAACGTTTAACATTTTGATTGCTGGTGGCGTCTACAACGTTCCTCTTCCACTTAGGATGACTACTTCATGGGGTCCTGCGTTAACAATGAGTCAAGGGAGTTGAACAGAGCCGGCGCTATGCGATGTGTACAAATTGCAGGGACGTAGCCAGCGCGAGCTGGTGACCCAGCCAAGAAGTCCCACGTCTCCCTTCCTTTTGCAGTTTTCTTCGTCAAGCCATCGCCTGCTCGCACCTACCTCGTCCAGACGGGGATCATAGTGACCCACATATATGATGAGGGCCAAACTGCGCTTTAGGTAGGTCATCCCTTGAGGCACATTTAGGTGGGAACGAAGCTAGATGGTCAGGCATAATCATAGCCATGATGTGGACAACTGTCGCTCCTTCTTGACCTCGGCGTCTTTGCAAGTCGATCTCTGCCTACTTTTCCGTCGCCCTTTCAACTAGCTACACTCAAGTGCAATTGTGAATCTCTCCACCGTCTTTTCTCTCACGAGTATCTACATCATCAATACGGCAGAGCCCCCAACGACGTCGCTGGGCATTACCACGCCTTTCTTTGGTAACCCTACAAACCTGTGCCTCGGAGAAGAGCAACCTGCTGGCGGCGATGTCCATTCGCTGAGCCATTGAAGCTGGCCTGGACAAAAACACCCACGGAATCGGACCCAACGAAATTCGAAGCTCGTATAAGGAGATTCGTTTGGGTTACTCAGCGGGAGAAGAATGGCTTGGAACCAAGCTTGTGTCAAGTAAGTCAACTTCGCAAAGGTTTCGAACCTTGGTATGTTGGACTATATTTGATATAACAGAAACTGATAGGCTAGTGTTAGGTGCCGTGGTCCTGGAAAGGGCCCGTTCGAGGAGTGTGTTCTCGTGCCGGACTTCTCCCCTAAAGCGCGGGTTCTAAGCAAGAAACTCATCCTTGGATCCTTGGTTGTGGCTCCTAAGCACTCTCTACTAGAAAATCATCAAAATGAGCCCTCGGAAGAACTTGAACACTAGGGTTGTGATTCAAGAACAGATGCTACCTTAGATTTGGAACATTTGAGCCGAAGGATGCCCCTACGGCCAATCGGTTTCTCGTCCGTTTGGGGGTTCTCACTGGTCGTCTTGGACTACTTCGGGATTTTGACCTGGGAAGAGCGCTGGTGGATGGGATGTGCGGTCATTCTGGAAACACTGAACCTCCTGCCATCGCTGGAGCTGAGATGGAGAGGGATTGCTTTTGAGGATAATTTCAAGTCGGCTGATGGCGAGAAAGGAGATGTTTCGGGAGAACATGGAGGTCGAGTCTATTGAGACCTAGAAAGGAGTTCTTTTTGAGCGTATTGAGTTTGAGTCTACTGAGATGGACAAGGAACTGGCTTTCGAAGGTATAATTGTGAGTCTTCTGAGAAGAACGGAATGCTCATGTTAAATTATGACGCCTTCAAGCTCTGTCCTGGGTTCTCCAAAAATACCAAAAAAAAAGTGCCAGCGTCTGTTACCTCTTACTCTAGATGATTGTTCAAGATTGGATTGATATGTGATATTAGTGGCACTTTTCGTGTCCTCTGGGAGGCAAGTCGTTAATGCCCTGGCCCAATTAACACCCCCAATCGATACCAGGGGGGTGTCGATCTACATTTTCCCACATTAAGGCCCATGATGAAAGAAAAGAAATAGTATGTAGTCATGCCCAGGTATGCATTATATCATAAACACACAGGGAAGATGTTCTGGAAAGAAGGAGGAGGATGTGATGTTTGTCAGATCACGTGCATCTAGACTGATCCCTGTCGCCGCTAGACCCCAGCGTGACTTCAACCCCCCAAATCCAGATCAGATATCACTCTCCCAGCCACAGTAATCAGGCCCGGCCACAGCCCACAGTTCAGTATACCGAGATCCATTTGCTCTAGCAGTTACTCTGGCTGTACGCGACCCACTCTAGGCCACACACTTGCCCCTGCGACCGCCAGGTCAACCCAGCCTGGGACGTGAAGACAAACCCCAAGCGTGTCAGTGGTGGTTCCTGCCGCCAGTATTTGCGACCCTTGTGGCAATTGACTTGCATTTCGCCATATACAATGTGAATGACCGCCTGCTAGAAAGTCAAATGGCGGGGTTTGCTCTCGATGACGATGATCGGGGTAAGTTTGCTGCTGCAAGAGCCGGCGTTCCACTGACATTGCTAGGATCCAACGCGAGCTCAGACAATGAGCAGGATGAGTTGATGGACGATGCAGACGATATAGAACCTGAAGTAGATCAAGATGCTGATGCTGAGGGCGATGGGGATGACGACGAGAACGAGGAGGATAATGGCGACGAGGACCAGGATGGGGAAGAGGAAGACGATTCCACCGAGCAACCACTCTCGCAGATTCGAAGACCCATCCTCCCAAGCACGAATACAAGCTCCGATAATACAACGACCCTCAGTCAAGTCAATGGCGCAGGGCCTACATCACATCCCCGACCTACCTTAACACGGACCTCCGCCTCCCCTCGACAGCCTTCTGCCCCTCTGCAATCGCCTAAGGTCCGCTTCGAAGTTCGCCCAGAAGCTCTCACGGCGTCGACGTATGATATAGTACCTACAATGGCGGCGCCGCAAAGCACATCCATCAATGCAATTACGGCGACTCCAGACATGAGATATTGGTTCAGCGGGGGGTCGGATTGTTATATTCGCAAATACGATGGAGTAGCAACCGTCAATGGGAAGACTCTCTTGACTGTTGCTCAACGGCATCCTTTTGTCGACAGTGTAGTGAAGGCTGGGGTTCTGATGAGCTATTGGGACAACGAGGAGCCAGCTCCAAAAACCCCAGCGGAGGACCCTGCACTTTCACCCGTTTACTCGTTAGCGGTACAATCACAAGCTCTTTGGATGCTCTCTGGGCTGGAATCTGGATGCATCAATTTATACTCGGTACGACACGATGAGGGAAAGCGAATAGCATATATGCAGAAGCACAAGTCCGCAGTTTCGGTTCTTACTTTGGCTCAAGACGAGAAATCAGTATTGTCCGGAAGTTGGGATAAGAATGTCTTCGATTGGGATCTGAATACAGGACAAGTCAAGAGGTCTTTCGAGGGCAGCGGTGGTCAGATATCGGCCATCGAAATCCGCCCTGCGTCGAGTCTCCCGGTTCCCGAGGAATCTGGTGAACCCGTTCAGACAAACGGAACTTTCTCGAGCAACAACGGAGCCAAGCCTCTTACGAATGGAGTAAATGGGCCTGCAAACGGTGTTGCCGAAGAGGGCAACGAAGATGCTCCAGGATCGCCGACTGACTCGTTGTTTGGGGGTGGGAGCGACAACAATTCATTATTTGGAGAGACAGCCGGGGATGGAGCTCCCTCTGGAGGGGTTTTCGGGGACGAAGATGACGAGTTCTCAAGGGCGATCGAGTCTAGTCTTGAAAATCAGGACCACATGGACTCACAAGGAGACCTCACCATGGAAGATGCTCCTGGCTCGCAAAGTGCGCCGGCACCAGCAGTTCAGCAAACAGCAATCCAGCAGAATGGAGTAAAGATTGAGGAATTGTTACAAGTTAATGGAGTCTCTCACCCAGAAAAACCTCCTGAAACCACATCAACAGCAATCGTAGCTGAAACTCAGGACGCCATCGCAACATCAGACTCGACTTTCCTGGCTGCTTCCATCGATGGTCCACTGCAGATCTGGGATAGAAGACAACCGAATCCAGTGGCAAGAATACCAACCCGAACGGGAGTACCGCCTTGGTGTATGGCTGCTTGCTGGTCTCCTGATGGAAATTTCATCTATGCTGGACGAAGAAACGGCACGGTCGAGGAATTCAGCTTGCATAAAGGGCTAAAGAATGCGGAGAGGACATTTAAGTTCCCGCAAGGAAGTGGAGCTGTCAGCGCTGTTCGGGCCATGCCGAATGGGCGGCATTTGATTTGGTAAGTTAACTTGACTCCTGGGTCCTGAGCTTAGCTGATGATTCCACAGCGCATCGCATGATATTCTTCGTCTTTACGACTTGAAAGAGCCGCAAGCCTTCAAGCATTCGACTGTACCCTTCCTCATCGTTCCTGGACCGCCAAGAGCTGGGGTGATCAGTGCTTTGCATATTGATCCAACGTGCAAATACATGCTGAGTGCAGCCGGAAACCGAGGTTGGGAAGGAAGCAGCACTGAAGTTTTGATTGGTTATGAGATTGGCACGTCTTGAGAGAAATTCATAGATCGCAAGCAAGTCCAAGACCACTGCTGTCTGCCCCCGATAACATGATTTGGTCCAGGACCTAATCCATGTGCTGAATGAGCAGGAATGGTTCACTATAACCATCCACCTCGCGGATCAAGTCGCCCCCAACCCTCGCCTGCAGAACAACACGTAACGAAGAATATCAAAGACTATACTTTGCAATATACAAGAAACTGGAAGACGGAGTTTGGTATTACCACAGGTGAGGATGTATAAAATGGCACTGCAATCCAGGGAAAAGAGGGATCCAGATTTGGCGTTGAGATACCACGGGCGGCATTAGGTGATATGGGATGGGAAGTCCAAAAGTTGCATTTAAGACAACCCGACCAAACATTGTTTCGTCATCACTTCCTCCCCCCTTTTCCTGGTGTCCATCCTCCACATCACTACTTCTGCCTCCTTCAACCCTCTGCCCTCTGCCCTCAGTCTATCACCGGTATGTTTGTTTATTCCCAATCACAGACTAATACCCCCATCACTACCCACCCCCAGCCCGAGCAAACAACTGTCATACCCATCTTCCCCACTGTCATTACAAATTAAACCAGTGGTCTTCACCTCAGCATGAAGCAGTTCGCGCATGGACACACCACGTTTGCAGAACATGAGCCGGAAAGAGAGGCCGGATGAGATCCGCGAGCCGCAAGATTCGCCGGTTAGAGTGCCGCAGTAGCAGCTTGCGTTTTGTCGGGTGTCGAGAGTGGAGGAGAGAGTGATGACGAAGAGGGGAGGAGGGTGGTGAGGAGGTGGAGGCGATGCATCGCGGGCGGTTCGGTGCGAGGTTGGAGGAGGATTTGCTTGACGCAGATACGAAGCAGTTGTTCAGGACCGAAGACGTGAATACTCTAGGGTAGTGCTTGAGGTACAAGTTTACGACAATTTGGGTATCCAAACTTGAAACTCGAGCCTTGAAAGATTGAAGAGAGGAATATCTCAGAGCATATGGGGTCTTGTTCGAAGATAATATTTTCCCTTCATCGCCTCCACTTGTCGCAACAGCGCCAAGGAATTTTCGAATATTGGATGAGGAGATGCTAAGACTCAGGTTAAACCTCGCGGAGATGTGATCTCCGGCGCTAGACCCGGGATTCCCATTCATTTTGAGGAGGATGCGATTTCAGTCAAAGATTTGTCGTTCGACCTGGGTACGATTAGTACCTTTAAGCCGTCTTTCCAGCCGGAGAAGCTATCAACAGTACGCGAAGTCAAAAAAGGCTCCCGGGAAACTGTCAGAATGACTATTAGCCCATTTAAGATAGTGCCGAACTAGCCGGTCGTCCGCGTGATCAGAATGAAGATCTCCCAACCGTTCTGGTTAAACAGGAGAGAGGGGGATGATCAATTGTGAAGGTATGCGCAGACGCGAGGTATTTGTGCAGCGGAGTGAGGGGCACCTTTCATCGCGTGAATTCAACAGTAGGAATGACTCTTTTTCTAGGCATTTACACAACTTCACTCTTGCTTGAGGTAGTCACCCAACCTACTCTATAGCTCAACAAAGACTGTCTATACTTATTCTTATCTTAATTAGCAGACTCGTGGACTTTCCTGTACAGTTTGATTTGCTCTTGAATAGGCGAGAGGAGCTTCCCTTTCTCAATCGCTTCCCGGATATTTGAAATGGCACATAATTCCATCTGATATTGATTCTCTGTGGTCCAGGTACCCATGTGCGGAAGAAGCATGACCTTCTGGTTCCGTAATAAACCATCGTGGGTCTTTGGTTCGTCCTCGTAGACATCCAGACCCACACCGGAGCTGCATACTCCTTTCATCACAAGCTTACCAAAGTTGCAAGGTTGGAACGCTCTTCTTGGGGCCGTTTGAACCCAAACTTCCTTGACAGACGATATTCTCGAAATCGCCATCTGTCGTACGATGTTAATTGCCGGAGCTTGGCACGAATGGAACAATCATGTCTCTAAGCTCCTCGCCGCGGATGGATTCACAGAGGAGAAATTGTCTGTCGTCAAACTGGTACACCTGACTTCTCAGGGTCCTTTGAATGATCGCCAATGGGCCGCATTGCTTTATGCTGACTACATATCACGAGCGGTGTCGGTTCCAGACAGTATATTTGCCAAGTTGGAAGTGGCAGGATTCAGTGAAAAGGAAATAGTCGAACTCACTGCGACCATTGCGACTTACAACATGGTGGGCAGATTCTTCGTTGCGCTGGATATCGCGGAAGCGAACGACAAGCCACCCCAGTGGCTCAAATGAACCCTCAAATAGCCCAATTTGAATCAAATTCTACTCTATCTGCTCCCGTGCTCTGTACTTATCATCGTTCCTTACTTTTCGTCTAGTGTTTACTCGTAGGCCATCCAGTCTAATTGAATCCATCAGTAAGAAGCAGGGTGTCGAGATTTAGTCTCATGTTATGATAGGTACTGCTTTTATTTAACCACGAGGTTAGTCTGGGAGGGTAGGGAATCTCAGATTCACGAAGTCTTCAATGCAGTCGTCACAGAGGTTTGTTCACAAGGAATTCAATACCCGGCGTCGGGGTGCAAACTTTGATTGTCCTTCGCCTAATAACATGTCTCATCCCTCCTTTCCTCTCTTTAGATAGAGAGGGTTCCATAATTCAGTGTTACAAAAGATCGAGACGTGAAAACTACGTGACACATGTGTGCAAATCCTCCTAGAAATAACTTGGCACTTCTGGGCCCCAGACAGACAAAGCTTCGGGCCCCGCAGGTATATGAGAGACGTGTGTTTCGCAGTTGACCATCTCGCCATCGGCGTAGTGCTCCTGGGAACAAGGGGAAAATTCAGTCACGGGCTTCAACTGACAAGAGGGAGAGAGTGAGAGGGTAGGCGCTTACCAAAACGAAGCCACTGGTATCGTACCAGTAGTCGAAAATCTGACTTCCAAGTAGATGCTTGACAAAAAATGTCAATATAATCAATGATCGACAAGTAGTCATTCACAAAAAGTTATGCAATAGAACGAGGGAAGGTTAACACGTACTCTGCCAACTCCCCAGCATAATTCATATCCCTGCGAGACCAGGTGCTGGTGGCCCAATTGCTGAACGTCAAGATCATGCACTTCGAAGGCCGCATGTGCCACGGCCGGTTTCTGGTTTTGTTTGGCGGACTTGATGAAGAAAGCGTGGTGGTCGGTGAATTCAAGGCCTCGATCGATGTAAAGGAAGCAGGTGGCAGGCTTCCTGTCTTTGTGCAGGACATCTGAAGGTGCGAAGGAGAGGTTCTTGGTGTTCCCCCACAGGAATGTTTGCCCTTCCCGACCTCATGTCTCACGTGAGCAGCACCGCCTTTGCTCAGGCTCGGCTCAGGCCAGGCTCACCTTTGGCTCAGGTCTGCTCAGGTTTGCTCACCTTCGGCTCAGGTCTGCGCAGGTTTACTCACCCCTATTACGCGATAGCAGCACAGCCAAGAATAATCTCACCAGAAATCATCAACTTTTAACAAGAGGCCGGAAAAGGCCCCTCTTCTAGCCAAGGATCTCAAATATATTACCATCTCTACTATACTAACAAATATATAAAGACTATAGTTTATAAAGATGATTTTGCCCCTATATTCTAAAAATGGCATCTCTCTCTCTCGCAACTTTCCTCTTTATCTTCTTCATAATCTTCTTACTCATCTTCTCACTTATCTTCTCTACTATCTTGTTTCCCATTTATTAAGTTCCTTTCTTTCTATACCGGATATTTATATCCGCAAATACAGATTTCTATATATTATAAAGGAACTAAGTTCAGAGAAGAAAATAGAGGCAGCCCTAAAAAAAGGGCTCTCTAAAAAGAAATCCGATATTAGTAGCAAATCCGTTTATAGAAAACTTAATAAAAACAGTAATAAACTATATTATAAGGTAATATAGAAGTTCTAAAAAGCATATATTAATAATATTATAAAGTTAAAGTCTATAGCTAATACTAATATATATTAAATATAAGAAGAGAATAAAGAGAATAATATAAGAGAAAAGAAAGAAAATCCTAGATTATTAGATAATATAGAAATTGCAAAGTATATTACTAAAGCTATTAGGCTTATAATCTCCGGCTAGCTAAATAAAGAGAGGGAAATAATAATTATCTAAATTATATAAATTAAGATATAAAAACTATTTTTATAATAAAAGCAAAAGATTTATTATAAAATGCCTTAAGAAATTTATAATTTAATGGATTTTATAAGTATAGCTATAAAGCTTATTTATATTTAAGTACTAGCTAATTATATATTTATATTACGTGGCACCAGTCACGTGGTGACACTGCACGTGACTTCGCGTATAGCCAGTGCTTCCTTAGCCCGGTATACAGCTTTTAGCTCAATTCAAGCTCTTTACTAGTACTATAATATTACTTTATTATAGCAATTTACTAATTAAAAAGAAAATATATTAAAAATAAGCTCAAATATAAAATTGGTTTATTTATATTATAAAAGGCATTTATATTCTTTATAATAAAGAATTATATTAATATAAAGAAGTTATTTTAGTAATATTATTATTATAATTATATTTATAAAAAATACTATATAAATTTAAGTATTTTATTAAAGATATATTATTATATTTTTATTAGGCTATAAAAGATATATAAGGTAAAGTTTAAGGTTAGATATTATATTAAAAATAAAAATTTATAAGAATATTTTATTACTTATTATATTTATTAAAACCTTTTTTAATATTTAAATAAATTACTAATAATTTATATCTAAATTAAAATATATATTATTTAAAGAACTTAAACTTATATTTTCTCTTTTTATTAATAATATTTTATTTTTACTAGTTATTATAATTTTGGCTAATATATTTTAATATTATTATATAATTAAAAATATTCTTATTATAAAGCTATTATTAAAAGAATAATTCCTTATTATAAAATAAACTAATAAAATTAAAAATCATCTAGTTTTTCTAGAGATATTCGAAAATAAATTAATTAAAAAGATTAAAAATAAGTATATATAAGGAATTCAAGCCTTAGACTAAATAAAAAGAAATAGTTTTAAGAGCTTATTACTTTATATCTCTCTAAAAAAAAAAGTAATTATTTAAGTAAATAATAAAGAGTTCGCAAGTTATTTATTTATATATAAGTTAATTAATTATAAATAAGTAGCCGTTTACTGGAATAGCTTATAAAGTTTTATAAATATAAAAACCTGAAAATAATATTTGGTTATTACTTAAATAATATAATAATTTATATTAATTTAAAATAATAATAAAATATTATATAAAACTTTTACTTTATATTTACTACTTATTACTAATAAAAAAACTAAATAAACTAAAGTAATACCGGAATTTTATTAATTTTTCTAAGTAAATAAAGAATTTCTTTTATTAGTTTAAAATTATTATTATAAAAAAGATATATAAAATGCTTTTTATATAATATTATTATATTTATTATTAATATAAAGTTAATAAGGTATTATTAAACTTAATAATAATTATATATTATTTAATATAAGGAAAATAATTAAGGCAAGTAATATTATAATTACTTTAATTATATTATTTATTATATAATTTTTAAATATAATTGCTTTTATTATAAAATAAAAAAGATATTTTTATTTTTCGAGATTTTATTACTTTTTATAAAAATAATTTCTAGGTTATATACTAAAAAATATTATAGCTTATAAAAGGCTATTATCTAATATTAACTTATAGTCTAGTAATTAAAAAATAAGAAAAGCCTTTAATTATTAATATTATTTTTAGCTAATAAATTATATTAGTATCTTTATTAAAAATATTAAAGCCAAATAAAAGTATATATATTAATACTTTAAATATTATAATAGGAAATAGTTTGGCTTTATAGAATTTTATTTCTTTTATAATAAATAAATTATAAATAAGATAAATTAGAAAGCTTATTACTAAACTTATATTAATAATCTTAATTTACTTTTTTAATATAATTTAGTTAATTTCTAGTATATTATTACTTATATTAGATATTATATAAAATATTTAGTAAAAATATAACTATTAGTAGCTAAATACTTATAATAATATTTAAAATAATCTTATTAGTAAAAATATATCTTTAAATATATTTCGAATTATATTACTAATTTATCTAATAAAAACCTTATTTTATACTTGTATTTATTATATTTTATAATACTTTATTTAGAATTAGAATTTTGGTATTACTTTAAAAATATTTATAATAATTTTAAGCCTAGTATAAAAAGAAAATACTAATACTAATATAAAATATTATTTAAATAAAACAGCCTTGGCTTTAAGAAAAGTTAGAAAATAAAAACTTTAAAGTATTATCTAATTAGAAACTAATTCTTAAAAATAGCTTTAAAAATCTCTTTAATTATAAGTTTATATATATATTAATAATAAACTTTAATTTAAGCTTAATAAATATTATTAAAATAAAACAAGTAGCTAGTAGCTTCTTATTATATAGTAATATCTCAAATAATAATATCTAAAATAAGTATAATAAATATTATAATACAAATATATTACTTTTATTTTTATTAAATAACTTTCTCGAATTATTTTTTTAGGCTAGAAAGAATTATAACTTCCTTTAAATAACTTTATTAAAAGTAACTAATAGCTTTTTTAATAATAATAAATCTTGGAACTTAGATATAAATATTAATATTATTTCTTTTTTTACTAAGTCTATTTAGAAAAACTAAATTCTATATAATTATAAAACTTTTTTATTATATTTTTCTAGTTTTTTAATAAAAGATTTAATTAATTTATAGCTTCGAGATATTCTTCCGGTTTTTATACTAGTTTTACTAGTAATTATTAACCGAATTAAAAATACTTATAAATATATATTTATAACTAGACTAAAATATATAAAGAATATAATAATATATTTACTATATAATAGCTAAAAAGTAGAAAATTAGCCGGTTATAATTAATATAAAGAAAAATATATAAATAGCTAAAGTATTATTTACTAAATAAAAATAAAGTAAAATAATGTTATATCTTATAAAATAAAAGAGCTTTTTAAATAAGAGAAATATATAATAAAAGCCAAAAAATATATTAGATTAAAAGCTTCTTTAAGATTTTAAAGTAATATATTAAAGGAATTATTTAGATATATAATTATTTAAAAAACAAGTATGAAAAGAAAAAATTAAATATTTTATTAAATAAAAGAATTATTCGAAAAATAATAATTTCTAGAAAAAAGAAGCTATTATAAGTTATAAATAAATTATAGAGTTTAAAATAAGCTAAAGAAATGAATTATTATATTATATTATAATTAATTACTAATATAAAAAAGATATATTTTTCTTTTTTATTATTTAGTAATATTATTATATAAAATTTATTAATAAATAAATAATAATAATAATATTTCTAATATTTTAATCTTATTTATAATCTTATAAATTTCTTTATATAATTATAATTTCAAATTTCTTAGCTTTATTTACTTTTATTATATTAATAATAATCTATTATATCTTATATTTAGCTATATATAGCTATATATAGCTTATTTTTATTATTATTTAGCTTTTTTATACTAGTAATTTTTTTATTATATTTATCTCTAATCTTATTCTAATATTATTTTAAAAAAAGTAAAAGCTTATTAATATATTATTTTCTCAAGTTCTTTTTAACTTATTATTACTTTAAATAACTATAATATAAAAATCTAATTAATTAAGTTTCTTATATTTTCTAATACTATTTTATATAGAAATCAAAAAATAATATTAGCCTTATTAAAAAACAAAATATAAATAATATAGCTTCTTACTTTTAATTTAAGAACCTTATTTCTTTAAATCTTTTCTAATATTAATAATATAACTCAAGTTATAATACTTAAAGAAGTATTTTACAAAAACCCAAAATATTTCAGGCCTAATAATATATAAGAAATAATATATGAATTTTATAAAGATCTTATATTATTATAACTAGAATTATATATTATAATATTTAATAAGATTAGAAGCAAGTTTGAAATTAAAATATATCTCGGAATTAAAATTAAGTAAGCTAAAAAGATATCTAATAATAAAAGGCAAGCTTGAGTAAAGAAAATACTTACTAAAATAAAAAGGAATTACTAGAATATTTATTTATAAACTAGCTATTAATAATTAAATTTATTAATAAAGCTCTAGAATAATTTATTAAATATATAAAGCCCAATTAAAAAGATTTATCCGGAACTTATTAAAGCTCTAGCTCTAGCTTATTTTTAGCTAATATACTAATATATTTATAATAAAGTAAGTTTATATAAGATTTAGAGCTAGAGGCTAAATAAAAAGTTAATATTACAGAAATTATAAATTAAAATAAAATTATTAAGTATACTAAACTAAAGCCGATTTCAAATTTTATTATAATTAAAAGTATAATTAATTAATTTTTATAAAAGCAATTTAGAAGAAAATATATAAGTAAGAATTAGATATAATAAAACTAGAATATTATAAATATTAAAATATTAATAATTTAATAACTTCTAAATTTTTCGGCTAATATAAAACCGGTAATAATAAATAGTAATAGAGCTAAAAAGAGATCTTTTAAAAATAATAAACCAGTTTAGAAACCCAAAATAGCTTTACTTATATCTTTTTAAATAAATAAAATTATATATTTAATACTTATCTCTATTATTATTATATTATTTTTCTTTTTTACTACTTTTTAGTTCTTAGTATTATATATTAAATAGCCGAAATTAAATTAAATAATTTAGATTATAGCTATTAGAGAAATAGCTATAAAGAAAGTTATTATAATATATTTATAAGTTATTAAATACCTCTTTTAAATCTTATTAATATAGCCTTAAATAATAAAATAGAAATTATAATTAAATTATTATAGGTTTGTTTTATAACTAGAGCTAATAATTCTTATATTTGAAAAGTCTTATTAGAAAAAAAGCACTTCTTTTTAAAAAAACATTAGTAATTATTTAATCGGGATATATAAGGAACTTTATAAAGAAATTAATATTATATTTAAGGCTATATTTATAAATATAATTACCGGAACGGATTTAAAAGATTATATCCTTATATTAATAGAGATATATAAATAGCTCGAGTTTCTAGATCTAGCTAACTTATATAGCCTATATAAATAAGCTTTAGTACGAAAATAAATAAATTGCAAAGAGTAAATATAAAGCTTAAATAAAAGCTAAAATAATAGAGGAACCAGGCTACCGAAGAATCCAGACTTTAATAATAGTCAGAGAAAGAACTAAATTAGCTCAAGATTACTTATTAGATACTCTAGCAGAATTTCCAAAAGAATATAGTAATAGTAGATTATTCCAAAAGCAATATATATAAGTATACCGAAATTGTAAACAGAATCAGGCCGCTAATAAAAGGATTAGATGCTGGCTTGACTCTGAATAAATATCTGCTGGTTCCTACCATTAACTAGACAGATTTTGGCCGGCTGGCATGAGGAAACCGGAATGCAATATTTCTAGAAGCAAAGCTAGGTAGAATGTTATTTCCTGAGGTGTAGCGCTACAGTCGCTAACAAAATTGGCTTCGCTTCAAACTCGCTGTCAAAGTTTCAGTCCGTCTCGCTAGACTATGTCACGTGTTCGGGCGGTCTGGCGTGTCCGTGCCAGCTTCGCTAGTCACCTTCAGTGCAACTATGTCTCGTATTTGATGAAGATATATTGACGGAACTGGTTCTTTCTTATCATTTTTGGTACTATATGCAACTAAGTGGAGAAGCATGGCCCAATTCAAGCTGCTGCTGTCAAACGCTCAAGCCATACCATAACGCTCCTTGAACCATTCCTTCCAGAGATTTAAAAGAGCTATAAATATACCCCATAAGAAACCACAAACTGCCCAAGGAAATGACAACTGTTCACCACCAAGCACTCTATCAATTATCGGACTAACCAAAACCGCCACAACAGCTGCTACTATAACCACGACAGCTTGGAAACGAATTTCGGCGGGTCCCTGTTGCAAATGAATGCCATATCCAATGTTATTCAGGCTGTTCTCCTTAGTCAGAGGTCTGTAAATAAGGCGCTCGCCCTTTCGCTTTGGCACTCGGAGCAGAAACGCCGAGTCATCGCCGAAATCTTCTGGTTTGTTATATAAATGTAAAAGAAGTGTAGGCAGATGAATCGGATCCCCTTCTTTCCAGCCTGGTTTTCTAAGAAATTCGTATTCGACCGTGTTCTTAGGCAGCCTATTCTCCAGGAGATGATCTATACGGCCGTGGCGCCACAATTCAAACTTTTTGTCATTAGAATACTTTATTTACTTTTTTCGGACAGTTTGGAGTCCAGCATGTCAAAGCAAGTGAGAAAGACGCGTACCTGCACGAATCGAATAGCCTGCAGTTTTAAGAAAAAGTTATAGCCTCTCTGAAATTGTTTCTCGTGGATCGTCTTGAGCCTCCTAAACAATTCTTGATCGCTGCTGGGGTCTTGAGGGTCAAGCTCTATGACCTCAAGACATTTTATACGTCCTACGTCGATGCACACATGGAGAAAATGCTTCCTGTTCGCCTCTACTGGCTTTCGGTTCAAGACAAATTTCCGCTTCCCTCGGGAGAGTTTAGTTGCGCCAATATCACCGGAGTCATCAAGTAGTGTCGGCAAGTTTGACCCACTCGCGCTACTTTGCGAATCCACACTCGAATTATCCAGAGATTCGCTGCTGCTTGATCCAGGATTAGAAGAATCGCTCGAAATGTACTGCCAGATGGGACGGATGATAACATTGTGAAGTAATAGCATCCATTCGTAGAGAAGACCTGGACGTTTGTTTGTTATTTCCACGCGACGAAGTACTTGACTGTGCCGGAAGTCGTCCTCGAAGGTCTTAGCTCTTTCGAAATTTAAAGGAAAGTCGTCATGAGAGATGTGGCCACAGCGGCAAGTCCACTTGATTCTTGTAATACCTTCCGGAAGGTCTGTCGAGGCAAAAATCCCCCGTACCAGGAAAGTTAATGAGGAAGCCAGAGCGAGGAACGAACTGCTCTTTAAGTGAGGCTCTTGGGTGTTTACTTGCTGTCTTGGTGACTCGATCTCTATCCGCGGATCTTGAGCCTTAATTTCAGTATCTTTAATAAGATTGGTCTCTACGATCAAAGATAGAGATGAATGCTCTTCCGGTTCTTGACTTTGTAACATTCCTTCTGCCGGGTTGAGGTCTGACAGCGTTATTTGGGAACGTACAATATCTTTAACTTCAGAATCGCTTGGCGATGTTGGTCCTGATTTTACATATGAGTGGCTTCTTGGGTAGGTTATGGTCGAATTACTTGCCAGTTAAAGCATGATCTTTCCCTTGCTTTTCTGTCGATCCTGAATCATTGAGCTCAGCCTCGCTCGTTGATTTTTGATAGCGTGATGAATTGTTGTTGCCTAGTACCATCAGAGGGTCTTCTTTCCCTGGCAGCTTCTCTCTCGCCGTCAAAACTTCTTGGAACATGGGTTCTGCCTCCTTACTCTTTCCTTGTTGATAGAGCGATAATGCCAAATCGTTCATGCTTGTGACTGTCAAGGGATCCTCTTTCCCTAGTAGCTTTTCTCTTGCCGTTAAGACTTCTCGGAATATAAGCTCTGCCTCCTTGCTCTTTCCTTGTTCATAGAGTGATAATGCCAAATCGTTCATGCTTGTAACTGTCAAGGGATCCTCTTTCCCTAGTAGCTTCTCTCTCGCCGTCAAAACTTCTTGGAACATGGGTTCTGCCTCCTTACTCTTTCCTTGTTGATAGAGTGATAATGCCAAATCACTCATACTTGTAACTATCAGGGGATCCTCTTTCCCTAGTAGCTTCTCTCTTGCTATTAAGACTTCTCGAAATATAGGTTCTGCCTCCTTGCTCTTTCCTTGTTCATAGAGCGATAATGCCAAATTGCTCATATTCGTAACTATCAAGGGATCCTCTTTCCCTAGTAGCTTCTCTCTCGCAGTCAAAACTTCTCGGAATATAGGTTCTGCCTCCTTGCTCCTTCCTTGTTCATAGAGCGATAATGCCAAATTGCTCATACTCATGACTGTTAGGGGATCCTCTTTCCCTAGCAGCTTCTCTCTTGCAGTCAAGGCTTCTCGGAGCATAGGTTCTGCCTCCTTGCTCTTTCCTTGTCCATAGAGCGACAATCCTAAATTGCTTATGGTCGTAACTGTAAAAGGATCCTCTTTCCCTAGTAGCTTCTCTCTGGCCGTCAAAACTTCTCGGAACAAGGGTTCTGCCTCCTTGCTCTTTCCTTGTTGATGGAGCGACAATGCCAAATTGCTCATACTCATGACTGTTAGGGGATCCTCTTTCCCTAGCAGCTTCTCTCTCGTCGTCAAGGCTTCTCGGAGTATGAGTTCTGCCTGCTTGCTCTTTCCTTGTCCATAGAGCGAAAATGCCAAATTATCCATGCTTATCAGTGATTCTAAGTGTTCTGAGCTTTGTAGCTTGTCGTCCTGCGGCATCTCCTGCGGCATTACCTGCTTTGCCTCTCCGCCTATATCGGATAGTCTTGGTAACATTGTCAGTTTATCTGCATCCATCTGCCTATGCGGTTGCTCGGGGATTGCCCCTAGGCCCGTGTTCCTTCCCTTATCGTAAGGGTTCACTCTGTGAACATCAGGCGATAATTCCAGGCTCATGGCTATCTAGAATTATTAGAAGAAGTTACAGACAGGGAAAATTAGGTCGTATTATCCGCGAATGCTGTGCAAAGTGACAAACTATACAGTAACTGATGTCTGATCTCTTACTTGCAAGGTCGAGAGGTTGGCGAGGTTTAGGATTTTGCACTAGTGCAAAGCTGGGGCGGAATCCCATGTGACTCGCTTAGTCATTGTCTAACTTGCTGAGATTAGATGCCTAAGGCACCTATGGGGCTGAACGCCATGGGGCTGTGCACTATGGGGCTTAATACCCTGTACAGCTAGAATACCCTGTATAGCTGGAATGCCCTGTAATATGCCCTGTAAGCCTGAATCGGTTCAGCTGGCATAGGTAAAGGCTCAGTAGGTTTAGGGGTTTAGTGCATGTGATTTAGGGCGTTCAGGGCTATATATACGGGCTACTTACTGTAGAACAGCAGTCAATTCAGTATCGTTTACTTGGTTTACATTGCACGCACGTGACCCTAGTTTTATTATTAAGCTAGTTCAACAGAAAAGAGGAAGCGGAGCAATCAAAATCTTGTTAATCTCGAACTCTCTACCACTATCCTACATTGGACCTAATTTTGGAATGCGCCAGGGAAAATAAGCATCTGGGGTAATGAAGGGTAAAGCAAGTGCAAGAATATATATTATTGCTCTTGCTTTTCATTACATCTCCCGATGCCGACCCAATTGCAGCCAATCATTTGCTTGAGCGTAACATATGACAGGAGTTATATATGCAAGTCGGGATAATTCCCCGCACATAGCCCGTGCCGTATAATGATCTCGGGGCTGGGGATAGGGGAGCGCGATATGATGAAAGGAGGAAATGTTTCAGAGAATCACACAACAGTGGTAATGGAACCCTTCCTCGGGTCTCGGATTGGTCAGAGAGCAAGGTATAAACGAAAATGAAGACGCGTTGCCTCTGGATTCATCTAGGAAGATCTCAGTCCTAGGTCGAGGAGAGATTCGAGAACACCTAAGCCTTGGAAAGGAGATCTATAAGAACCCGTAGATGCCCACTTCACCTCCTACGCTAACTGATATTGAAAACTTAATACCAAGTCAAATTTGGGGCCAGGAGGGCTGACTATAGAAGAAGAAGAAGTTTTCCGCCGTTATTTTCACTACCCTCGCGGCAATTGCTACCGCATTGGACTTCACCTGCGATCGAGATGCTGTTGCAATATGCTGCCACTACCGCAGTCCTGAATTTTAGAAGTGTAACTTTCCCCAGTTATTATCTTCTCGGGCGTATCGCTGATGAGAGATAGGCAGCGCTGCTCGCCGGATAACCGACCGTGATAACAACCACCCAGAGTATTATTGCAGGAGGGAATACTACGCGAGGTGCTGCGAAGTTCACGATGTACTGTACTACTACCTACCCTTTTCTTTAGAAACGTGTAATAAGCTGACCATGAGAGCAGAAAATTGAAAGCCATGAGGCTGTGACTCCGCACTCGCATCCAATCTGTAACAAAGACCGAGACCATTTTCATCCAACCTCGGTACGCCCAGCCTCTGTAGAAAAGAGTGACGGTAGTTACAATTTATTAGACATACGCCTTTACTATCGCAAAACGTTCTGCGCAGCCGGAGCCCACAGCACTTGCAGTCGATGCTGTGGCCCGACACCAAAAGTGCAAAGTGCTGTTCAATGGCAAGTGAAGATCCCGAATGATATTGACGGCACTTGAGTGACCCACTGTCGGTTGTAGGAAATGCCATTACCCTTGCTTCCATGCTCTCCCTCGATCACTTGATTTCCCCGCTTATAATTGTCAGTGATGAATTTTGCCAGGCTTACATCGGTAGCCTAAGAGATCCTGCTTGAGCAAATCCCAACATATGAGACATTAACCAACCTACAGACCCCCAAGCCAGAGGGAAAAGGTTACTAGGGAGAATGGTAAAGCTGGATCCATAGTTTGATAGAACTATTCCAAGAGTTCATGTAAAAGCTCTCTCGGCAGAGTGGGGTGCGGGATCCTCGAGTCCCTCGACAGAGCTTCAGGTCTTCAGGTTGTACGGTGACTTGTCCCCCAGTTCCCCCACCATCCGAAATTTTGTGGAATACCTTTCTAGCATGGTAATGATGGTATGTATGGTGGGTTGCTGGTGAAGACTAGAGAATCGTGCACAGAAGCGTATCCACGATATCTTAAGCTATAATGATACACTAACACAAGAAGGTTTGCATTCGGATCAACTTGAAATTTATACTCCATTTGACAAGAAAGTGACATCATTGATTGGTCATTGTGATTTCATAGATAAGTGTTAGATTTTCATTTCTCGGGATCATGAACGAGATCGGTTAAGATCCACTTGTCGAAAGTCACATTCGGGGCTACGGCCGCCTCGGCCCCACACCCCACAAGCTCTCCCGACTTATTCTGTGGCAAAAGATACCCATCAATGATACCTCATTAAGAGTTTCTGGCAGGTGCAACTTCCGGATCTATCTCATCTCCGATTTTTTCTCGGTTCCTTTTACCCCAGACCCCAGGTTTTCCAAGAACCTCGGTGGAGATGCCATGGTCAACGAACTTTGCGGGGCCGGTTGATGGAACAAACTCCGCTTTCCATGCGTCCTCGAGAACCCGGGATTCTCCCTTAGCAAATAGAACGGAGCCTTGATATTGATGCCATGACCATAGGCGTCGTAAGCTTTCGGGTACAGTTCCTTCAGTTTCGAGCCAGCTGCCAATTTTCCTTGGTGATTATTCAACCGGCTTTGGAAACGCGGTGTTATATATATTCATCTTTCCACCAGAATATGGCAGTGGATTAGACGAAGTCCCAACAAGTAGCGCAAAAGAAGCTATCAAGATTGGTTGAGAACTCTAGCTCCAGAATAGCAGCAGAGCTTAGTAGTAACCAAAGGGGGCGACTCGACACTTAATTCTGTCAACACTTCTCAAGATGTACACCTTATCGACCTTCTTTGCTCTCTCCCTTCCCACCATCACCCTTGCAATGGTCACGGTCTCAGACCCTTCAGATATCATCTCTCCAGCCCTCTGGGCGGCCGACAATGCTATCGTTCCTGACTACAACGTACCATTTGTCAGTGTTCAACCAGAGAATATCCCAGCAGCCTATGAATTTGAGGCGAATTCCACATCGATCAGTCACAGAGCTTTCTCCACGTCTCTCAATGACACGTCTGCGATTTTGGTCGCAAATAATGCGGAACTGAACCTTTCTTTCGTGGATATTGAGAAGTCGGGTTATGCTTCGAATTTGTTATGGTCGAGCTTCTACGGATTCAATGCAGCGGTAAACATTGTGAGTTTATTGCAGTCCACATCAGTGCAGCCTAATTAATACTTCGGTCAAGGCAAATGCATCTACTGCTCATCTCGACAATGTGAACATTACAGTGCACAATGGTGCGGCAAATGTTTACGTCTATGGGTCCGACAGCGTTGTACACGTCAACAACAGTTGGCTCTACAGTTCCGGCCCTGTCTCGCACGGCGTATATGCATCTGGAAACGGGACTGCTTATGTCTCCAACGTTCAGCAATTCTCTGGAGGGAGGCGATCGTCTGCATTTTCGGGAGACAGCCCCGCTGGATATATTCATGTCTCCGATTCAGTCGCTCATACTACCGGGATCGGGAGCGCAACATTTTACGCGCTTGGCGAAATCTACGCGAACAATGTTGTGGCTGTTTCTGAGAATGGACCAACCATCTTCATGGATGGGACTCAAAAAGCTTATCTCACCAATTGCGACACAACTGCTGGTCTCCTCGGCGGCGTTGCCATTTTCTCCTCCATGATTCGCACATCTGGGGCCATATTGTCTCTGAAAAGCTCAAAGATTACTACACTGGGATCGGACATGCCTGGACTCTGGTTCGGAAATACTATTATTGACGTTTCCCTGTACGATACGCAGCTGGTGACGGCGAGTGGTATTCTGGTCGTTGCCAATTACTCACAAATTACGCAAGACTTCGATTACTATGCCTCATACCTGGACAATGCGAACCTCCTTCCTGCTGAAGTCTCCGTCAAAGTGGAGGAATCCACACTTGTGGGCGATCTCGTTGCTTATAACTCGAGTTCAATCAGTTGGTCTCTCGAATCTCATAGTTCATGGACTGGAGGAGCTTATTCTGGGTATGGAAATGCGTATTTCGACATCCATCTCGACGGTACATCAAGCTGGAAATTGACTAACACGACTGTACTTCAAAATTTTACGAATGAAGATACGACTCTCTCGAATATCGATAGCCAAGGTTTCAATATTTATTACAATTCCAGCGCAGGCTTGAATGGATATCTGGGAGGCGAGACCATTGCCTTGACAGGAGGTGGGAATGCTATTCCGGTCTGAAACCTGGCATGGGAATGAAATTGGCATCCCTCAAAGTTGCTTGGATGGTCCAAAGGGGGTGCTGCATTTGGGCAAAGTGGACTGTGTTGCCTCTTTCTGAAGCAACCTTCTTGCCTCTGCAATTCAACGGAGGATTTTTTGAGCCAACTGACGGCAGTTAATAATAACTGAAATTATGAATAACCTCACCCCTCCACATGAGTCATCTCAAATGCCGAGGGAAATATTGCATTTAAAAAGTTCTTATATCCTACACCAATCATGAATTTCAGTTCACAGTTCACAGTCTTACAACAAGTGCGAATGCTCTCCAGCCGATATGCACAGTCGGTAAACGAGGGACATAGACCCCGTTCTCCAGATTAAGCAGTAATCAACACCCATCTAAGGGAGAATTCGAAAGCATTTTGATGCTATTTATTTAGGTCTTCTGTTAACTACATTAGTAGTTGAATACCAACCTTTGGTTTCTTTGTCCCCAGGTTGGTTGGTAAGCCCGCCGCTTCAACTCAGGCCTAATCACCCTCGGGCTCATCTTTGGCTTACCGGCTCACCTGAGCAGCCTGAGCAACCTATGGAGTAAATAGTCAGGGAAGTCCGAATGGCGCAGCTTGGCGTAAAGCAGCAGTGGTATGCCTAGCGTCTTGGTTATTGCCCAAGGATTGGGCATATACCTTATAGCTGGGCACATGTCTGATTATGAATCATAAAGAGACTCAATAGCGGAAGGTAAATCAAGTATGCTAATTTATATTTTACATCTGCTAGTAGCCGGCTCCCCTCCTACTGCACTTCGCTTATGGTCAGCAAAAGCAAGTTTCCCGCTTAAGCAAATGTCCCGGCAAGATTTTAGTCGTTAATTTCTTTTCCAAATGTCGGACTTCACGTCGCGCTTAAGAGGCCCTTCCCTTTAGTCGGGGAAAGCGAGTTGTCCCGCACCGAACCAAAAACGTTCCAATTTATATTGAACGCCCATAGCAAAAATCGAGTAATTTGTTTACTACTAGTTAAAATTACCCCGAAAATTTGGCAAATTCAATAGTAATGGCTTGTCTAAGCAACCTCCCCAAGAACATACGTCTCCGTAATATACCAAAGAAAAATAAGCTCTATATTGAAAAATGATTGATATATTAGAGGTTAATAGTCTGCAGAATAACTAAATACAAGAGAGTGAAGTCTAAAAGTAGAGGAGAAAGTATCTAAAGTAAGGGTCTTTATCCCTATTTGTAATTAGCGACCTTAGTATAGTAATTCAGGAAGTTTTTAGAATTTTCCTAGTACTTTAAAAAAAATCACAAAATTTTCATATTTTATTTCTGGCAAGGCTCAAAGTAAGAGATTTAATAGCAAGGCAAGAATAATAAAATCACTATCTTATACGCGATTCTAGCCGCATTACTAGTTTAAAATAAATATATAGCTATTAAAATATCGAGAATACTATAAAGTATTAATGTGTAATAGAATTTGTAGTTATAATAAAGGTATAATTAAAAATCGATTTTTTGGGGTGGGCGGTTGGGGGGTATGGGCGGTTGGCCAGTGGATTCTTCTAGTCGCTAGATGAACTCGACGATTTTCAGAAATTTTTAGAAGATCCACTAGCCAACCGCCCAAACCCCCATCCAGCCACCCCAAAAAAAGTCGATTTTCAATTACACCTTTATTATAATTACAAATTCTTTAATATATTAAAATGACATAGTATTTTCGACATCCTGATAACTATATATTCATTCTAATCTTGTGGTGCGGCTAGAATCGCCTGTTAAAGTTGAATTTTGATTTTTTTTGATATGCGCCCGGCTTACTAAAAATTATGAGATGCAATCGAGCACAAAAGAACTGCCAAGTTTTAGCCCACTATAGAATAAGGACCAACCAAATATACCTCTATTATTGTTTTCAAGAGATGAGGGGAACATGAGCGGAGCCTTCATTAACGCATGGGCGAACCCAAGAACATGAGAAGCCCCTTCCTCGTTCGCTCCTTCCTCGTTCGCCTCTCGTACGGCCGCCCCTTATACGATACTACTCCTCTGATTCAGACGATTCGGACGATCCCACTCCAGGAGGAGCTTATTTACGACGTCCTCCTGCCAATGATTTATCGTCTGAGGAAACCGAGAGGCGACAAGATCCTGGCGAAGCTAGCTCTGGAGCCGAGTTTGAGTCGGATATGGAGGCTAGTTCCGGCTCTGCAGACGATTTGGGCTCTGCGGACGGTTCTATGGACGATTCCCTGGACGAGCTTAGTTCTCTGGACGAGCTTAGCTCTTTAGACGGCTTTATAGAAGAACCTGGCTCTGCAGACGGTTCTGCGGACGATTTTGGGTCTGAGGCTAGTTCAGGAGCCTCAGGTGGAGATGGAGGTGGCTATTGGTCAGACAGTGACTATTAAAAGCTGGTCGTTTTTGGGGGTTTTCGTCAAAAGCCCTATTTCCTTTGTATACCTGAATGAGGGCATTCGGACTTGGTTTCCGGGGGGGTGATGTAACGGCGCTGGCTGGGCGTGGCTGTCACATGACTGGTTTCACCTAGCTAGCCGGCGTTTCAGTGGTTTTAGCTAGTATTTCCCTCCTTTTATCCCCTTTCCTTCTCTCTCTCTCTCCTTCTTCTCTTTAGCTTAGTATTTTCAATACATGAGATTCTTGGATCTTTGAGCCCTGGCCATTGCCTCGATCCCGCCGTCACACCTTACAAAAATCTCAAAAGCTCATTTTTACTTAAAATAGCCGTATTGAGATGAGTTTTAGTCTAAAATATAAGATAAGTAGCTAAATAGAAAGCCTAAATTAAGTAGAGTATTTGTGCTACTAAAAGTTTTCTTATAAGAGAAGTGGTTCTAAAGTTAATTGCAATTAAAAGGGGAAATTGGGTTCGGGGAATCGATACTGGCATCGATACCTATCGATACCGGAAATTAAGGAATTTTTGCCAAGCCTGGGTGTTGCAGGGGTTGGCAGGGCACACTGATATGATAGGCATAATCAGTTGGGTGTAGGCGAATGTAAATATTCCTCCTCGGTCACTGGAAAGGAGAAATTGTCCCACGATGGAACAATTCAGGTTGTGCCGAATATTACTTTCTAAACGGCAATTTGACGCGAGGGTTGGAGCTCTGCATGAGAAGCATATATCCCATATTGCGTGTTCGTAGATATCTGGCCTGTTGTCGCTGGGTGTGTCCTCAAGCTCGGTAGCCAGTTGAGTCTGCAAAGTGGCGAGCGCGGATGAATCATTCTGGTGCCGTGGATGGACAGAAGCTTAAAGAAATTCAAGATTAACTGTGTCGTTTGTATCCCTGTTCGTGAAATTGTGATAGTCGAGCCAATTGATCGATGTAGTGCAGTTTGCTCTGACGCTGAGATTTCGAATGATAGAGATGGCCGTTGCATTGGTGATGGACATATTGGTGTGGATCCGATAAGGGCAAATGTCAGCGAGATCTGGGTGAAATAGTTAGTGGAGACACAAAATATAAAGGAGGGGCTTTGTAGCGATCGAGTCGGACAAATATGGGAAGTGATTTTACCGCAAGTAGTGTCAAAGGTATCGTACGCCAAAACACTGCAGTGGATCATCTGTGGGGTGGCAAAATGCACAAGTTGCTGATGTGGAGCCATATTTGACCTTGTTCGAGTCCCAACGGTCGTACAGCATGTGCTGGCAACGGCCCCGTGGGTCTGGGGGCTGGGCACAGAGCTGCAAGCCACCCTTAACTATCTCAATTCATCCCAGCTAATGAGTTCACTTCTTGTGAGTTCTGATGGAACTCCAAGTATCTTTTCCGCGCGTTCCATTTCCCGCATAGCCCAGGAACTACCGTCCATGAAGATATGCCATTCTTGGAGGTGATATCTCGCTGGAAATTCTAACGCCACGTCGGGCGTTGCCATCCACCTTCCCTTCCCAACAGGATCAATCCTCTCGGGAGGCGTAATCTTAATATGTTTCGTCATTTCAATGCCTGAACCCCATATAACTTTACAGTTGTCCCCCTCAAACCCGGGGTACACTTCAAGGGAGGGATTCAACTCTTGCACCGCTAAGAAATTCCCCACCACTAGAGTAGGATCGCTCTTCGATATGTCTGGGATGTTTTGCAGAAGGTTGAGCCCGACGCCCTTCGCACAGAACACAGCGTAGTTTGATTCGTAATTCCGTATATTTGTGGGAATCTGCAGAGTTACCGGGAACATTCCAGTCATTGCAGCAAACCCTGCCGTTTTGATATAGTGTTGAAGAGCTAATGCATGCACGGCTTTGGTATACTCTGCATCTTGAATGCCTGTATCAGAAAGCATGTAATCGAGAGGGATGTCCTCTGATGCGTACACCCCACACCAAAGCGAGTCCCGAACTTGCTGGATTAAAATGTTAGCGGGCTTGATATCTTATCCATCAGAGATAGATGTGCAAACCGGATGGCCAGCATGAGCTATGCAGTTCTGCCATCTTGCAAGCTTGGCTGCCACCATCGACGCCCTCGAGGCGTCCTTCTCGGCAGTCTTTGAGCCCCAGAAGTTGAGATAGCCGAATGGTATCGTAACTGCTAGGTTGAGCAACAAGGAGACCACAGCTATGACGTTGGGAGCCTGGCCTCGCCAGCCCGTTTCCACTTTTTCCTTCTTCTTATTCTTCGGATTACCGGAGTCTGTTTCGGTGTCACGAGCAACTGTAACGACCGCATCCCGAGACACGATATTCGTTGGCCGTCGGCGCAAATCCCCTCCGGCAATACCTTCGAGTCCAGACGCCGTCGCATTTTGTGAAGCCATTGGACTTATGATGGTTGGACTTATTTTGAACTCGGAAAGCCTGGAAATGTAGATTTGTAGTCAAGTTGTTGTTGAGTTGAAGTCAGGTCAAAGTTGAGCCTTGCCGCTAATCCCCATTCATCCCACCAAGTGTCTATTTTTGGACAGTGTTAGCGAATCAAAAAGTGGTACCAGCGCATCAGACAGGCTCCGACAAAAAGAACGCCCCTTGAAAGGCTATTTATTTTCCTCGACATATTGTAATTGAACTTCAAAGGAATGGGGGCGATCTGAACGGATATGGGCAGCCATGTAATTCTATTGTAGGCTTGAAAATATGTGCAACATGTTGTACTAACCCAGATGGACTCCATGCCTGAGCACTATCCACGGAAATCATGATGATCTAGCTTTCTTGCCCTTTCTCATCGGTGGAAACATAAACCCTGGATGCGCAACTGTGAAGGCAATCGAAGCCAGGGCAACCATCGCCCCGTCCAGCCCCAGAAATACTGGCTCATTCCTCATTCTCGGATTTCCCCATCCGCCCGCCATCTCCGGGATACGATACAGACACCGTATAAGGATGGTGAGGAAAGCGAAGCCGATGGCCCAACAGAAGATCTTGAATCGTAAAGGGCTCCTTGTATGCACATCGTTCGTGAGTGTCGTTGCATCCAGACTCGTATCCGTCGTTCCCTCCGCTTCCGTCTTGTCGTCTGTTCTCGCCTTCCTCCTCCTCAGAAAGAAGTCCAATACCATGATGCCACATACTCCCATCGTAACGCTCTGTAACGAAATCCCAGCGATTATCAGCGCATCACCGGCCGTCAACAACGCCGGATTCGTGCTGTTCTTCGCACTCGCCGCTACGCCCCCTCCGATCGCTTGCACAATTATACTGCCCAAATCGCTCCCAATGAAGATCCAAGGATACCACTTCGCCTTCAACCTGCTATATTCCGGCCCACAATACAGCACCATATGCTTCAGAGTCAAGTATATCCCCGCGGCGAGGAAACTCGGCGCAAGGACAAGACAGCAGATCTGTGTCTCGAACCCAGCATCGGACCATGGATTTTGATGCATAATAAGCCTTCCGATATAACCCACCATCTCACCAAAGATCCCAAGGCCAACGGCAAACATGAAGGTCCATGTTCTCGTCCACGTTCCGATGATAAGTTGCGCAACAAGTAGAAGGCCGAAGAGTGCAGCGAAGAACGCGTTTGCGCCCAGATTCGGGTAGTAGCCGTATAGAGTCGCACTGACGGGACACTCTGCGGACACCGCATTACAGAGGTCGCGGTGGTGTTGCCCCATGGTGGGGATTGGAGAGTTGAAGGTTGAAGGTTGGGGGCGAGGTTTGTCGAAAACGGTCTCTTTGACGAACAATGTACAGTACAGCGCAACGTATGCCGAGTATAAAAGGTTGAGGCGGTCACAAATGAGGGAATAAAATAGACCTTGATCGTAGCCTTGAAAGGAAAGAGGCGGAGAAAATGAAGATGGGAAAGGGAGGGAAATGTCGAGATTCGACAACCAAGATAAAGCACGCATCATCGTATTCGTGTCTCGGCTCGGCGGCCAGCCGCTGTCTTGTCGGGTTGGCGGCGTCGAATCCCACCTGCCAATTCCGACATGCTCCCTGAGGAGTTAAGTGGGGGGGAGGTTTTCCGTCGACAAATGAAGCCGTCTCGCGTGTCTAGCGCTCATTATCCCCGTCTTTGTCTCTTACCAATAACTCGCTTACAAAATATTAGCCCGCAAAGATTGCCTGTTAAGGAATATCTTGATACTGTATAGTTGGTATTCAGGCGTTTTCATTTCTATCCAATTCGGGGCTTCTACAGATCAAATAGACGATTGCTTCAAATTCTTGAAATGGAGTGACTGAAGTTAAGTGAGGTGTACCCGTGAAGGCTGGACAGAATCGGGCAGCATAACCGTCGAGCTAGTTGCAACGTCCGTTGCAACTCCTATTGCTCGCTAAATTGTGGAGATGGCACTTCGAAGCAATGGAGAGATTTGGAGAACGGCCCCTGTAATCGCAGGCATTTCCGCATCCGGTTCGGGCCAGCGCACTACTGCAAGTCGGCCCAGCAAAGCGAGGAATTGCTGACGAGTTATACTTAGTAGACTTAACACAATCTCAGAGAAGAGGTCGAGGAATTGTCAATGTGGAATCCTCACCTCTTCACAACGTCACAGTCTCTCATTCCCCTGACCACCTGCAAAGTTTTGCAACCCTCAGCCTTCCATAACTGTCAAAATCTTGCACAGCCTGCTTGAAATTTTTGGGTTGAGAATTGCTGGTAGTTCAGGCTATGTCAAATCGATCTGAGGTTTTCTTTGGGAGAGAACTTGGTCCACAACTCAAAGATCAAGTCACATCTTCATCAAATTGTTCTAGGTGATGATAAGAGATACGCACAACGTATTGTTTCTTTGTTCAATCCCAGGATTGCCATGCAGTATTGAATTTAGATTCATCAGGGACCCATCACGTGCTGCTTTCCCCTTTCATCCATCAAAAGAAAGGACTCCAACGAGCTCATTGCCTTATAGTGCATACGATATCTGACATAGCCAGCGAAACCAAGTGCTTCCCCTTCTCTAATCTTCACCAGTGGCCGCTGCCAACATCTCATTGTAACAATGCCCCTTAGCAACTGCAATAGAGCAATCGCTGCCAAGGAAGTACTTGGCCCTGTGCGCCTTATTGCAGTCTGTGCCAGGCCTGTTATAGTCCATACAAGTCTCACTTCTAAACGGGCACCTCCCCTCCTTAATCCCGAACTTGTTGCTACAATTTTGCCCGTCATGATTCTTAACGCATCCTTTGCTTTTACACCATATTTTTTCACAGCGTTTTCCCAAATCGTAATCATGATCGTGCAGGTCCTTGTAGCCAAAATCGTAGACGTAAACGTTCCCAAGTTGCCGGTGAGGATGCACTTTGTCTGCAAGGAAAATGACGCCGTCTTTAATAATGTTGCCGTCAACGCCGCGGACGTGATCTGTCTGATATCGGCCAAGCACAGCATAATCGCCATCAACGCTATCCATCTCAAACTCACCAAGCTCGTTGGCCTCGATCATCTTGCCCCCATGCTCCACAAGTGCATTTTCAACCGGGAAGTAAATCCTGATTTCCCGATTTGCTTCGTCGTAGAAATGGCTTTCGAATTTCTTTATCTCGTGGTAATTGGTGTAGTAATGGTCTTCGAAGTCTTCAGTCTCGGAGGAAGGGATCTTCATTTTCTTGCAGCCGACAAGCTTCACGGTCTCGTTCGGGTGCTTGTAGCTTCGGGAATTTATGTAGCGTTCTTCGTAAGAGAAAAGCTCGCGCTTCACTACACCTTCGGAAATCCGGGAGCGAGCTGAAGTAGGAGTCCATATAAGGAGTTAAGCTCCGACGAAAGTGATATAGCGAGGTAGAAATGCATATTAACTGTCAGGAAGGCGATTCCAGTTCGAACTATTGGTTTTAAAAGCCAAAATCTGCAAGAGCAATCAAATTGCATAGACTGAGAAGATTTGAAACGGTTTTTTTTCCAAGTGGGAAGTAAGAGGGCATTTATGGAGCGCCTGTGATCCTTCTTGAGACTGATACATTCTCCGCCAAGAGGGTAGCAAACAGCACATTCCCCGCCCGTTTCTACTTAGGACCCTCCGATCCCACATACCACGCACATCGCTCCCCCGAACTGTACTATAATTCAAGTTTAGACGAGTAGGAAACTAAGCTGGGGGCCATTTCTAGCCTATGAGTTTTAGCATCTCGTGGCTGAACTCCCTTGATTCGTATTCATCTAAACGCCCCGTAGCAAGATCTACATACCTTCAAACCATCAGACGGTCAATCTCCAGTCCAATATTTAAAGGGTGTCGTCTATCAAAGCCAGGAGCTATCCGGGTAGTGGGGACGAGTCGCGAGCTGTTGGGAGTTGATTTATTTCCTCCGTGTGGCGAAAATAAAGTATGAGGCAGTTCCTGAAGAAGCACTCGCCTAGAGTGCCGTCAATTGGGCAAAAAATCTAGAGGAATGAAACCCGTAAGCAATCCCGTGATAGAGCTTTCTGCTTGGTATCTGGAGCCTGATTGGTGAACACCACCGACTTGGCTTATCTAGAAATTTTTTAAAACAAGCTTGGCAAGAATCCTTTTGAGAGTTTCACGGCTTGGCGAAGGGCGGTCGCTGGAGCGCTTTTGGTTAGTTGCGTCATCCTTCGGACTAGTCCTAGGAATGTGATCCCACTTAATCTACGGCATAACCAATTAAGCAGAAAGAGTAACAACCGATAATTATAGATCTACTTTCTTACCAGCAGCAACCCCCCCCCAGTTAAAGTGTGTGCTAGGGGTGAAGGGCGGCAAATCTCGCCTATTTTTAGCGACCCTTCTCCTTTTCGAAATGGTGTCGTAATCTGAACGCAAGCCAGTTCAAGATCTTTAGAAACAAAGTTCAGGCAACTAGCTATTTATCTTCACTTTCCATGGACTTCGGGCTCGACTCGCATCTGCAAATTTTAACGACCACGTCACGTGAGCGATTCCAAAGCCTGTAGTGCGGGTGATTAGCAATAGGTGTCTCAGTAGGATTGTTCATAGGGGGGCGGTAGGAGATAAGCGAGGGGTATAAACCTCGTGTTCTCACTCTGTGAAAAAGCGTGGCCAGATCCATTCCCATACAGTGACTTGGCAGATACGTATGATAATAACTATACAATTTAATGCGCCCTCTAAAGTCTATCTGATCACCACTGAATGAACGCCATTGCAGTTTGCAAACCCTCCGCCCGACCATTCTCATTGCGAGAACTCCTAGCACAGTTCCCCAAGGGTTTTTTTTTGTTATCTTTCCATGTTTTCCACAAGTCTTATCTTAATAGTGATCCTCTTTTTATCGAACTGTTGCCCACCCACTATAATAATAGTCTGACTTATGCTAAATCCCAAATTAGCTTTTAATTTCCTCTCCCAATTTCAATTGCGTTTTCTTGGCAAATACAATGAGACAACTTACACAACAATCCACCCAAGCAAACAGCCCCAAAACCAATTCCAATTGGAATAGTACCACCTCCTCGTTCCTGCAAATACCAAATAGCCCACAGATAGAGATAGCACCAATCCCACTATTAATCCCATATCGACAAATCGGATTTTCTTCTCATTGGCCTCATTGGCATGCCTTCTCTGCGAACCCCGCAAGTAGTATCCTGCTATCATCAAGATGTTCCACATCGACTGTAAAACGAGGAATATTTCGGCTACAATGAAAGAATCATGATCACTTTCACCGACGATCAAAATCAGGAAAGCAAAAAAAGCTAAAACGGCGCTGAGTGCTTTGATACCGAATGTCGGCATGATTGTGATGTTGCAAGTTGGGCCACTATCAACGCCAGTAGGGAAGGAAGCAGAAGGCGGAGTATTTTGAGATATAGGAAGGATTGGAGAACCACCGGGCGACTGAGGAGGAGAAGCAAGATGGAAGAATGGAGCTGAGTCAGCTTCGCTATTCATGGTGAAGTCCCAGTCTCGTGCACGTGCGATTAACATCGTGAGCTGAATATTATTTGAAGTTTCGGCTGAATAGAGGTTGGAAGTCTTCCTTAAATGTTCAATTTGAAAGGGTGCGCAGCATGATTTAACATCAAAGGGATGGGGACACCGTCGCCTTCTGCGCCGCAAGGCAGCAACCTCGAAAAGGCCAGCAGTGGCTTAAATTCCGCCTTGGGAATTTAACAACTAGAAAGACATTGAGATCTGACTCACAGTGTCCAGCTAAGGACAGATATCTAGGCATAATACTCATTTCGAGGTTGTTGCTTTTGGGTGAAAGTGGTGGAGAGTGTTGAGGCAGCTTCGCTTCCAGGCACTAGCGGGTGCACGGATAATAATCGAGACCCCGGAACATAATCCTCGATTTCTTGAGACACTTCCAGTGTTGATGAAATTAAAAACCTAGAGCGGAGTGCCAATAAAAAAAAGGTCAAGTTGGAAATTTGGTTTACCTAGCGTTGTGCAGTTGTGAATAGGTAGTTCAATTCTGAAGCCACTACTGCATGTGCCAACGCCCCCTTACGAGTTAGCGAGACAGCCCCAAACGTGCTGCGGAAAGATCTTCGGGCTCTGTAAGGACTCGCACAGCTAGATTACATTTAACTCTCAGGGACTTCGCCTTCGGCTCGCTTCTGCAATGTACAGTGCCCACATCACGTGAGCTGTAGTTGCAATTAGAAAACCTGTATTGCGGGGTCGCAGCAATGGGGTGTCTCGCATGAGATTATTAGTGGTCAACCACCATAATTTTGGGACGCAACGACGTCATCTTGGCCATCACGTTTATCAACTTCTCGGTGGATTTTTTTGGGATATTTTTTAGAATCGCATTCGTCTCTTTCACGAAAAGTCTCCGATCGCTACTACGCACAAAAAGTCCGTGGTTATTCTTAGTTGTTCCCACTTATTTTCGACCCATTGGCGAAGTGGCAAGGATGGGCATCCCCTATTCGAAACAAATCAACCTTGCATTCGACCAAGTCACGCCTCTCGTGGCGCACGGCTTCAAAGTCCTACAAACCACCAGGAATATCACCTATATCCTTGCCGCCATTCAAGTCCTCACTGCCATTTTTCTCGGCCTCATCCTGATCACGTTGCTGGGACTGATCATTACTGTTAGTCCTGACCTCGAGCACGAGCGCCAGACCCTTGTCACGCCTCTGGTGAGATATATTGCAAATTCCGCAGTGCAGTATATGAGATGGCTGCAGGTGGGTGTGTGGACTGTGATTATTGGATGTGTTGTGGGAACTGCTGGAGGGGTGTATGTGACGAGGGAAGTTACAGAGTCGGTGGAAGTGGAAGGTCCTGAAGGGGAGGGCAAATCCGGAGAAGATTCTGGTTCTTAACATGTGATACTTGCTCTGATTTAAAAGGTGTGTCCTCCATAAGCACCTCAAATAAAAGGACCAAAAACTCAGCTTCTGACAGTGTGGAATAGTCTGTACGGGTAGCATAAACAAATTATCGGCCATGTTCGATCTTTGAATCATAGTGCAGAAGTGGAACTCATGTTATTGAACTCATAGCCTTGACTTACTTATCTCCCTTTGGGCTTAAATCGTAATCAGCCTGTTCCCTACTACAAGCATACTTTGCATCCACGTCAACTCCCTCCTCCCTCTCTTTCTCGATTCTCTCCATCAGCTCTTTATTGCGCTTCGCCGTTTCCTTCTTTTTCTCTGCAAACTCCTCTGCCGTCCACTTTGGCGGTCTGTAAGAATCGGGTGGATTATACAAAGCTTCATGGTCGACCACTTTCCGTCCATCGACACCACGGTACAGATCTTCGATTTCTTGTGACCACGGCTGCAAGTCTAGCATCGCTTTGATTTGAGCTGGACTGAAGCCCACCGCATCGAAGACCACTCGCTCAGGCGGCCCACCAAACGAGCGCATGACACCGTCGTCACCCATTTTCATGCACCCTTCTCCGACCATCTTCATTTTGCGAATTAGCTCACCGGCAGTAGGCTCTCGTTTAGTTTCTTCCTGTGATTGGTAAGTGATCGTTCATGCTTGGAAAGGGGCTTAACTGAGAAACGCTTACTGCTTTGGACATGATGGCTGGTGTATCGCCTAATGTTTAATGTATCCTTTGTTGCAGATCAAGGCGATTGGAAAATAATTACTTGAACACTTCAGTGATCTCTAGAAATGTTTTTGACGATGGGATGTGGTAGTGATTATAATGATGTACATTGAGGCGGATTTTAGGCTTCCATCCTGCGCCGCATCCAGCTTATTAGGCAAAACAAGCCCTCTCCCAATTGGCAAAAGGAGTAGAAAATTGGGTTGCCACCTCGGTTGCTGCCTCGTTGAACTCGTGGGATGTAAAGCGTTGGAAGATGGCAGAAGAATTTGTGAACAAACAGAGGTTCTTTATTCGGAGGCGTCTGGAAAACTTGGTGGATGCCACGAGCATGTGGAGGGGGTGAACAGGGGAACAGAAAATTGAATTCAGGTCGAGAACTAACGTTCTTTCATAGCTTCGTACAACTTGCCGGTATACACAGTAGGCGGTGAGAATGCATATGTTTATCGCTCGAAGAGTCCATTATGCCACGGTACAGAAAATATCCTCTCCAACGTCTGTCGTCTGAATCCGTCGGCCGCTCACTTGCTGACTGGTCCTTCAAAAGATGATCCAGCAACCTGTTTGCAGCCAGTCACGGTCTTCCAGGTTCATGTCCATCATCGAATCCTGTTCTATATAATAAGTAGGGAAATGTGAGGTTTTGGTTCGATTCATCCTTCCAAGATGACTTTTTGCAAAAATCCTTTCCCAACTCATGAATTCCGTTGGCTCAGCGCAAACTAGTGCTAACCGCTGCGAACTTTGAGCTGACCCTGCAAGATGCCTCTTACATGTTTCACAGTTTATATTCCACTTGAGCTCACCGATCTCAACGTTGTCCCAGACCGAAATCAGTGTGTCGAAATTCGACTGCATCTGGACGATACGAGCATAGAAGCAGTAGTTGAGGCCTCTAAGTTGCTATGGCTCCAATATAAATCGCTTAAGTTATTCCATCCGTTTTCTGAGATCGCCATTGATGTTTGCATACATGTTCAGGGCGATTGCACGCGGTGAGGAGGATTATGTTGGGTTGCGGGACTGGCTATAGTTTCGGCTGGGAGAAAACAGTGGGGCTTTGAGATGCAATGATGCAGATTGGGTATGGCGGTGGTGGGGTCTTGGAGGCTGGAGGGAGTGGGTGGGAGGCAGAGGATTCCTTTGCGTGAGGAGTGGTTGTTGATGCCACCGTCGTGTGGTAGATGTTGAAGACGAGGATGAGGTAATGATGTGCATCTGGAGATAAATGCTCGAATACTGTTTTCAATTGAAAGGCAGAGACTCAGAAAAGGGAAAGAGGATCTTTGAAGAGACTTTTAAGCTTTGCGGTGAGAGGGGGAGGCCACTTTCATGGTGTTCCGTAAGACAGAAAGGTTTGGGACCGGGGTTCTGGACGCAAGAAACTTGAAAGGCAGTATTAAAAACGAGTAGTTCTACCTATCATTCTGGCTCGGCTCTACTACGGGCTAACTTGTTTTGTGCTCTTCAATAAATCTCAGGGGGGTTTTCCCCGCTCATTACACGATCAAGCCGATGTCATACCCGAACCACCTCAAACGCCAAACCAAAGGAATCCCAGTCTTCAAGACTTTAGAAAAAGCAAATAAGAATAGTTTACTGCGCATTCGGCGGCACCATACCACCCACAGAATCATAAGCCCCCTGCATCACGTGCCTCCTCTGCCCACTCTCCACCTCAAAAAGATGACACCCCCTCATCGCAGCATTCGGCGGCGTGTAAAGATGCAAGCTAACCGCAAACTCCGTCGGGCTCGGGTTTTCAATCGAGTGTAGGCCGAGCGCATCAGCCATGTACGTGACTTTATTCGGCCCGAAGGATAGGCTGGACGTTTCCTGCAAGGGTCCAGTGTCCTGCAAGGGTCCGGTGCCAGGGTTGAAAGGGATTGCGAAGCGGCGTTCGCGGATGGACCCGTGGAGGACTTTCATCAGGCAGTGCGCGTCAGCGTGGTCGTGAATTGGCGAGGCTTTGCCGGGTGTCCAGACGAGGAGGAGGAGGTTGAAGATCCCGGGCACTTCGCAGACGAGGTTGCGGGTGTATTGTTTTTCGGGATTGGCGTGTGCGAATTTTGACCAATGGGAGGGTTCTGAGGTGTAGGAGTGAAGAAGGTTGTGTAGAGTTGGGAGGTGTGGAGAGGGCGTTGTTGTGAGAGAGTGAGTGATGTCGTTGAGGAGCGTCGTAAATGTGTTGGTGTTGTGGTGGGCGATGCGGGGTTGAGGTGGAGGGATGTTTCGTAGCGGTGTGCCTCGTGGAAAATCTGAAAAGAGGGAATTAGCCAAGGAACTATTTGAGGTTGGCGATAGAAAGTACCTGAAAGTGGAAAAGGTGTCGAGGACGGCTTTCTATTTGTTGATGTTGTGGAGTTGGTCCAGTTGCTTGTTTTTGCGGTTGCAGCGATCCCGCGCTGGATGAGTTGGCTTTGCCCGGCAACTTTCGATCGCAGGGCGCGAGTGATGCCTGTCTTGAGCGGTGCCATTGCGAAAGAGATGGTGCAAGTGAAAGAAGAAATTGAGGCTAGAAAGGGGTATCTGAGCGAGTGAAGTGTTGAAGATAGGTCCAGGAGGGGGAAGGAGGAGAGAGGCGTCGAGAAAAGAGGAAGATGGAGAGATGCCATATACGTCAGAAGCTGGCTCCGGCCGCTACCGGTGGATACGGTACGCAGCCGTCAGGGTATCTCTGCCTCACGAAAACAATAAGGGAGTGGTCTGCTGGGATTGGAATTGGAACCGGATTACGCCCAGACTTGCATTGCATTGCCCAAACTGCAGATACCCGTCCAATGAGAGGTGTTCCACCGCCTTTTGAGTGCTGAACTACCCTCCCTTGCTGCTCTGATCGAAATGAACCGGCACACCGACTGTTTTCATGCCCTCAATGCCGAGATTGGAGATTCTCTCCCCAGCAACCTCGAGTCTATCGCACTCACTGCCGACACCCTCAGCGCTGTTCCCGGGCCCGCCCAACCCAAATTGTTACCGTCCTCAAGCGTGCCCATCCGAAGTCCCTCATTCCTCAATATATGCTCAGATGCTTATTCTCAGCTTCGTAGCCGCCGTTCTCGTCTGGTGGTGCAACGGCCCAATCGTAAACGGATAGTCGGGTCACCGGGTCAGCGATAGTGGGGTGCTGTGAGACGATCGCCCCTCTTATCTCGTCCAATGCCGAAGGAAACCACAGCACATGTGAACACAACCACCACAACACCGTAGACAAAAGATGCTGTCGATGCCTCTGATAGACCACGTAGGTGCTAAAGAATAATTGAATTTGATGATGCTGCCTGACGACGAAGGTAACTAAGAGGGGAGAAAGTAAACAAACCATCAAAACATCGCGTAGGCTGGACGGATTCGGGCGAAACTCTGACAGCGCACTTGCGCCTCATCCCTTCCTTCATCGTTGAGAAGACTGTCTTGCATCCGATTTCGCACGCTGCCCACCTTCCCTTCTTTCGCAGCCGGAAATCCCACGATCCACTTGGTCTTCTCTCATTGGCGGCTAACAATCGCATGTGTCATCGCAGAGAACACGACTTGGTGTCCTCTCGACCATGAGCACAAAAAGAGGACGAAAACAGCAGAAAAAAACGAGAGAACTTCGAGATCAATTCATCGGATGCGGCGGGGATGTTTATCGCAGAAAGAAAGAGAGGGAGGAAGGGAGATGAAAGGGGGAAAGAAGACCTTAGCGACGCTTCCTGCTCATTGGCCACCGCCGATGCTTAGCGGGACATGGGCGATGGCGTGCGAATTGCGATTCCCCCGTGACCAGAGCGCAAAGCGGAGTCATGTGATTTAAAAACCTGGAAAGAGAGTTTGCAAAACGAAAGCGTATCCATGAGCAAATTCAAGGCACAAGAAAAGCTGCGAAACTTTAGAATCGCAGGAGGGGGTGATTGGGAGAGTCCGCCTGTCACGTGTAATTGGCTCACCTTTTCCTTCTGTTGAAATTAGGGGCCTGAGGCCCCTAATAGGCTTAGTAAGCCCTGGAACCGAACGCCATGGGGCTGTGCACTAGCTTAATACCCTGTCCAGCTGGAATACCCTGTATAGCTGGAATACCCTGTACGGCTGGAATACCCTGTATAGCTGGATTACCCTGTATAGCTGGAATGACCCTGTATAGCTGGAATACCCTGTATAGCTGGAATCGGTTCAGCTGGCATAGGGATTTAGTACATGTGACTTAGGGGGTTCAGGGCTATATATATACGGGCTACTTACCACTGTAGAACAGCAGTCAATTCAGTACGTTTTACTTGGTTTACATTGCAAGCACGTGACCCTAGCTATATTGCTTTAGCTAGCTCAACACCTTCCTACCCCCGACCCTTCCCAACACCAGTTGCTGCTTTCATTTTGCACCAAAGACGAGATTTGGTCGCTTTAAACTCTGATATCACTTAATCTACTTGTGAGTTTGGCGATTATCTAGATTTTGTGAAGTGATTGGGAAGTCGAGCGATGTAAAGTACCAAAGGTGAAGAGAAGAGAGGTATGGGGCTTCGACTTTCTGGATTCTTAGGCCAGATTGGGTCTGAGATAAAATTAAAAGAATTGGTACACTTAATGGAGTGTCTTTTTAAGACCAAGAAGAGGATTCAATCCTTGGTTTCCCACCCGAGGAGCTCGCGAGCAGTTTCATGTTCACAAACAGAGACTAGCAGGCTATCGCGGATTCGCGATGCAAACGTCTCGCTTTGCTATCCCGAGCTTCCCGAATTCGAATTCTTATCGGGACCTCTCTTAGCCGAGTAATTTTCCAACTGCGGTGGTTGATAAGGCTCTATATCTGAGAGCACAAAGGTTGCATGCATTCGGCCACGAGATCTTCCTATGTGCCCCAACCACACGGATGGCGCAGCTCTATATCATGACTGATGCTGATTGTATCAAAGAAGCAAAAAGGAAAACCCATATCACTTTCCGGAAGTGGATGGGAATGAAGGTGCAGTGTGGCTTGAGGACTACTTACCTTGAAACCTTGGCAGCCACCCCCTTTTCCACCTTCAAAGCTCCAAAAAGAATGCGACGTTGGCGTTACACGAGCGCGATTGTCGACTCCTCTGGCAACCACTCGCAGGGAAATCCCACCCATGCATTGGGTTGTGTACCAGTAAACCACGCGTCAATCATGGATTCATGGACGCTTCTCAGCAAATCCCGCACCTGCCGTTGTCAGATTTGAGAAACATCGCTCGAATAGGTGGGTAGCACGGCTGCCTGACGAGAGTTTGAAGATAACATTGTGGAAACAAAGTTGAGGACGAGAGGTTCGAGTGCCCGAGATGCATATCTATATGGATCGCAATAAGAACCGCACATTACGAGCTACAGGAGCCGAGACGTGAAACCGGTTTATTGGCGGGATTATGGGGGAGTTATTCTTTCAAGCTGAAAGTAAAGACGACTCGAACAAATTTAGACCTTAGTTTGTGGGGTCTGGAAACAATTTCATCCAAACCTCATGTATATCCCGTGGAGGTATTGCTCATCCCACTTGGACCCAGTGATCCCCGTTCCTTGGACTCCGGAACTTCGCTCCTTGAGTCTACAGTGCGTAACACATGTGCAAACACCTCTGTTCTTACATGTCGTTCTGCTGTTTCCGCTTACTGCTTCGATAATGTCAGGGCTCGAGGCAATAACCATCACGGGACTATGTATCGGGTAATCATAATCCAGAACACCGAAAGGGAGAAAGATAAAGAGAACAGATAATATTGCTTCGTTCAATGAACTTTATGACTAGATTCAACTTAGAAAAGCAAATCTTGAGACTTTGGTGGCTGGGTAAAAGATGCTTGGCTGAAAGGGGACCCGGCACGTCGAGGGATGATACGCTGGTGAGCTTTGAACGATGAATGGAACGAGCGTTCATATTTCTCAGAATACAGTAAGCTTAGTAATAAATTCAAGAAGTATTTATATTTATGTTGGCCCCTTACTGTTTCGAAGCGGGGTAAAGGTGTGTCGGCTGAACTTACAGCTTCGTAGCACCTAGATTACTGATCAAGCCGGGCACCAGCAGATGAGCTTGTTTCTTTCGTCTTATCAAATAGCTCACTTTCCCACCCGGAGTGGGCTATTTAATTTATCCGTTATCGCAATGAGGCTTAGTTCAACAGACAGTCAATCAAGCTTCGTGCTGTCGGACAGCAGCCACGACATCAAGTCTGTTGAAGCTGACACGAGCCCGCTAGCTGGCCATCCTACTGTTTACTAATCACTGAAGTCAACCCTTTCAAAGCACATAAATCCCCTAAAAGTCTCACATTCTTGAAATCTCTTCTGGGCTCGAGTCTGAATCTCCTCTCTCCACCCTTCAGCTAGTCCATTCCCTGCTTACAAAATGCCTGTCCTCCAATTCTACATAAATCCCAACCAGCTCAGCCTCGCGGAGAAGGAAGAGCTGTCCAAAACGTTGACAGATTACTACGCACAATCTATGCCAGATTTTTTCGTCGACATCATGTTCAACGAGGTCGGTCACTCTTGATTTCCCCTTTGGCTGGACCCTGCAAGGCTGACACAAAATCTCTGGATTATCAGCTTCCACACGACTCATTCTTCATTGGTGGCAAACCCACAAATGGAAAGTTCGTACGCTTCACAGCGGATCACATCGCTGTAAACTGGGATAAGGAAAAGGATGCCAAGCGAGCGAAAAGGTACCTAAACTGGCTTGGGGGAGTTTTCAAGGAGCGGTTTGAGCCGAAGGGTTGGACGTAGGTTATATTTCTCTTTGGGCCCTAATTAAGTGAACCAGGGAAGAAGACTGACGCTCTGCCTAGTTGGGAGTTCCACGTCACGGAGAGCGACAAAAAATTGTGGAGAATTCAGAGTTTGGTTCCGCCGTTGCTGGGAAGCGAGGAGATGAAACTCTGGGTTGAGGCTGGTAAAGGAGTTCCGTGGGAGGGAATGGAGAAATAGTGAGACTAGTGGGGTGTTCGTGGGCTGGTAATGTGGTCATGTATTGGCCAGATCGAACACTAGGCTCGGGCCGTTGATGGGTTACCACATCCTTTCAGCGAAATCCCTAGATAAAGCCATACCCTACTTGACCAAACTTTTCTAAGTTCTGCTCGCTATAAGTACTCCATTCCCTTGCCCACAGTATGTTAAAATTCTTCCAAATAACAGCGAAGTCCTCGATCGACCGAACAGCACTCTAACTCGACCATAAAAAGATCCCGAGGCCTTCATCTGTCAGGTACGTATTTCCTACAACTGCGATACAACGCTGAAAGTTGTTCATGGTAGCTGTAACATCTACAAAATGTCTGCCATACATGAATGGAGGAATGTAAAGTTCTTTCAGGAGCTTCCTGACCCCGACAATACTCTCAGCTTCCACGACAGCAGCTTCACCCGTTTCCCCGATTTCCCAATCGAGCTGAGAAAGATGATCTGGGAGGCCGCCATCGAGTTGGTGCCACAGCAGTTGATCTATGTCAACGACTTTCTCTATCGGCCGGTTTGCGAACGTCAGCCTTCTTTCATCTGGGATCTCTTTCAAGTCAACCGGGAGAGCCGCAAAATCATTCGTGCAGAATACATATTTGTAGGCTCTGGAAGATATGCAGAACCTACAATCAATCGAGATGGATGGTATTTAAACAAGTCACGAGATATCCTTTGCATTTACGACTGTCTGCTCGAGCGGACTGGGAATTCCATCTTTATAGAGGAAGACCGCATCCAATCATACAACGAAAAATACATTGAATACTCCGCCACGTATTCTAGCCACTACTTCAAATGGAAACAATACTATTTCGACTGTGTCAAGGCAATGAAGAGAGTAGAGATTCGCAGACCGAACATAGATCACGATACACAGGCAAATATCGACTCCGCGAGGGATGTTGTCGATGAGCACCTAAAATTTCCGCAATATTTGGCCAACTTTCCTTCCATGAAGGAGGTCAAAGTAGTCCCTCATCGATGGAGCTCCAGGAGCAAAAAGGAGATGGAGATCTGCGAGACGATTTTAGCGACACTCTTGGAGGACTTTCAAGCAACAGACAAAACGTACCGAATTCCGAATATCACGTTTAAGCAAGACTCCCCCGAGCAGATGGCTCTCGAAGAGCTTGAAGGAGACTGGCAGGACAATCTCTTTATGGGTTTGCCTGAAGATTATGAAGAGTTCCTCTTAGACTCATCCCCAGAAGCTGACGAGGAGTTCAATTACATGGTGGGCTTGTACGCTTCGGACTTGGCACTGGAAGAATAGAGGGGTGATGTGGATATTCAATTTTGGACAATGTAAAAAGCCGTGTTCGAATCCGTTGCTCAACTAAAACAGATTTAAGACACATTTAATTTCTTGCAGACCGGGTTTCAAGACCATGAGCTCTTTTGGTATTTATGTTAAGTGATAGGCAATTTCGGGACCGAACCAGACATATTATTCCTTCAGCAGTTTGGGTGCGCTTCATCCCCTTGAAATTGATTCTTGAAGGGGAGGTTGGGAATACGAGTACTGCGGATTCACTGTCCGATATCCGGAGCAGAGCCGCCATTTGCAAATTTCTTCAGTCTCAGAGTTTGCTCGCGATGTCACTCAGAATTTGGAAACACAAAAGCCTCTCTTTTTATTCAAAAGCTCCTTGAGATCTGTTAGGATAAGTGCTCTATCTACAGATAATACCATGGGCTACGAGGGAGCCTATCTCCTTGTCCTAAGTTCTGAAGGCAAGCGGCAAATGACCATTCTATTGCACGCCGCCTTTATAATAAATTCGGTGCTAAGGAAGCTATCGCGATCTCGCGAGCAGTGCCCTCAGATCGCGACACAAACAAAGAAACCTTTTGCAAAACAATACTATCCGCAACCCATCAGCTCTATGGTGTGCACCACAGGTGTCTGTTGAGACAATTGATCATGAAATTCCGATCTCGAAAGATCCCCAACAGTGTCATCAGGGAGACTTCCCCAGACTGGCCCGATGACGTGGCGACAGGCGAAGTACGCGACGAGCAAGGTCCAGATCTGCACAATGGTAAATGATTGATTGCACCCATGCCTTTCCGTAAAGATATCTGACAATCTGGTTTAGCAGGAGCTGACAAAAGCATGATAAACACAAAGACCGCCTCATCGAAGTCCAATGCTACCCCCCATCCCTGTCCACCTTCTACCGAAAGCGCCATCTTCCATCCATTCCCAAAGCTAGCCCTCGAAATTCGACGCATGATATGGAAAGAAACCTTCCCACCTGAGCAGATAATTTCCTTGGTCATTCCAAAAGAATATTACCAGAAGCGCAAGGATCAACAACGTCCATTGCCCGCTGCTCTCCATGTCAACCAGGAAAGTAGGCAGGTAACCCTGGAAAATTATGTTATCCTTAGCCACTTCACCAATGAGAGGTTTCCCACCTTCGGATGTCCCTCGGCCCTTCCCGTCTGCTTCGATCCTGCTCGAGATCGCATCGCCACCACACTCAACACCCTGTTCTACAAGACGGAGCTAAAGGACATCGCACAAAAATTGCTGAAGAAAACACCGCGTCTCGCAACTAAATTGAGAGAGAGCACTGTTGAGGTTGACTTCCATGGTTTGAAATTCTGGGCCTGGCACATATGGTCTCTGGGGACTCTCGATGTTCAGAATGGTCGATATTTTATGGCTGGCATGTTGCCGTACTTCACGAACTCCAGTATATCCAACTGTATCTCGGGTCTGACCACAAGCCTACTGAGCAAAGAAAGAACTCGCCTTCTTATACGTGGGAATCTCTGGAGGAGATGGAGGGATACCGAGCCCAAGTCCAAGAATACTTTGAAGAGTTGAAGAAGCACAACCCGGCTTACAACATCCCAGAGATCATTTGTGAAATGGGTTGACGTTTGGTCAGTCGACGCTAGTCTAGTCATTGATGCAACTCTTGCGCTTGGATGTGGAGGAGCGAGTGTGGAATGGAACGGAGAAACAAGGAATGGTATAACATGGGTGGGTAGTGATGTTGGCGGCTGGTTCTTTTTCTTAGGCAGTGAAGTGGATACACGGAATCGCACGAGTCAACTTCAGGGGGGAGAAAAATGTACCCGACCAAATCCTAAGCAATGCAGAGGACTTCTTCAAGATATTGAGGAGCCGGATGTTGATGTGACCTTCCAGCATGCCTCGCTTAACAACTCCCTGAACGGAAAGACCAGGAAGTCCTGATCGCGGTGGTTCCACGGCCGTCGCTCTCCACGGCTGGCTTATCCTGTTCAATCATCTCTTACCACGACTCACCTTAGGTGACGCTCAGTCCCGTGTATCCAAGACCGACGAGGCCGTGTAAAGAGCAGGCGTTTGTCAAGGGTCACGTGCACTGGCTGCCTAATGTAAGGACACATGTGGTGCTGTGGGCTCTTGGCATTGGGTTATTTAGAGCTGCTCGTTGGCCATTAAATCGCAACTCGTCAACCATTCGCAGCCAAATGACGCGGCCCCACTGTATGCCAAGTCAACCCCCTTTTTGCAAAACGCCAACCCGTTCAGTCTCTTCGTTTTGCTTTACACGATCAGCACTAGTTGGGGAACGCAAAAATGAGTCCAAAAATCAATACCTCGCGCTTCTACTTCGAGTGGAAAGGCCACACCATTCCTGATGCCACCGCTTTCCATGCCACCACCCTTTCACTAAGGCCGAACAAACCCATCATATACCTCGCTGGCGACTCCTCCTTCGACAACAAATACTGGGTCCCATCAAGCGGTCCAGGAGGTGAACCTCTCACCGTGGAAGTGCCTGAAATCTATCGCGCAACCCTCGACCGACCACACCCAAAGCCGGATATTGCATTCTGGCTGAATCATTTCCTGGGTGGGCAGGCAACAACTCTCAACTTGGCTGTTGAAGCATCTACCTAAAAAGAACGAGACAAGGATCTGCTGGAGCATGATACGTTCATCAGAGACAACATCCGTGCTGAGGACATTCTCATCGTCTCAGTCGGCGCGAATGATATCGCAATGAGGCCAACTCTCGCAACCATGCGCAACATGCTTCAGCTTGCGTGGTTGACCCCGCGAAGTTCTCTTGAGAAGGGAACAGCTTGGTCTCTGAGCCACTTTACGGATATGTTCAAAACCCAGGTGGAAGCATATGTGTCAAAAATTGTCGAGAAGCAAAAGCCTCGAGCAGTCATCGTGTGCATGATATACTTTCCTCTGGAAGCGGGGGCTGTGAAACAAAAGAGTTGGGCAGATCCTCAGCTGAAGGTCTTGGGTTATAATCGATTTCCAGGACATCTGCAAACTGCTATCACGAAAATGTATGAGCTTGCAACGACGAAGGTTCAGATACCGGGGGTAAAAGTTGTGCCATGCGCACTTTATGAGGCTCTGGATGGAAAGCACAATGAGGATTATACCGCGAGGGTAGAACCAAGCGCTGAAGGGGGACACAAGATGGCATTGAAGTTGAAGAAGATCATTGAATCCTTGATTGCAGGCGGCGAGCAGCAAATTTGAATTTCGGGGCTGCTTCTGAGCTGACTTGAGGCTGACTTGAGGGAAAGCGGTGGGGCTGACATGGGGCGAGAAATTCTTCTTTGGAAAGTTTACAATCCTAATCCGAGCGGACTTTGCTTGAAACATTAGGATCAATGAGATGGAAAGAGAGCCCTGTAATTTTAGTGATACGTATACCAAACGATACCAAATTTAGCGAACAATCCCTGAATACCCTGCCTAGAAGAATTCCCCAGCCCGCTAAACTCCCTGGAACAATCCACACTCGCTTCGCTCAGCCTTCGACGGCAACCCAGCAAGCTTCCTTTTCACGCCTTCAATCAACTCTCCCACACCCCCAACGCACTCAATCCCATACCTTTCACAAACAACCCACACATTCCCCTTCTTTGGATAATGTTCCGAACAACCAACGACACACTTCCCACTCCTAGCCCACAACCCTAATTCCATCAACGTGATCGGCGCAGGCGTCCTCGGTCCAAAATACACGGCCATAATATCAGCAGCCTCCATCCCATCCAGCTCCCACTTCACCTGCTCAGCCCACGGCTTGAACGACGGGTCTTCTTTCCATGTTGAATCCCAGTCTGGGCGATGAGGATTGAGGAGTGTGACGTCCAGATGGGAGAGCGAAGCTGTCATTGTCTTTTGCCATGTTGTGGGTGGGGTGTCGATTGAGCCGGACAGGAAGACTGTCAGGCCGGTCTTACTGTAGGCTTTCGGGGCCATGACTTTCCGAAAGTTTGGATGGGCTCCGGTGGTCTCTGTTGAGGACATTTTGATCGTGATTGTGAAGGTTGAGTGAGGCTGGGCTGAGAGTGAAATCCGGAGGTTTGGTCTCGGTGTTGCCTGGATCAGGCTATAGATTGCTCAACGCAACATCGGGGCTTGGGATGTGATTGGTTGGACATCACAAATGTGAAGTCTTAGCTTCCTGCGGGTTTCAAAATATAAGAGCCTTTCGGAATGAAAAGAAGAATGAAATCTACTGAGTGAGGAGAGGAAAAGCTGGGGCTGCAGGGGTTATGCAAGCGGCGGCGGTTAGGTATCTAGTGATTGCCCCACCACCCTCTGCCTCATTGTGAAACTTCTCGGAGATCCAGGCAAACCTGGCCCATCTGTGATGTTGTGGCTACGGTTTTCTTAACTCTGTAGGTAACGAGAAAGAATGCTCCTTGGCCAGCGACCCGGTAATAATGGTAGTTTCCGGAGAACTGTAGAATCCCAGCCAGACTTGGCAGACAGTGAGGCTGGAGCAGTGCCTGTTCGAGTGCTTGTCGGGGGATGTCTAGATCTGGATCTTGGATGAAAGCTTCAAATTGGGAGTTTTGGGAACTGGTAAATGTTTTTTATATGGGCTGGTGGCGTCCTCTAGCCACTTGTAAGGGTTGGGATTTTAACTAGACCGGATTTGAGGCTGATGAAGTGGTCTGTCGCTGAGCTTCTTGGGGCGGAGGGGTACCCCATTTTGAGCAGTGGTCGCTGTACTTGTCGACTCCAATGCAACAATTGAGATGTTGCTTGAAGGTTAAAATGCCAGTTTTCCGGAGCATGGAAAGAATGGTTTCAACGAGTCAAAAGCTGGTCTGCATACTTCTGCTGGTCGTTGGGCCTAATAACCTAAGATAAAATCCCGGGGTTCCTCGGTGTAGGAGTCATCGGATTTGGCCCTCGCTGGTGTTCTTTTGATAGGGAGTTAGGGTTGGAGTAGTTGCTGTTCCGCTGAACCATAGTGGCTAAAGATTCGAAGATGGTGGCAAGGCCTGAAATACAGCGAGCGATAGCCTATAATTATACGAACCCGGCCGCCACCCACACGGATTACTCATCGTGGCCGGAGCCGAGGTCTGCGCATCAACGACCTCAGACAAACCTGCAGCATCGGCCCGGAACCTTCACACTCTCCTGACCAGTCATCTCTAACCACCGACGACATGGCAACCACCGGTATACCACGCTCAGGCCCTGTTGCTGATGTTGCCTGTTCGAGTTGTCGCCGGCTGAAGGTAGAGGCCAGCTCATTGATCCCGAGGCAGAGCTGACATCGGATCAGATGAAATGTATCGGATCCGACAATCCACCATGCTCTCGATGTGCAAAAGCTGGGCGTGAGTGCGTTGTGCAACGACCAGCTCGTACCAACCATCCGTCTGGAACGAGCACTCCAAACTCCCATGTTCGCATGAACGGCCCTTCCTCTCATTTGAGAGCTGAGGAGCGGGTAGCCAGAATCAACTCTCACGATGAGCAGCCCGGGCCAAGACATCATCATAACTTCTCACCAATCAACTCTGCTGTTTCAGTAACCAATGAGCCGGCGTTGCCATCAACATATACAACTCCACCTTATTCAACGGTTTGCAACCCACCAGAAGGATCCCCCAATCACGTCGCAAAAGACATGGATTCTCACATAACCCGGAAGCGGAGAAGGATAGGCCCTGCTGGCCAACCTTCACTATCACTCATCCCGGCCGATCCCAACAATAATCCCATCCCCGAGAGGGATATCATTCAATATATCGATATGTAAGTCCCCGGCTGAGTTGTAGTGGACTACATACTGACTGAATAGTTTTCGAAAACGTCTGCTCAATTTCATCCCGGTCATCGTTGCAGAAGATCTCGACACCGCTCAATTGCTATCTACAAAGAGACAACTCGCTTGGTGCATCTGCTACGTCACAGCACGCTACATCCCTGGAGGAGATTTAGCAAGGGCAAAGCTCGTCCCAGCTGTTGCAACAATTCTCCGAGAAATGAACTTCCTGCCGAAAAGCGAGGACGAAGAATGGACGATGCTGCAAGCCCTATCCGTGCTTTACGCGTACCGGCCATCAGGGAATGGAATCTCCATCGGCGATAGCACTTTTGAAATTTCACAGTGGACTATCAAGGGGTATATTGAAGCATACGCACTTAATCTTGGTGTCCACCGGTCAATATCGACTTTGAAGGCTTCTACTCGGTCAGGAGGTCCAGAAATCATTTCTAGTATTGGATTCAAGAAATATATTTACTGGCTCTGGCTCTTCAACACGTCTCACCAGTAAGACACCTGCCAATAATATGACAATTTTACTTAAACTTCATCTAGCTATTCTGTAATTACAGGAACACCTCCAAGCATACGGGAAGATGCTACAATTCGAATAGCTCCCGAAATCCTTCAAGGGATGGATGTTTCACCTTCTGTCTTACAAGTATTAGCGGAAACTGAATTATGTCTTTTGTGGGGAAAGGTATGTGAATATGTTTAGCTCCCAACTACCCTGAGTTCTCCTCTGACATCAATAGGCGGGTCTTGAAGTTCCTGGTCTTAGTGAATGGTGGTGTCCCGCCGACCTCACAGATGCCCCTTCAAATAACGTCGAGCCAAGCATGCTCGACAAAGTGGATACCCTCCTTCAATCCTGGTCCGAGAAATGGACTTCGTTCTTCCCTTCAGGTTTGTTCCCCGGCCTCAATTTTAAGCATCTTGCTGAAATCAGCAGAACCTCTAGGTCAAGACATAGATTTCCATTTCCGCTTCACTCGCTTCTGCCTCAGCACCTACTCGGTGCAAAATCTCAAACTCGTTGGTGCCAACGGCTTGAGTAATTTTCAGCAAGACGCTCTGAATAGAAGTATTGCAGCAGCTGTTAGTTTCTGCAAATTAACGTTGGAATTGGGACCGGCTATTCGGGATGCGGCTCGGTACATGGCTGACTTTGGCTTCGTGATGATTTCATCCGCATGCATTTTCATCGTACAAGCTTGTGAGAATTTCTACTCGAGCGTGAACGGAGCGGCAGACTATTTGAGCGATGTGGAAGCCGTTGCACAGATGCTAAAGGAGTTTGCTGTTAATTCTAACCAAGGGCCGAGCTTGCAGGCTCGTGTTATTTTGGGGAGATTACAGAAAATGAATGAGACCAGGTCTCTTGTCGGGCCTAGGGATATCAGTAATAGACCAGGAGAGGAGATAATGGGGCAAGATTTTCGGTTTGGTCATGGGGGTGAGGAAGGGTTCGTGAATGATCCGCTGTGGAATTTGCTTAATTTCTTTCCTGATATACCTTTAGTATAAATGATCAATGTTTCTAGCCTTGCTCAAATATTATTTCAACTAGCTTATAGTAAATTAAACAACTCCTCACCCAGCTACCTGGTGCTCAATTTACCCTCATCTCCAAGCTTCCGGGCCTTCACCGACAACCTCATCGTTTCTCCTTGAACAAGGTTAATGCCCTTTTCATCCCACACAAGTTGTATGTCAAATAATTTAATTAATTATAAATTGGCAGGTAATTAAAGGAAATTAAATTAAGTCATAACGGTAGTAATTAAAATTATAATTAATCAATTCCTTAATCGAATTAAATGCAATCAACTAATTGGTCACGTGATGTCACGTGACTGTGGAGAATGCGCTGGAATGGCACCACTTTCAGAGGTTCATGGAAATCTATTGCCTCGCTAAGACAAAAAAGCTCGTTGAATCAAGTGTATTGCGGCATTCTCCTTGGCATTGTTTTCATTCGATTCCGAAATAACAATATCTGGAAACTCCGTAACACAATGAGATGGACGTAAGAAATCGTTCAGTAGCACTTGTTCAAATAATATCGCTCCAGTCCTCAAATCCCGGATCTTGATATAGACATCAATGACCAAGTTCTCAAGACTCAGATTCACACCCCAGGCTTCCCACCCCTTTGGTATTCTTCTCAGTTGGTCGTGATTGGTTGGCTCTTTCTTTTGATTGCCCAGAATGCCATCTTGGGTCTCAAATGATAGTCAGCGACGGACCAGGAATTTACTGCTAACAGCCGCTAATTTGCTAGACAATTAAGCCTTCGCAGAGCTCTCGGCTGGGCCATGTCCATTGGCGTTTCCAAGAACGGTATGCTGTTGCGAATGCTTCTGATCGATGAGCTGTGTTGAATAGATATGATCGTCGATTGTTGCTGTTGAGGTTTGACGCTGGAAGATTGCATTCGAGGTACCTGTAAAGGTTTGTTAGAGCTATATGAAACGGTAGTTGTCAGAATTTTCTATATTTCTTTAAACTTTCTGAACCACTAGTAGCCTTATCATGCCACTTGACTGCCTGGTTGGCAACGGTATTCTCACCTGCGCTGACATTGTTCTCAGAATATTCCTCAACTGTCGGCTTTATAATCCAGCCCCGCGAGAGCTTGATAGAGGTAATCTTCGTTATTGCCCGCCCGTGTTCCCATACAATAGCGGTGTCTCGATCTCTTGACATTTTGTCTTGCTTTGATCTCGGCATTTGGAAGGTGCAGTGTGCGAAAAAATTAATCAGATTAATTAATTAATTCATGAATATTCATGAATAGCGTGAATAGAATTTGATTAACGTGATACTTATGTAATTTGATTAGATTAGAATAATTAATCATGATTATTCATGAATACCTTGATTAATATATACGTGACTACAGCACGTGATAGTCTAGCCTAATTAAGTAAGGTTCTTGCTCTAGCACTGCCTTAGCGAGCTTTTCTCTCTAGAAGCATGGTAGCACAAGAGCCTGAACCTTACCTAATTAGGCCAACATGTCACGTGCTACGGTCACGTGTACATTAATCAAGTTATTCATGAATATTCATGATTAGCTTAATTAATTCGTGAATAGAATATGATTAATGAGAAAACTTCATGAATAGATTAGATTAATAGCCATTAATCTAATCTAATCTATTCATTTCTCACACTGGGAAGGTGTGGTCGGAAGCGTGGAAGAGTCCGCTGGTATCTATCACGCACTAGTGACGAAGGTGGGAGTGCTATTGCGAAAGAAAAGTATTGTTCCGCCCTCGTCAAACAATGAACACTTAACGAGTTCGATCTCCCTGATGGCGATCCTTTTTACCTGTCCCATCGGCGTGATCGAATACTGTGTGGGCTGTTGGATCAACAACATCAAGAAGAGAAACCTTGAGTGTGTGTAGCAGTTGCTTTCCATGGGTAAATCGTCACTAGATCTGAGGGTTTTGGATACTAAACACTGTTTTGGCTAGTCTATTGACAAAGAGAGCGGTTTTTTCGTTAATAGTCTGCCCGTCTAGGGTGATCTCGAGTTTGATTGTCCCCGTAGTGCCTTCGATCTCCGCAGATACAGATATTCAAAGCATCCCTAGGTTATTGGAAATTTTTGCCGAGAAAGAGAAGTCTGAAATCAGTGTTCGAGGTAGACTGTCTTCGAAGGACCACAAGTCATTAACTTGGACCCCCAATCCTAGCCCTGCAACACAATTTAGTCAAGTAATAAAACGTGCAGTAACTCAAGATTGATATAGTGTTCTCGCGCTTTTCTCAAAGTAGTATGGCTATGATCCTCATTCCACGATCCCCATGCATATTAGCATGTTTGCTCATTTCATGCTGCCCCCTCTTAGTAGCCCCCTAGAATTTTAGTTCTAAGATATGCTCTTTCTTGCCTCCTAGAATCTCCCGAATGTGAATCCGATGAGTGACAAACGTGTTATCCGAGCGTACAGCCTCAGATTTTATTTACATTCTTGGAGAAAAAGGTATCCGGACCCTTGAATAACGGCGAGGCGTTTTAGAAATTGTCGAGCTCTTGTGATGGGAGAGTGGAAAGAGTGCTGGTACAACTATGTCTGGTCCCTGACCGACTGAATTTCGGTTTCGCTTCTACCCATTAATGGATGCGGAATCATATTGTGTGCGAGAAGGTCGAAATGAATGGTTGTGGGGAGCGATGTTGTTGGGCGAAGATTTCTCGCAGAATTAGTTCCACCTTGTTGCTTGAAAAGCCAGCCATGATAAATTGGTAAAACGGTGCTGGGAAAGGAGTTGGAATTGGCGTTGGGTTGTCAACCGAAGAAGGAGCCCTTGAGCCATGATCATGATCGAGTTTTATGGATGGGGATATCTTCAAGGATTCCCTTGATGGACAACTTTTGCTGTTAATTGAGACAGATCTGCTCAATTTTGACGAGGTGATGTAGGATTTCCACAAGACTGGCGTTCATCAGACGTAACTCACATAAAGTTGATTCTCATGAGAGTAAAACCGGATGTAACAGGCTGGAAGTAATCAAATATTCGAACAGACTGATCCTGAGTCTACCCGGGATGGGGGGCCTGTCGCTTAACGCCCAAAACCGGCGAGACGCAGGAAGAACTGGTGAGATCGGAGTCTGAACTTTCACCAAGGTCTCACCCCCCCAGGTCCCCCAACAGCGATCAGCTTGTGTTGTCCTGTCTAGCCAAAAAACGCTTTGCCAACCACAGGAAAATGGGATCTTTCTGTGCCACCCAGTTGCCCGGCCTCTCAGCTATCCCACATCCCCGGATCCACCTCCGCGTAAGTGCGTACGATCAACATTGAGTCCGGCGTTTGTAACGTTGACCAATAGGCGCAATTAGAACTTGACGCGCTATTTCCAGTGCGAATAGGAAAAAGTTTGACCTTCACATTGGACAGCGTTCTACAGGGTACATTAGACCATCAACAATGGACAAACAAGACGACGATCCAACCCTCGAGCAAGTGGATACGGCAGGACCCAGAATTTTCGTTATGAGCAGTAAACGGCCAAATTGAAAGGGATCGATGATGCTTTTCTTTTCACTGTTGATAAAGAGCCCATAAGTTGGACCGCAGAAGAAGAATGCAAACTGCCATGGAAAATTGACCTGCGATTGATCCCTCCCGTGTGTCAAGTACCGAGCCTTCATTAATTCATTTTACTCGCTGATTATTTCTCATACAGGTGCTCGTTGCATGTCTGCTCCAATATAGCGACACACAAAGCTACGATGTAGCCGCGATCTCCAGCTTAATTAAAGACTTGAGGCTGTACGGCTTGACGAGCGACTCCCTCTTGAAGTTGGTTCCTCAAATAAACAGGCTCTGAAATGGCCCAAGGGAGAATCAGAGGTGGCTGCCACTTCCATGCTCTTATCTGTGCATGAAAAACCAGTATCGGAGAATAAAGCCCTCCTACTTACAGGGTCACAGTACACTCGACTACCGACTTCATCGTTATCGAATTATCCTAGCATTGGCGTTCGCCCCCACGACCATCGCATGGAATATCATACTTTGGAAAAGTCCTCGAGACAATCTAGCTTCATTTCCAGATGGACTTTGCATTGTACGTATCGCTTTCCCATTTGCCGTCGAAGAGCCTAAATTTTGCTGTCGAGGTGCAAAACCCGGACACCTCACGGTACTTGAATCTTAGCTCTGGAGAAATGCGCGCTGCTTGTCCAGCTCTTGACTGGCTCAAAATCAAAATCATTTGGCAGTTTCTCGCCTCTCGGGTATTAGAGCGAGGATTCGTAAAGTGTCAGCCTCACAAATGTTGCCAGCTCGCGACAGCGTGCACCTTTATTCACGTGACACCGATAATAATGTTTTGAGGCAACCTAAAGAGAGTTTAGTCTTCCAATCTTTCTTACATAGCATAGGTTATTTTATTTCCATTATTAATCACATTTACACTCATCGTGGTCATTTGATGTTTTCCCTCGGATTCTCCTCCTCGAGGGCTTCAGGGGGCGGTAAGCGAGCTCGCCTAATCCGCCTCCGAAAAGCTCCCTCCAACATCAATTATTAATAATCACTAGCACACCATCGAAAATGGGGTCCACATCAACTCAAACCAAGATTGGCTTATCTTGAAAGGCGTCATCTTCTCGTAGTTGTCGCCATCAACAAGGATGAATGAAAACATATCTATAAGAACGACATGTGTGCCTTCAAGTCTGCGAGATTGAGAGACGCTCGCTGTTTCCCTACTTGCAAAGCCCTACCTGCAAGTAAACTTGAATCATCACCACAATGCCTACGGAATTCATCTCCCTGACCTCACCCAATGCCTCTACGGAGCTCAACCCCTTAGGCGGCCCCAACGAACCAATCGACCCCACCTATCTAAACCGCTACGCGAAAGCCCTCGACGACTATGCCTTCAACTACACTCTAGTCCCCTACGACAGTTCCTGGTTCGATCCTTTCACCATCGGAGCCACCATCGCAGCCGCAACCAAAAACCTCAAGATCATAATTGCTCTCCGGCCAAACACGCTCTATCCCACCGTGGCAGCGAAAGCCTTGGCAACTTTGGACCAGCTTTCCTCCGGCCGTGCAGTGGTGCATTTCATCGCCGGCGGTTCGGACGCAGAGCAAGCTAAGGAAGGTGACTTTCTCAACAAAGAGGAGCGGTACGGACGTCTTGAAGAGTATATCAAGATCCTGCGCCGAGCATGGGAGTCAGCTGAACCATTCGATTGGGAAGGGAAGTATTTCCAGTTCAAACAATTCAGTAATCGCGTCAGGCCTGTGAATGGCACGATTCCGGTCTCCGTTGGGGGTTCAAGTGATGAAGCGTATCGAGTTGGTGGGAGTCTGGCTGATATCTTTGGCCTTTGGGGCGAGCCATTGAAGGAGACAAGGGAGCAGGTTGACCGGATCCATGCTGAAGCCGAAAAGGCTGGCCGTGCTCCGAATTGCAGGCCGAGAATTTGGGTTACGTTCCGACCTATTGTTGCAGAGACTGATGATCTTGCTTGGGCTAAGGCTCATCGTACGCTCGGTGTGTTGAAGGAGAATCGAGCGAATAGAACTGGCAAAGTCCCAGCTGATGCACCAAAACCGCAGAACGTGGGGTCGCAGAGATTGCTTGATATTGCTGCGAGAGGGGAGGTGCAGGACAGGGCGCTCTGGTATCCAACTGTTACAGCCACGAATGCAAGGGGTGCATCGACGGCACTGGTTGGAAGTTATGAGACAGTTACTGAGTCCATCTTGGATTATGTTGATTTAGGGGCGGAGTTGATTTCAATTCGGGGGTACGATAACTTGAATGATGCTATTGATTACGGGCGGTATATTCTGCCAAGGGTTCGGGAAGGTTTAAAGGAGAGGGAGACTCGGGCTCGGGTAGCATAAATAGTATCCTTCGATTATCAATTCACCACTTCATGAGAGACGTGTGGCATATCTAAATGGCAGTTCCATTGTCTAGTTCGGGCGATTTGAAAACTCAGAATGTACTATGAAATATGGAACATGCACACACGCGTTGAGACAACTTTACTGGATGACCAATCCAAATGGTATAACTTTGCTAATGTCCAGAAATGTTTTAAACAAGGTGAACAACAAATGTCAGTGTTCCGAGCTCGGAAAGAAGATTCATACCTGAAATATACTACCTAAAAAAGGGCAATGTTTGAAACGTCGATAAATCGTTTTATCAATCTCAAATGACATGATTATCGAGCGCAATCAGATGTTGATCACCAGCCGTAACTCAAAATTCCGAACCAACAGAGAACAATGCGCTTCCACCTAATTATCAGTCTTCATCCTCTTCTTCATCCGGTTCTTCATCCTCACCACCATTATAATAACCACCATGTTCAGTAGACATGTGAGTATAAATTGCGTTCTCGTCGAACTTCCCCCCACAAAAGAAGCACCAGTGCGTTCCACAACCATCGACTGTGCATGTGATATGGTCGCAACCAGAGGTTTTTTCGGTCATTGTACCACAGCCCGGGCATTTCTTGATCTTATCGCCCTTATGATCTTTGCAGTCATCACACACCCAGTCTTGCAATTCGACTGGTGCTCCGGCTGCGCATACGCGCTCAATGTACCGCTTGGCGTAGCCACATTGACGGCACCATGCTGAGATCCACTGTCCTTTGTCTCTGACGGCAATGGCTAGGTCACCGACTGCGTGGATGCCCATTCCGTACTTGGCGAGAGTCTTCGCTGTTGGGTCGCGACGACAAAATGGGCAAGAAAGAGCAGCAGTGTTGATAATTCGACCGCACCCGTTGAGACCATACCAACCCTTCAGACAACCCTTACATATCCGCTGCGAACACCCCGTTCTGCCACACGCTCGCAGTACATCGGATTTTTTAAATGATGAGAAACAGAGCGAGCAGGTCCCGGACTCTGTCTTCCGGCGGGAGATCCAGGATTTCAGTTCTTCCACGAGCTCTGGAACATTGCGAACCAGCTTGCCATTTAGGGCGAGCTTCAGGTTCTGATATTCTGGAAAGACCTCGACTTTGGTGGTAAAATCTGCAGCACCAGCTTTGGCGATTGTATGAAAGAGAGAGCGCTTGCTGAATGGCTCAGCGATTTTCTTGTTCTCGTTTTTCAATAGCCAGGCAGTGGTGTTCTCGTCGGTCAGCTTGTTGGCTGTGGTTTCGACGGTGACGACTGTCTTTCGGCCGTTAGCACACGCGTAGCATTTGAAGTCCTTCATATCCGTTGGACGATAGGACATTGGGTAGATCACTCGGTTCAGGCAATCTGTGCATTCGACAAATGGAGCTGGCGTCTTGCTGTTGGTCCGGCAATAATAGCACTTTGGCTTGACATTCAATGCTTCAGGGCGATAAACGACGTATTGAGCTCGGCAAGTCCTGATGTTGCATTCGACCCACACGAGTGGAGTGGTTTCTTTGTCTTCCTTGGTGACTCGTGCTGCGATAGCATCCTTGGCTGCTTTGCGTTCTGCGGCAGACGTCTTTGTATCCGCTTCAACCGTTTCGACCCCTAAACAAAGCCCGCACTTTCCATTCAAACCCATGATAGTGACTGAACGGGGGAAGTCGCAAGATCGACAAATAGCTGTTGGACCCATTGGTACCGGGGTCTTCCCTGGTGTCCATCCAATTCGGGCAGTCAATTCTGTTTCGAGATTCATCTCAAGCAGCTTGTAAGTGACGAGGCAGTCAAACAGCGCTCGATCCGAATACTTTAGCAAAGTCTCCGCCTGCTTGGTAGTATCTGTAACCTTTGGAGGCGTCAGCAAACCGATACATTGACGTTTTGCAAGACGTCGTTCATCCTTCAGGTTGGTACTCACAGCTTCTGGCTTCTCTGCTTGCCTCTTCTGATACGCTGAATCAGCATCCAGTAATAGAGACAGGCAGCTCGTATTCCATGTTTCAGGAACTTCGATATTGTTCCATCGGTCTCGCCACAATAGCATCTCCTGGTCAGCTGCTTCTTGAAGAGGCTTGACTCCCAGTCGGATGCTGAGCGCTGCAAGTAATGCAGCTGGGCGTGCTCCAAGCATTGTGCCAGGGACCACAATGTGAAGCAAGATCTTCCAAAACTTGCGCTTGAACTCTGTTGATGCAAGTGCCATAGGGATTCTTGGCGTTTCCGTTTCCGAAGCAGCAGCAATATGTGCAGGCATCTCCTCGGCGGAATTGATGTACGTCAGGCGTGTCAATACTCGACCGAGACGACGCAGGATTCTGTAATCGCAAGACCGACCGATTTCAAGCAGCTCGTCGCGTCGGAAGGACGTGATAGGCTTTGATTCTTCTTCATCCTCGTCGGTTTCGTGGGTGAAGACCAGAGTTGGATCCAGACAGACGCACGGGAAGCGTTGAGAAGCTGGAACTGACTCAATGGCTTCCGTCACCTCAGTAGTATAGTCGTATGATTCTTCTAGCCACGCTTTCATTCGAGCTTTCTCATCTCCGTTCTGGATGCGATCGACTTGATGGCCGAAAGCAGTTATGGCCTCGTCACGTGCTGGATTCTCTCGATCGTTACAAACCGCCCTCCATAGTGAGCCAAAGACTGGATTAAGAGAGATTGTGGCGACGTCCTCAGCAATAATCTTCTGCAAATGCTCGATCGCAGTCTTCTTGTATCGCTCGTCGACAGAATAGCGCTTCGCGAAGTCTAAAACTGGAGTTTCTTTCAGTCCAGGCAGATGCTTCTTTAGGACTTCAGCGGTACATCGTATTTTCGTAATGTTCTCACCACTCGCTGCAGAACGTGAATGGGTGGCCAAGAAGAATGGCTGTGCATCCGGGTCCCGCTCATTCAGGAGCTTCTTCATACCATTGATGGAGATATACCGCGTCAGATAGGCTGGAAATTCTATATTTGCCGATGTACCAGCTTTCTCCGCACCCATCCAGGCTAGGAGGACCTCCACAGTCACTTTCGAAATGCTTGCTGGCTTCGAGTCCGTCAAATAGAAAGCCGCACCGCCGGTCATTGCAGACAGGTAGTTGTAGTATCCAGCGTAGGCAAAAGGCATATCTTTCTCGAGGATGGAAAAGACTTGGGCTTTCTTCTCCCCAGATCGTCCGGAAAGCCACTTGGATGCGGAGACCCAGTCGACGAAATGGGGTCCGAAGCCACCGTAGGAGGTTTCCATTTTGAGTGCCTTGCGTTCTGGGCCCAAGTTTGAGCAGGAGTCGGAGGTGTCGCCATTGAATGGTGTATGTGGGGGAGCGTCAGTATACAGCAATATGATGGTACAGGCGTCAGTTCTCATCAGCTCGTACGCCATAGCCAGACCGGTCTTGGTCGCCTCAGGGCCATCTCCACCTCCAATAGGTTCGAGCTTCTTGGCCATTTTGATCAAATCTATCTGCTGATCCTGGAACATTGTTTGTGTCAGATGTGCCTCCAGATATTGGGATATTGATGGAGAATCTACCTGTGAATCCCGGGACAGTGAAGTCGATGGGGAAAGCCATCCTGACCACTCTAGCAGCTGTTGATCGCAGTAGTCGCGGTAAGCCAGAAGTCCGATTCTGGAGAAGCAGTCTGTAAGAGTTGAGATCTCGATAATTTGAGGGAGAGAGTGTTGGAGTGAATTCAAATAAGAGCTCATCGAGTATGTCGCATCGACTAAAACGAGGAGGTCATAGACCTCTGGCTTAGAGTGGGACTCCATCATGACTGAAGTTAAAGATAACGCAGTGCAGAATGCGCTCTCTGAGGAGCATGAATTGAGTGTCCGGAGGAGCTTATATAGCGGTGAAACATGCCCAGGTGCCAAGCCCCTAAACACGTGACACAGAGGGCACTAGGGGGGGCCAGGTGCCATGCAACAAAGGATTACTCCTGGATGACAGGAGCAATTGCTGACCTAAGATGAACCAGATCAGAGAGTCTCGAGCGAATATTTAAAGAAAGGACGAGCTCGCGTGGCGAAGGTGGAGTTTGTAGCTGCAAAACGTGACTCACTTGAACGTCCCGAGTTCTGAACTTGAATCTCGATGATATCAGTGAATGTCTAGAGTCATACCAAGGCAATCACGGCCGTTTATTTGCTCCCGAAAAATCACTTGACGTCCAGGAGGGAGTTGGTCGATTTAAATAATGACTGTTTCGGCGAGGGGGCGTGACTCAGGAAGCAGTGCAGAATGAACCGAACCGCATTGGGACATTCAGCCCAAGTCATCCTCGCCTCGCAAATTGCTCTGCTGTAAAGGAGGAGCAGCGCCAGCGCCATCGCGGGAAGCTGCGCCTGCTTACTGAAGCTGATGAGAAGGAAAGTGCGTTGTGGAAATTGAGCTCTCGTCTTCCTCGGGGTTTGGCGGTGGCGGTGTATTTTAAGCGTGTGGCTTGCAGGCTTAGCGACGAATTCAGGGGCTGTGGCGTTCCCTCAAAAGCCCTTTTCTTCAGAGGCGATCCTTCAGAACCTCCTCGATTGATATCTTGATGTCTTTTATCTATTCTCCTCTATTCATTAAGTGTTTCACGTCTTTTCGTCTTCAATATTCTCAAGCAGGCTATAGACAGTCCAATTGGGAGAGAAGAGGATGGAGCAAGTAGATTTCACGACTCGCAGCTAGATTTGGCGAACATGGTAGAGATAATGCGCAGCATCGAGGAATTTCTTGCGGATTCGAGTAGTCTCAATGGAAGAAACTATATTCTCTTGTGCATTTCATGAGCCAGAAGTCCTGAAGGGGAGGGTTCAAATTTATATTTCGCCGAGAGCCGCCTTCGGATCCCTAACTTGTAGTCAGAGTTGAACTCAGTTACAGGCCGAGGACTTGGGTACTATGGGTACTTATCAAATATGCACTGCACCTCATTCTGTATTGGCGAATCACATGGTTTGTCCAGTCATTATCCTCTCCGGCAGAAACTCTGTCCCTTACCACCATATCCATCGACTCAAAGTTGTCATTGGCCCCTTCTCGGCTCCCTACATTCTCATCCGCTCCCAGAGATAGGCAGAGTGCTATCTCAACTGTCATATATCTTGGCGCACTCATACATATGCGAGCATGAGTGAAACTGGTACAGAGACAGACCCTCAGTCCAATGTCTTGTGCGGGCCACCCCCCGCGAACGCAGCAAGTACACAAACATTCGACTTTTGGTGACCCGCCCTTCTCGGCATATCTTATTATTGAATTAAACTATGATTTCAACATTCCAAGCTGACATAAGACTGTGGTCTTAGTTGCTACAGCCCTAACTTACCCCATCCACCCCCCGAAACTGCGTGGGAAGGAGACTATAATTCGATGTTTGACCGTTCCTGGTCCGTTACAGTAAAGGCGATGACCACTAGCAACCCCGTAATTAGCAGTACAGTGCGGATCACTGTGGTCCTCAACCTTCCATGTATGGGCAGGAAAGGCAGCAGCCTGCATTTTCACCCCTCCTATAACTTTCTCGCCTATGGGTGACCCCTCAAGCTCCCTTTATGCCTCAGAGTTCAAACGTGTCCTTGTTCCACTACCTCAGGTTCTTTTCTCAGCTTCCCCACCATGTTGTAGCAGCTGTACCTTCACCGCTGGCAATGCACAAGTGTATCACTGGCAACCCCTACAGGTACATGTAGTTTCACCGTTTGTGAATGAAGCCAGCTTTACATTGCTTTCTCTTTACTGTCCTCAACACCCACTAAAAAGTTTTAAGCAACTGACCATCCACATATATTACGTTCGAGACAATATTCGCCAGTGCTCAGTGTGGAATCGTTGGTTCAGCAGTTTACAGATCGACCACACTTGCATTTGACCAAAGCAATGCCTCGACTGCGAATCCGTACGGTTACGACCCCCCTCTCACCTGGGTGCCAGATATGTTTACAAGCTCAGTATTCACTGCGGTTGATTGGAAGACTAAGTAAGAAATAATCATACAGCTTTGATTAGAAACGTTCATGATAATCAAAGTATTACCTGCACAAACATAAGAACTACAATTTACAGCCATAGCTTATTACCCTACTTCGACGCCTCCCAGCCAGACAATTGCCACTTCTGCAGCACCGTCGATATCACAACACCTCACCACTAATATGAAGGCTCCGGTATTCTATTCCGCCTGTAGTCCCGCGAATCATGCTCCGCCCACAAATATCTCGGATTCCTGAGGTTGTTACCAGGTTTTACCATTGGAAGGCCCCCATCCACCGCCAACTCCGTCTCGGCATTAGTCTTTGAGGCGCGAACTTTGATGCCTGGTAGTGTGATCACCTACTCCAGCACTGTTTTATCTTTACTGCCAAACGGAGGAGCACTGAGCACCGGGGGAACTAGCATGTGTTGAGATTATGAGGCCTCCTTTGTCCACCTAATATCTTTTACTCTTATTGTGGTATCCAAAGAGACCTTCTCCTCTAGCATTAGACAATTAATTAAGCTTCTACACCCATCTGAATTCCATATCAAGTGCCATGATAAAGAACTCCTTTGTTTTACTTCATTTCAAATATTCAGATTCTTGATCAGTTCTACATGGTCGGAACTCAATCCCTCTCAGCTAGCGGGCCTGCAGTAACGGTTTCTGACAAAACATGTTCTGTCGTTCCAGGTGGTGCTTCGATAGTTGTAGATGGCTCAACCGAAGCTACAAGCTTTGCAACCCAAGCCGCCCACGAAGAGCCTCGCAAGATATATGTCCTGGCTATGTTTTTGGTTCGCAGACACTGATAGCGGGCAGACTACCTATAACCTTTCCAGGGACTGTGTTGAGTCTTGAGCATGATGGAGCGAATGTTCAACCTGTCGAGGGTGATCGTGATAACGTGAGCTGGCAGTGTGGGCTCCGATAAATTATCGATCGGGATTATCGATTAGTAATCGTTATCGGCTAATCGATTGATAAACGATCGATATCGATAATTATCGTTGATAAAAGTGGGCCCCAGCTATTAAGCGAGCCCTATTACATGAACATCTCGCTTTCTAGTTCAATTATAAACCGATTAGTATAAAGATTAATATAAAAGTAGACTATTATTACTATACTATTATATTTCTATTTAATAGTCTATTATATAATATAGATAATATAATTATTGCTAATACTATCGATGCAATGGGGCTCGCTTAATGGCTGGGCCCGCTTTTATCAATAATTCCATTGATAAAAGTGGGCCCAGCCAGCCATTAAGCGAGCCCATCGATAATTCCATTGATAAAAGTGGGCCCAGCCAGCCATTGAGCGAGCCCATCGATAATTCCATCGATAAAAGTGGGCCCAGCCAGCCATTAAGCGAGCCCATCGATAATTCCATCGATAATAGTGGGTCCCAGGGCCTTGGCAATACTACAGGGCCACTACAGGGCCAATACGCTATATTTACAGGCCTTAGACCGCCTTTACAGTACTAAATCTATTAATAATAGTGGGTCCAGGGCCTTGGTAGTACGACAGGGCTACTACAGTGCTAATGCGCTATATTTATAGGCCTTATACCGCCTTTACTAAATCGGAATTCTGCTATAGTAAAGAAAAGGTGGTATGAGGCCTATAAATATAGCGCATTGGCCCTGTAGTGGCCCTGTAGTATTGCCAAGGCCTTAGTTCGATAATTATCGTAATCGATGGTCGATTATCGATTATCGAAAAATTAGCGCGATTATCTAATCGTCGCTTATCGAGCTTATCGGAGCCCACACTGCCGTGAGCGTACGCTATTACGGAATCGGCATGTAGTCCCAAGCATCCTGCCTACGGTTCCCTGCTCCCTCCCCTATAATCATTATCAAGATAATGCGAAGGAAACTGGTCATGGATATGATAAGAAGCTAGCTTTTGGGAGGTATCTTGAGTAAAGAAAGTGGTTAAGTATATAAAATTAATACCCGCGTTTCACGTGCGAGATAAATGCCTTCAAAATTCCGAGCAAATATATACAAATCTAGACGATCGGAATATGTAGTCCCAAGGACATTTACATATCCCCATAGTATGATCAAACGCCCTGGCCTCATTCCCTCTACCGGAGTTACAGGCGTCCATGCCCACGGGCCTTCTATATTCCTAGTAGACATATCCGCTTGAAATTCAGGATCCAAATCCATCTGTATTTAACTGTCAGGTAAAAAGTCCTTTGATTTGAATATAACTACTACTTGCCTTCGATAGTAGCTCTTCGATATGACTCTTCCAGTTTCCAGGATTTTGATTAACAAAAGCATCAAAATCATCCTTTTGCTGATTTGTCAAACGCTTTGATACCATCGCAGACATGGCGTGATAGTTCCAATATTCCGACGTGGCGGCGGGTAATACGAGCTACTCAATCAGCTAAGAGAATTCCGGTGGTCGATGGATGATATGGTGCCAGACCTCGATAGAAAGTGCTATTCTTGTGCGTTCCGTTACGCAATGGCAGAAGTTGGGGATCGAGGGGTGATATGTATGGCCATTAGGCAAATGTTCAGAAACTCGTTGCTGCCTAATGTTTCAAGCTTCGGCTCGATTTGCTGGCGTGAAGCGGCATCCACATATCGATACGAGTATTTTTCTCGCTAAGTTGCTTAGTTGACTGGCTTCCACGTCGCCGGAAAATCTCAGATCGCTCCTCATTGCTGTGGGCGGTTACGCAAGAAGGTAGAGGACTACCTCACAGGCATTAACAGCGATGATCCAGAACAAGGAGAGGCAAAAATCATCCACTTGGCTATCGCATACAAGGTGAACGACGCAATGCCCCGGTTCGACGCGGTGAGTAATTGGAGTGCGAACTCTCGATCAGCGCCGACAGAATATTGAAACCCCAGCGAAAAGGTATGCTTGCTAGACGAGAAGAAAGGCGATAAGAAACCGACTGGAAACAGGAGATATCCTACCGTCTAATAACCAGAATGAACTTCGGCCTCGAGAGGATGCGGGCCGAGGATACGGACCTCCCTGCACTATCGCGACGACATGTTTTCCGACATAATATGGACATATATCAGTTCGGTGGAATCTGCCGGGGATTTTAATAACGTATTCCAGATTAAAAAACACAAACGGAAGGATTAATGACACTGCTGCGTGGGGATGGGAGGTGCTTTGTAGTCCGCAAGCCCCTTACCGCCTCGTTGGATCTAGCGAATGCGGAGATCATAGAGGCTAAATCTACTCACTGAGTACAAAGATAGCTGCGATTGATGAAAAGGCATATAACCGTGCTAATGGTAGAGTTGAGGTAACAAGGGGGGTTTGTGGGTAGGGTTGGTGTTGGGAACTGTTGGAGCTATCGTAGGATTATAAAGGGAATTCAAATCAACAAAACCAAAGATTTCGGTATCACAGCGATATACCGACCTACAGTATGTTGTCAAAGATAGTACTCAAGGCCTGTAACCAGAATTCAGCACTTTTCAAGAGAGGATAAATTCAGTCTGGCAAGGAAAGACTTCGTCGATGTTGGGTAATGTTAGGAAATTGAACACCAGCCTAACTATTCGACGTCACAAAATACTATGATCTTCCACAACTGTACAATTTATAAATGCTATCAACTACTACTTGACAGTTTGTATTATTATAAGTCTATAAAAGTGTGAACGCACAAAGGCACAGGCAGCCGAGAATGATATATCCCAAACACGTCAGTCTTTCTTCTTGACTTTCCCCTGTCTAACTTTCCCTGCTTGGATATAAACTCGCCTCAGCCCAAATTCAATTGTTACTGACCCCCTACCAAACTCGCTTTCAAATATGAATTATGTACAGGCTTCCACCCAATTTGCCACCATGGAAACTGGTGTTTGTACAATCGTTGCGGCCGCTAACCCCGTGATGGTTGTGCGTGTAGAGGTTGTGATAGTGCTGGTGTTTGTGGTGGTAATAATGGCAGGAGAGGTACGGCAAGTCGTAAGTGCTACATTGGAAACATAGGTTGTGTATGCATAGACACCGGTTTGATTGTAGGCGAGAGAAAGATGAGGGGCCACAGTCGTTTTCGTGCTAAGGATGTGGCACGCCAACGTGGATTGTGCATCTGTATCTACATCTCGATTGACAAGCTCTCTTGGGGATGCCAATGCGGCATGATTATTGCAGTATGTTTGTGTTTAATCAAGTACTTCTTCGCCGATGTGATTGTGCGAAAGTCAAGCCAAGTCAAGCCCAGTCAAGCTAAGTCAAGCCAAGTCAATGATAGCCCCCAAGAAATTCTTTTAAAGAAAGAAAAGGAAGCTTGCCCGAAGAAAACGAGCGTTGCAAGTCCAAACTTGAGGATGTGTACCATGTTGAGGATGTCGACGGCTGATGATAGCTCTCGAAGTTGGTGGTAGTTAGAAGTCAGTATTCCTCGCCGTGGGCTTGGACTGTGAGCCTTCTTTTCAAGATCAGTAAAAGAACACATGGACTTAATAGAGAGATACACATCGTTTCGGGATTTCTCGCGAGTTTATCCTGAAAGTTCAATCTCTTGGGTACGATAAGAGGAGCTCTTAGCTATGGTTAATACCAGAAGGCTCCGTTCAAACATCATCCTTTGATTCAATTCTCATCTAAATAAGAAGTCCTCATCAACCCAAATCAGCAACGTTGCACCCCCGTTTCCTGATCAGGTAACAAGCAAACATACCATTCTAAGCCCCTTTAAACTGCATGTTTGCCCCAGAAATACCTGTCAATGCGTACGGTTTCGCGGTCAGACTATTGCGATATCCAGTTGCAAAAGGGCTGGACAATCTTCGGAGCCGAAAATCGACGGTTCCTAAACTTGCTGTGAGTAACTTCGTAAATTGTGACCGGAGGTCCGAATAATTCCTGCACTTCAGAAGCACGGAATAGAGCTAGTCTCCGGACACAGCATGGAGGAGGGCAGACAACCGTTTTGTCAGTTGCATCAACTCACTCAACTAGAGCTTGGCCGTCATCGCGCCAAAATTTTCATATATTTCCAGGAACAGACAAAGAAAACTAACAGAGAGGAGGTGATGTTCGCGTAGTGGAGTGAAACTTTGCCAGATTGTTTCACTGAGCTGAGCTGTAAAGTCAGAGGAAATGGTCGTGCGGATCGGTTAAAAAGGGGTAGCTCAGCAGGAAAATCAAGGTACAATATACCTTCATATTTGCTGCACCAAGTGAGAGTTGGGCGTGAAATTAGGCGGCGTATTAGAGGTACGTACTTCTGGTGAAAGATTCATGTGTGGACCACGTTACATAAAACTTCTAGATTCTGTATGGATGATGTAATCAGCAGGTTTTCACCAAACTCCCCCTTTTCCCCACTTTCGCATACGCCCGAAATACCCCGCCTTCTCGACGGACTAAGGTTAATTTAGCTGCCGGCTTGCCGAGGAGTTTACTCAGATTTCAACCCTACTTCCTTTTCAACCTTTCTACAAACCTTCTAATCTAACCCCTTTGCATCTCATTTCATCCAGCATCCTTGCAATGACAACTGAAACAATCACTAACACTCATGCCTCACTTTATCAAGAATCTGAAGACTTTTCATTTCCTACACTCCCACCATTTCCGGCCGACATCCCAACCGCCCCTCTCCTTCGCCTATCCCTCTCCTCTCTCCGCTCCTCCTCAGAAGAATCAGGCCGCTTCTTTACTGCATCCAAAGAACTAGGTTTCTTCTATCTCGATCTCCGCAACGATCCTCTAGGGGAGGAACTACTCTCCCAGTCCTCCAGATTCTTCGACCTCGCACCAAAGTTCTATAAGCTGGGCAGAGAAGAACTGAGTAAATATGACTACAAGAATGTGGGTAGTTATATGGGGTATAAAGGTTTCGGATCCGCGGTTGTAGATGAGAAGGGAAACTTGGATCGGAATGAATTTTACAATGTATGTTCCCCTTCCGCGTCTCTCACTCACAATCTCTAGAAGAGCAGAACTGACAATGGTATCCAGATTCCAAAAGACGACTTTTTCGGCATCTCCGAAAAGCCATTCACGCATCCTGATATTCTGTACCAAAATACTGACTTAATAAAATCATACATCAATAACTCCCACGCCCTCATCACTCTCCTCCTCAATCATCTCAACACCCATCTTCAGCTTCCCGAAGGAACACTCCAGTCTCTGCACCGCCTGAACGAACCATCAGGCGACCAAATCCGCATAATCAAATCACCACCCCAACCACCGTCAGACCAACACACAGCACTAGGAAAACACACCGACTTCGGCTCCCTAACTCTCCTCTTTAACCAACTTGGTGGCCTTCAAATCTTGCCTCCACCGTCTCTTACTCCTGCGGGCAAAGAACCGGAATGGACTTATGTAAAGCCATTGAGAGGGCATTGCATCATCAATCTCGGAGACGCGATGACGAAGTTTACGGGCGGATTGCTGAGAAGCAATATCCATAGGGTGGTCAGCCCACCTGGGGAGCAGGCGGAGGAGACCAGGTATAGTGTTGTTTATTTCTCAAGGCCAGAGGATGAGGTTGTGTTGAAGAGGCTGGAGGGAGGTGTTATTCCGAATGGGCAGGATGATGGAGAGGCGATGAATAGCAAGGAGTGGATTAAGTTGCAGGCTTTGAGGTTGAGAAAAGTAGGAGTGGAGAAGAGTGAAGAGGAAAGAAGGAGGCTTTGGGAAGAGACTGGGAGAGGAAGTTGAGTTGGGCGAGCTTGGATAAACCGTAAAGAATTATCTATAAGCCTACGGGCTCCTATTACTGAGAAATCTTCTCCCCACCTTTTCTTCTACCAACTACTATCTGCCGTGACTTAATCTTGGCTCTCCAGACTAATCCTGTCCGAAGGATGCAATGTAATACCAAAGGGGCAAGGCTGGAGGTTTGTAGCGGACACTACAGACAGGTGTTGAGTCTTCATCCGCCGAGAGAGTACTATCCTTTCGTCCGGTGAGACATGTCCAGCACCAGGTATCATAACTAAAATTATCAGGCAGGTACATACCGCTTGGTTGTGATGCCTGGCGCTGGACAAGTCTCAGCGGACGAAGGGATAGAAGGTTTTGGTCGATCCGGTCAACCGTACTCTCCCCACCCCTAATTAAATGTAGCAGTGGGTCAAAGTGGGGGGAGGGGGTTGGTATGGCACTGGACCGTGCCAGGCTGGCTTTGCGGGGAGAGTATCAGCCTTGCATGCAGCCTCGCAGCCGACCCCTGAGCTGATCGCCAACATCCGATCTTCCCCTCATCAGAACACGAACATGCCACTTCTCACGCAACGACCCAGTAAATCACCATGCTTACCCCACAGTACACGATGACGCGGCTCTCGTACGAGGCTCAGTCCCCTCAATCACCGAATATCATCCCCCGCTTCTGCAGCGTAGCGTATTTGAGTCCCTCGACTTATAACCTCCCACCCTCTTCCTTCCGGCAATGCAGACCTTCAGAACAGTCCCCCTTCTCTCAAAGGGCCAAACCTTCCGTCAGCCAATTCGACAAGCATCATACAGCACAATGAAAGCGCTCATCTACCGCGCTGTCGGCGACGTGAAGCTCGAAGAGCGTCCGAAGCCAAAGATTGCTCAGCCTACCGATGCGATTGTCAAGCTGACCAAATCTACGATCTGCGGAACAGATTTGCACATCAGAAAAGGAGATGTTGCGACATGTAAGGAGGGAACAATTCTAGGACACGAGGGAGTGGGAATTATCGATGAGATTGGCAATTCCGTACGCGGATTCAAGAAGGGAGAGCATGTGTTGATATCTGCAATCTGCTCTTGTGCAAGCTGCGAGTATTGCCGAAGGGGAATGTATTCGCATTGCACCACTGGAGGTAAATGTGTCTTCTGTTTGACTATTCAGAAGGACAAGACTGATTATGGACATTCAGGTTGGATCCTAGGAAACACAATCGACGGCACACAAGCAGAATACGTCCGCATCCCACACGCTGACTCCTCCCTTTACCCCATCCCAGCGGGTGCCGACGAAGCCGCACTCGTCATGCTTTCCGACATCTTCCCCACAGGTCTTGAATGTGGTGTCCTCAATGGCAAAGTCGAGCCCGGATCTACAGTTGTGATTGTTGGTGCAGGGCCTGTTGGACTGGCAGCTATGATTACAGCCCAGCTATACTCCCCAAGTGTGATTATCATGATTGATATGGATCATAATCGACTGAAAGTTGCGCAGACACTGGGGGCAACCCATACCATCGATCCTAGCCAGCCGGATGCGGTGAGGAAGGTGAAGGCGTTGACGGATGGGAAGGGTTGTGATTGTGTGATTGAGGCGGTCGGAGTTCCTCAAAGCTTTGAACTCTGCCAGGAGTTGGTGGCTACGGGTGGTGTGATTGCGAATGTTGGTGTTCATGGAACGAAAGTGGACCTTCACTTGGAGAATCTCTGGGGTAAGAACATTGGTGAGTTACCGATTCCCGCCTTGAACCGGAAACTGATAGTATACAGCAATCACAACTCGACTAGTTGACACGGTCACAACACCAATGCTGTTGAAGCTCGCACTCTCGGGAAAGCTGGACCCTTCAAAGCTCATCACGCACAGTGAGTTGAGAATGGAATTCAACCCTCTTGGACGGTGGGCACGAGCTAACTTTAATCGTTTAGAGTTTGCTTTCAAGGATATGGAGAAAGCGTACAAGACATTCGGTGCGGCGGCTGAGCACGCGGCTTTGAAGGTTCTTATTGAATTCTGAGACTTCCCGGCACATATGATCGGGCAGAAACCGCGGTGGAAGTATTCTTGGGGCATTGAATTTGGGTGGTTCGACGATTGGAAAATTGAGCTTGATATTAACGACAGCTAGCTTCTCCATCCCTAATAAACCTCCTTTGTCAATACCTTTGCTCCAGTCCCTTTATGAGGTGCTTGTTCTTCGGGACCGGTTTCACATCCTCCAATTAATCCACCGCTTCTGGCTGCCCCATTCAGCGACCCCTCAAGACTTTGTGGCATCAGCCTCCTATATGCTGTGTTGCTATTTTTGGCTACAGACCTGCCCAAGTGAAGTATCCCAATTCAAAACACACCTCTTTGGCAAGTTGCCAAAGGCAACGTTGCTATTCTCTATCTACTGGAGGTGGAAACGAGTAACAAGTATATTTCATCTCACAAAGGAATTAAGAGGCGGTAAATTCAGCTTCTAATGGGAAACGAAAGAAGTGTAATAACGGCAGGCAAGAATTAGTAATGTAGATTAATGCTTTAATAGTTAATAGGTACTATATTAAAGATATCTAATTATAATAATAATATTAATCTTATTGAAATGTCTTTTAAGCCCCTATAAATAGCTATTTGCAGATTACGAATAGTTATTAGTATAAATAATAAATAGAGTAAAGTAGTATAATAGCCCCTATTTATATTATATTTATATTTTAATTAGATATTTATAAATAATATATATAGCTAGCTTTATTTAGTAAAGCTTCGAATATTCTTACTCTAGTATTACCTCTTTACCTAATTAGGTAATAATAGTATCTAGTAAGTAAACTAGACCTTTAATAATACTTTTGAAATTATTTCGATTTAAGAACTTAATAATAGGAATAAGGGAAAAAGAGAGATTTTTTTAAAAAAAGAATAATTAGTTTATTATTATATAAAACTAGTATTTAAATATAGGCTTAGTAATATTTCGAACTAATTAGTTTCTATTAATTTATTCCAGGAATCTAAAATAAGTAATAATAAAATATTTTAATTATTTCTAAATAAACTAATTTCTATAAATTCTCGTTATTTTATAAAGACTTCTCTTAATTATATTATTAAAAGACTAAAAGCTATTATATAATCTTAAAATAACTTTTATTGAACTATAATATTATTATAATATTACTATGATTCTTTATTATAAAAAGTATTTTTTATTATATTTATTATATTTATTATATTTATTATATTTATTATATTTATTATATTTATTATATTTATTATATTTATTATATTTTTATTATATTTATTATATTTATTATATTTATTATATTTATTATATTTATTATATTTATTATATTATATATTTAAAGAAAATAATATTATTAAAAAATCTATCTAATAGCGGCTCGATATATATATAAAAGAAAGAAGGGGCTTATAAGCTTTATAGCTCATAAAAGCTAATGAAGCCTTCCCTCTCCCGCAATTGCATAGCGAAGGTTCTTCTAGCTTAGTAGAGGCGGCAAAATTTCTAACCTTCTAGTATTTACAAACAGCACTCTGGTACTCCTCAACATCTTTCGACAAATACCGCTATTATATTACTCCACATCTATATTCCCTTATCAGAGACTAGAAGGGTTTAAACGCCCTTCTAATGATCTTGTAGAAGTCGAGTAATGTCCCTGAGGACAGATTGACAGAGGGGTAGTATAGGCGTCCGCAACTACCGTGTGGGCTGACAAGTCTAGAGGTACCTTATGTATGTTGAAGAGTAGCGGGCCATTCTCTGATAGAACTTCGTTGAACGGAATTGACGTATAATAGCAGTTGTACGACGGAACCCACGATTGCGTGCGGGAGATTCCTGCTCGGCTTTTCTCCACGTTTACAGGGAATGAAAAGACCAGTAGCTCAGCCCATTCCCCAAATATGACGAGGATCAAGCAAGCCTCTCTTTGGAATAGCTCTACCACTATTGTCTTTATAGCTAACTTGGTTTTTAGTATTTCTTCCTGTAACTCCAACCGAAATTATTATAGTGTCGATTGCTCTACAATCGCTTTCCGGCAGTATTTCTGGCCCGAGGATAAGTATGCTATTGGTAACCTGCTTCAGGTCGGCCTTCTCTGCCACCACCTCCCTTGAAACTATTGATATTGTGATACCTGGAAGCTGTCTAGTAATGACAACGTGGTCCCGGTCGTCTATAGTTGCCTCAAATATCTTTAGCTGGGATTCCAAGGCCAGGGATGAAAGGCCTCATGGCAGGTGTGCTCTAAACGTTAAGGTTAATTTTGATCGAATTATCTGAATCCAGCAATACCAAACAAGGGCCAAGAACGAAAGCACCATAGAGGCTCTCCCTTCCCGGCCTTACAGATCTTTCCTGACAATAATTAACGTAGTGTTACGTATTATAACGCTACCAAAGCTGACTGAACTGCAGAGAAAAAGTTCTACCAGCTGTTCCCAGTGGATGGTAAACAGAAACTTAGCCAACTCTTGGGCTCTTATCTGTAAGAAAGGACCGCGTGGAGCCAGGGAACATTCTCTTCATATCGCAGCCGGGCGGTCAATATCAGTTCCAGCTAGGAGATTTTGGACTCTGCAACCGTATTGTTGATGCCGCGACGTTTGCCAGTACTCACCTTTATATGGCCCCCAAGATGTTTCAGGAAGGGAGAGTTTTGTGAGAGAATGGTATCAATTTGCAAACTAAAATAGATTCCGACACACGCGGCTGGACTGAAAGACTTATAATATTCCATAGAAAAAGAAGTCGAATATAACTGAGAAAGAATTGACAACACTAAAGACGACTAGAGACCAATAGCTAGCTTGGAAACTGAATATAATCAATAATCAAGATACTAGAAACGATTTGCGGTAAGATGGGTTCCTTCGAAGTCTCGAAGATGGCTCCCAGGCGGCCAATATCGGCCCCACCATCTCATAAGTGGACTTGCGATATCTATCTGTCAAAGTCTTCTCGAGAGACATGGCTTGTGCTCGCAAGGAGGATACGTATCTATTAGGTTATTAGGAATTATCTTCCATATAGCAAGTCATTCTCGACGGAAGGTAGGCTCACCTTCTCTCGCTTTCTGATATAGCATAATATCTGAGGCAATTTTCACCCGCCATCTCACACAATTTGCAACTCAGCGAAGGATCACAATCGCTCCCGTCCTGCGCACACTTCTCACACGGAAGATTATCAATTCGACGAAGTGGTATTTCGGTTGGAAGGGTGGTGCCTTTGAAGTCTTCTTGCCCCTTTTTGTTGAAAGACATTCCTGAAGAGTCGACTTCCATTTTTCCAACTCCCGGGGTTAATAGATCTGCATCCTCATTTTGCTGCCTAAGTCTATAAGCCGTAAATACACTCTTTGCAATAACTTCTAGTTTCGTCATTGGCCATTTGTTGTAGATGCTATTCAACTGAGAAGATGACTTGATTTTTCCAAGATGGTCATCCCAAATTTCCATGGCCTGGTTGAAATCGGCAGTTGTTGCTGCCAATTTAGAAGTCTTAAGGGACTCTGTTGAGTGCCAACGAGCAAAGGGCTCAACACTAGCCAACTTCGGCGTGGTTGCGCTCGGATTTTCATTCTGTGTCTTGATTTTGACAAGTTCTAGTTCTCTTTCTTTGTCAAGCAGATCACTATTTTTCTTATCCTGTCTTGTTAGCGTAGCCTAGATGAACTTAGAATTAGCTTATGTTCTGATAGTGTCGGTAGCATAAAAGAGCGAACAAGCACCTTCCGGATGAATCAAGGCCATTTTAATATCGGTAACGTAAAGTCCGCCAAACTTGATCCTTGATTTGAAAGAGAAAGTATGCAGAATACGTACTTCTGCTTCTGTAACTTTGTTCTCGACAGAAATTTGATTGTTCGATCTTGCGGCTCCGATCAGAGTGATGGCCGGGTCATACGGCAAATACCCCAACATAGCAATCGGCATAGAAACGATCAGGAGCGTTGAGTCACTAGCAAAACCAGCTTCTACCCTGACAGACTTCGCTTCTACTGGGAGTGTTGACAACCAATCCGCTAAAAGTTCAGTAGATAAGTCGCCTGGTTTTATGTCTTCGCTGATACGTATACTGAAGAGAAGTCTCGGGTATTCTGGAAGTTGTGACACCGAAGTCATTGATGAAGCGACATCGCTGTTAGATAGATGATTACTTGAAGCTGCTACACTCTCTTCTAGCGTGCTCCCTGATCCCCTAAAAAGTATCCTGGGTTAGCCTTGATCGAAAAAGTAAAACGGGTTCTATAAAGCACGCAACATCTCATAACGCTTCGGACATTGTGATGACCGGAAGAAAGAGAGTTAGAAACTATGCCTACACAGAAAAGTTCGTGTTGTGGCCACAATGATAGGTAGTTTCTATCAACCCAGGCCCGTATGAGGTATCTTTTATCGGTAGACGCTTAGATAATAATGTTATACTTCGAGGAAGTCGATGATCTTGGGTTAGTACCAAATGAACTGGAGGCTTTCTAAACTCGGCAGCCTTCACCGGTAGCCCTTGAACTTCCGTGAAGAGGAGATTATACAAGTATCCAACTGTAAATGAAGGCTTGTTGAGCAGGGCTCGTAATTGTGAAACGAGTGCGTGGGTGAATGAGAACGGCCCAACTCCGTTGGCAGAATTATTGAACGCGCATGCGGCAAGGAGCTCGGTGACACCGTTGCCTAATAATCAATAAACTTGATGTTTTAGAGTGAGGAATATATTTTACCTTCATCGGTGTTGCTTAGGCCAGAGGCACAGCAGTCTAGAAGCACCAAAACATCGGATTGAGATTCCTCCAACGCATTTTGAATACCCGACCACTTGACGGTAGGTTGTCGGTCACGTTTGCTGTTCCGGTAACTAGTGTTTAGTTGTCGGGGTCAGATCTGACTTTTACTCACGTGTCAGTCAAATTGGGATATTGACATGTGCTAACCTTGTCCATATCGCCTGCCCATGGTTGCTCAACTTGCCGTGGCCAGCGTAGTAGACGATTTTGAGGTGTTTAGTATCGTTGTCGTCCAGGAACTGCAGGATCTTGAGGTTAAGAGCTGTATGACTATTCACATCGGGAATTTTCCATTCCTCAACCTCAAACCCATACTGCCCAAGATGATTAGCCCTTTATTTAGCACTTTTCAGAATCTTGAGAAGTACCAAGTTGATAAACACATCGCTTAAAGCTCCTATCTCTAAGGATACAGGAAGGTTGGGGTCCTCATCCGCCCAGGATAGGAGGATTGCCGAAACCTGCCGGAGAGTGAGCAATGTGATTGAGAAGTTATTTCATTACCTATCTGGGGTACGGAAATTTAAGGAGCTCATGTATTAACCTGAGTTTGGTAGGGGTAAAGAGAAGCTTTTCTAACCTTGGTATATCTGGATCTTCGATCCCCAGTGCCCGAAAATATAGCATTGGCGGTAAGTTGAAGACCTCTTCTAAAATCTTGGAGGCCAATATGGTGGTTTAATTGATCAATGTCGTAGCCTGGCGGTGGCAAAACGTATGATTCAGGCGTTTCAGATGATTCATCGACCGGCTGGATTGACGGAGCAGCTCGCGCATCCATCTTGCATCCATCGGTTTCCCAAGCTTTATCGTTACTTCCCTCACAATGTTCTTCCTCTCGTACTGTAGACATGGGTGGCTTGTCTTTGGAAGGTTCAAGACAAAATTCGAAGGTTTCCAGAAGCAACTGGCCGCGCCGATGATTTCTTATGTGAAGCCTTGTCCAGGGCTCAGGGCCTCGGTGACAGGGGTTCTCGCTTACAGCGATATTAATAACAATCGTCTAAATCGCATTTTAAGCGAGTCACGAAAACCCCTTGCGATAAAACGTCTAAAGCACTACCTTTAATTACAATTCCGCAAATTACTTAATAACCACAACTCTAATTAGGAAGGAAAGTTTATATAATTAATGGGGGCATCTAGTTCTACCGTTTGCTAACTGGTATACTTATATAGATGCCTTACCACCTGACCCCAACTATAATTACCCGGATTAATAATATACTATATATGCCTGCCGAGTTAATTATATCAAATTATATTATATAGCTAGTATTGAACTATTATATAACCATACGTATAATATATAGGCATAAGGTATGAATTAATGCGAATCTCCCTATTAGACGATATTTAGAAGGCCCTATATAGGCTATTACTTAGAAAATAGAATAAGCTATTAAGTAACTATTAGAGCAGATATTTTAGTTCTACTAAAATGAAATTACTGACTTCTTATTTAAAGTATTTAGTATTCAAGTATCTCAGCCTATAATTTCTATAGTTCTTAAAAGAATATAAGTTATATAGAAGAAGCTAAAAGTCGAAGCCGCCTAGAGAAATTAAGAACTATATATATAATAGTAAAATAATCTTTAGTATTTTATTATAGATTAAATTATTTATATAAGCAAATCAGGAAATAATAATTATATAAGAGATTATTAATATAATTAGATTAATTCAGGAGTTTATACTAAAGTTTATTAATAACTAGCTTTAAAGAAGAAAGTCTTAATACTTCCGATATATATAATTAATAAATATGTTATTAAATTAGTAACTTTTTATAATATCTATATAGCTAATATCTTTAAAGACTTTATTATTAATAACCTTTTATCTCTTTATAACCTATATTCAGGCCCCTATTTAGTTATTATAATAAATAATACTTTAGTATATTAGTTTTATTAATATAAAATTATTAATACTTATAAATAAAAAGAAGTTTAGATATACTTCTTATTACTTTACTTATTTGATTTCAATTTAATTAAGAAGTTCTTTAGTAACCTAAAAGGCTTTATTTAATAATAAATTTACTTTTTCTTCTTTTTTCTTCTTTATTTTTAGTTTATAGAATTATATTTTAATAGAAAGCTTTTTATATATATTTATTATCTAAAAAGTTCAAATTCAAATATCTGATTCTATTATAATTATATCTAGTTTAATAACTATTATTTTTAGAATATTTTAAATATTTCAAATAAAAATAACTCTATTTTAGAATCTAATTATATATATATACTTTTCTATTTATTATTTTAATATTAACTACTAAAAATTACTCTATTACTATTTATTAAAGAAGTTTATTTCCTTATTTCAAATAAACTTATTTGTTTTCTTATTATACTTTTCTATTTAGTAATTAAATTATAAAATAAATTAGAAAAAGGGTTATTAAATAAATTAATTTATAATTAATTAAGAATTACCTATATCTATAAGGCTTTATACTATAAATAACTCTTTTTACCTATTATATACTCGCTTAAATTCGGATATTCTCTTAATAATTAATATAGTAATTCCTAATAAAACTTTATATTATTCGAGAGTTCCTATTATTATAAATAGCTTTAATATTTCAAGATTATTACGGAATTATACTTGTATTATATTTATAATACTTTTAATTACTTACTAGTAAAAAGGTTCTATTTTATTCTAAAATAGAAATGCTTTATATTTTACTAGAGCTTTATTATTATTAATATACTAAATTAGAAAGAAAAATAAAAGAATTTACTAATATTTATAATATTTAGTATAATATAATAAAATATAAGCTTATTAGATATAGAAATAAAAATAATTATATTTATACGAAAATCGCAATTAAACTAGAATAAATAAAGCTAATATTATATTATAATTTATAACTAGAACTTAAGATTAAATAGCTTAAGGTTATATAGTATTTATTATACTAATTATAGGATTTATAAAATTAGACTTGTATTTTCTCTTTTATATAATTATTTTATTTAGATTAATATCTTAATATATAGTAATTTATTTAGATAAAAGTTTATTAATAATAATATACTTTACTTATTTATTTTATTAAAAAATATTAATCTTATAATATATTTAATTTCTCTTTAATATATAATAATAATTACTTATATTACTATAAATTCCTTCTTTCTTATACTTATATATATTAAAGATCTATAAGTAAATAGCTTCCTAAATACTTATATTCGAATCTTATATAGCCTTTTTAATAAGCTAATAATTAATAATAAAATCTCGAGGTTTTTAGATAAAGAACTTATATATAGGCAAGCTAGTAATATCAGGAATATAGCTATTAAAAACATTATTTTCGAGAGAGATTAGTTCGAAATCGAGTAATATTTCTTAAATAAAAGTTAGTTAAGCTTTAGTTATAGTTTTTAGAAATTTTAAAAGTATAAATTTAATTAATAGTTCTATAAAAATCTTTAATTATAAAAGTATTATAGTTTTTTTAATTTCTATATTACTTTGTTTAATAGAGGCTAGCTTTTATAAATATAATAGATATATATAATAGTATATAAATTAGTATTAGATATTATAAATCTGGTTTCCTATTTTAAATAAAGCTTATAATTAGAATTATATAAGTAATTAGAATTATATAAGTAATTAGAATTATATAAGTAATTAGAATTATATAAATTATATGAAATTATATTTTCTAGTTAAATAAAGTATTTTATAGGCTTGGCTAAATATTAGAGAATATATAAAGAGATATTTCTAGCTTTAGAAAGAGGTATTAATTAGTTTTTTATTAGAATTAATTCTTGGAATTAGTTATATTTATAAGTATTATTCTATAGCTTACTTATTTTAATTACTTATATATTATTTTACTATTATATATCTTATATTCTAATTAATTTAATTTTTGGAAAGTAGTTTATTATAAGATAATTAAGCTATTAATAAATAAAACTATTAATAGCTAAAATATTAATTAGAAGAAATACTTCTATTATTATTAGAATAACCCAGCCGGATATCTAGAAAAATATCTAGTCTAGTATTCTTTATATTATTTAATTAGAAAAAGGAAATAGAACTCAGATATTTCTAGAATTAGTTAGTAAAATAATAATAATAGAGAAATTAGTAATAGCTTACTATTATATTATTAAATGAGAAGTAGAAATGTAATAGAAAAAGAATTTAGAAAAGCTAGAAATTCAGATCTATTATTTTAAAAATATTTGAATATCTAATATAGAACCCGTTATACTTCTAGTAATACTTTTAGTTCGGAAGACTCTAAAAACCCGAAAACTGCCTATTTACTAGAAAAAGAATATTAAAGAAATCTAGAACTTCTTTTACTAGATAAAGTTAAATAATATAAAAATAATAGAATTATTTAGGCTACTAATATAATAAAAATTATATATTATATTTCCTATTTTAAGAATATAGTTAGAGATATCTAGAAATATAGGAAGTAATTAGTAGATATTAATATTATAGATTAGAAGGCTTTTATTAAATTTATAAAGAATTCTATTTTAGATCCCGAGAATTATAGTAATAATACTTTTATTTTAGTTTAAGAATATTAAATAATAGCCAGGCTAGAATATCTAAAGCTTTATATCTTATTTAAATAGCCTATTAAATAACTTAGAATATATAAATTTATTATAAAAGCAAAATAACTTATTTAGTAGTTTAAGATAAGAGATTCGAAATAAAATTAATTATTAAGGAAATATTTTATAAGAAAGAAAGAAGCTTATTTCTATAATTATAAGAGTTAAGAATAATTTAAATTTATTTATTTAATAGAAATATAATAATAATCTAACAAAATAATAAAGAAAAATAGAAAAGAAATATATTTCTATTATAAGATTTATAAAACCGGATATAATTTGCTTTATTTATTAGAAGAAAGATTACTATATTATTATTTATTTAAATTAGAAGAAACCAACTTGCTATAATTATAATAAATCTGGCTATAAATTATATAAATACCTAAAACTAAAAAAGCCGGGAAATAAATATATTCTATAATAGTTATATTTATTTATATTATAGAAAGCAAGGTTTCTAAAACGAGAATAGTAATTAAGATTATTATTAAAATAAAAAAAGATAAATAAAAGATTAGAATATTAGTTAATTCTAATATAGAAACTAATTATATAAAAAGAAGATTAGTTTTAAATATAAGTATTTTATTAATATTAAAAGTAATTCTCTTATTTTTACTAGAAGAAAAAAGAATTTATTTATATAAAGATTATATTCTTGAGATTATTATTAAGAATATATTAGAAAACTAAAAAGAGGCTAATATATATTTTATATTATATAATTTTAATCTAAACTATATTAATATAATATCTGAATTCCTATAGTTTTATTAAATTAATTCTTTGATTTTCTTTAGAGAAATAATATAAAAATACTAGATTTAATTATAAAAAATTAAAGTTTTAAATATTAGAAAGTTTACTAAAATAATAAAATATAAAATATATATTTTTCTATTAATTACTTATTTTATAATAAATAGCTAAAGAATTATTATTATTATTATAAATAAAATAGTTATATTTTCTAATAAATATTAGAACTTTTTTTAAGTATTATTTATAAAGGCTATAAATATATTACCCGACTATTATATAAATCTAGAATTAGAATTCTAATTATTATATAGTTCTATATATATTTTATTAGAAAGAGAGCTTAAAATTCTTCGGGAATATCTTAATACTAGTTTAGAAAAGAAATAAATTCATTATTTTATTAGCTTAGCTAGTATTCTAATTATATTTATTCTAAAAAAAGAAGACGGCTTATATCTATATATTAATTACTAGAATCTAAATAAAATTATTATTAAGAACTAAATACTATTATTACTTA